TTCCTGTTGCGTTGTTATGTCTCGAGTTTCATGCTGATTAAATTATGGATTAATTGACGCAGTCAATTAAAGTCAAAGGTTATAAATAGCGATGATTAGTGTCAAAGGTAGCATCCACACACAGTTTGTATAGTAAAGTTATTCAATTGGGTCAATGCGATCTAAAATGGTATCACAGTTGAGGGATCGATAACAAAATAGAAAAAAAATATACAAATGTACTATTATTCTGCAATCGTTTCGACTCATTTATTTCATTGGACGTTAAACGATTTTTTTAAGTGAACCGTCTAACTGCGATACATATCAATGATCAAAGTTGATAGCAGTGAATGCAAATTGATCGACCCATTCAAATTAATTCCGCAATATACTTTAAACATGTCTCTTTCATATAGGAAAAATTCATTATAAATGATGATTAATTTAAAAAGCACAATATATATATATATATAATAAAGAATAATTTTCTTGTCGTAAGTGTAATAAAAAGAGGATGAACTTGTTAATAAATAACTTTCATTTTTGCATGTAAAATATATATAAGATAATAATATTGAATATATTTAGATACGTGACGACATGGGAATATAAATTTTAATTTTTTCCGATATGAGCAAATTTTACAAAATACACATATTGGATTTTTTTTAATGTAATAAAAAATATTAATGTAATGTGTAATGTATATTACATAGTATATAAGAAAATTTAATTAAATCATATGCATTATTGTTTGCGTGACGGAGTGCTTACGGGAAGAAGCGTAAATTAGAGAATCCTGTTTCGCACGCTTTCACGCAACATTTTGTCGCGATCAATAGACGAGAAAAGTATTGTTGCCAAAGACAAGCGTCACGTCGTGATGACAATTTAGTTCTACAATTCATGAAGTGATCCATTCCATCCCACTTCGCACGTAGCATCGTCTTCGTTTCATCTACCGTCTGCGTTTAATCGGAATTTACAGTTCACGGCCAGGTCGTTCTTCATCCTATCAATTCTTGTTATACCGAGAACTTTCTAACATTGTCTCATTATACAAATACGAATATCAAATAATATTAAAAAATCAAAAAAGTCACTATTGCATGTCAAATGTGAAACACACCAAAGCTAATAAATACAAACAAATTCAAATTCGATTCAGTCGTTGTATCAGATTGTTAATGAGTGAAATATTTCAAAAAGAGTGCATAATTGCATAAAGTCGCTCTATAGAAAAATTTTAGAACAGCATACCTATGTGTTCGAGAAAGCTTTACATCTTGCTCTTTCTTGTATCGCACTAGAATGCAAATTATATGCAAATTTTACGAGATGTCTAGCAAGTTTAATAAGTGATTTTATTGTTCTAATTGTAAAAAAGATTTGTCATACTTATTGTTAGTAGATGAAAAAATATTTGCTCCTCTCAAATATTGTATGATTAGATTTCGCTAGGAATATGTACATATGGTAAATTTTAACTTGAATAGTAAACACAGTTTGCAATTTGAGATATTGAGTGCATTCAGACGTGAGTTCAGAATTGCAGTACTTATCTATTATAATAAAATTTAAATTGTTAATTCATAACTTTGATTCCCCTTTTATATCCGTATTTGTATCGGCCATCAGAAAAATATTTTTAATGTAGCCGTGATATCGAAAATGCATCTAAAGCATGAAAAAAGAGAGACTCTCCTCAAATAATTAATTAATATATCATATTAAACAACATTAAAAAATATAAAATGCTTGACCTTCAGGATTATATAAAATGCAGAAGTTTAGAATTGCATATTCATTAGGTGAATCTTATATTCAAATTTACTGTTCATTATTACATATGTTACATAAGGTATATAACAAGCAAGTGCCTTGTCATAGTTAAACAAATATTTAAAAGTCAACTTATATTACGATGAATCATAACAGACATATATAGAATAGTAAGTAGAAATTAACCATATTTTATTTCTTACGACAGAATTGTTGGAAAAGATAAAAGATCCTCTTATTCCATTCAAACAAATTCTAGTGAATAATAAAAAATAATAATAGAAATAATAAATATAAAATATAAATTAGGAATTCCAATGACAAATCTCTTTCATAAAAAACAATTAAATTATTTAAACTCATTATAGATGTCTCGTAAAATATGCGACAACAAATTAAATTAAATTAATTTAAACTGTAATGTATTTAATTTTAATGTATCTGTGCATGTTTTGTATTTTGTATATATATATATATATTTATTACTTTCTCTAATTACTTTTTCTATATTACGTGACACAAAATTATGATTAGAATTCATAATTTTTCTAAATTTTCTTATGAATTATAGAATCCGTTTAAAACATTTTAATTTTAGATCAATTTTAATTTTGTTCAATAAGTAATTGAAATTTATCGTTATTTACTTGATTTGTAATCACTCACTTCTGAGATTCTAAATGATTAATGAATAATATAATTATGTAATGATGTTACATAAAAACATTTATGCATGTTAAAATTAACAACGTATTGAACTATAAACTTACAAATGATTAAATAATAATCTGTTTCTTTTTCTGTTAAAAGGTTATATATCGATATCAAGAGTGACATTAAGTATTTCAATAAAATTTAACGGAAGTTGAAATACGCACTATCTCTAAACATATACACTTTTAACTCCCAATTAATAAAAATTATTTTGTAGATCAAAGTATAAGTACAAATATAAAGGTAAAATTATATAATAAATGAGATTACCATTATTATATAAACATAAATATTTTATACCTGTACTTAAAAACTTTAGACGTATGTGTTTTTATAATCTATTATATGTCACGCAATTCTCTGCGATATTTTATTGTGTCACATTTTTATCTTATCTTTAGAACAAAAATGATTATAATGTTTGGTGATATAACGATTACTGACCAGAACTACTTGCATCTAGACAATACGAACATTTAACTTATTTTGATTCAATCTTCAGACATGTAAATATATAGTTTCGGCACATAAATTAACTGTATTAAAATAACAAAAATTAACATTATATTTAAAATAAGATGATAATTATATTAAAAATTAAAGTATCAATGGGAGATGATCTTAAAGATTTCAGAAGTCGACTCGAAATCATACGACAATATTATGGCGGGATGTATATATGCTTTCACTTTCAGACGCGGAGTACCTAATTTCTATACATATATATATACATATAGTGCCTCTTCACTTTTAAGTGGAAATAACGGTGAAAAAAAGTATATACAGGTGATTGTATGCGTTCAAGACATATAGATATACAGCGCGTCTTTTTACAACAAATGTACCGTTAGAAGTATTGATTATATAAAATTAATATAGAAATACATATCAAATATTGTAAAATTAACCTCCATAATTAAAATTAAATCCGTAATTTAAATAAAAAATAAAAATTAAATTTTAACGTTCTTATGAATAACATCCTGTGTTTTCATTTTTTTATTTTTTTTAATTTTAATTTTAATTTTTTTTTTAATTTAAATAGAAATACATAATTATATTGAAAATCGATTATTTTTAAAAACTATGGATACTTAAAATCGATTATATTGATGTAGAACATACGTCAATCTAATCTTCAGTAAAATAAAGATATCAAATAGAAAATATTGACATAAAAATATCGATTAATCAAGTGTAAGAAATAATCAACTCTCGAAAAAAAAAAATCATTCAGAGTGCTGACGTTGTTCATTAAATATAGACTGTAACCATGATTGTGTTTATAAATGTTCATTGTGTTGAAATTAATTGAGACTTAAATTCTCGTTCGCTCTCTAGAGACAAAATGATAGAAAGGAATAAGAATTCGCTTAAGGATTTCGCATAATTTTAATAATTTGTTGTCATTAGAATTATATATGACTATTAAATATTACAATTTAGGGTCGTTAAGACCCTAAATTGACGGCAGGCTTCGATTTATCTCGATTTGTTCGACAATATTTACTCGTTATATCATTTGCGATTTCGGAAAATATCTTCTTTCGTTTGTGTCGAGCTTAATATAGAAATTAATATAGAAGAGATTAATATAGAAGATTAATATAGAAAAATGCAATAAATAAAATAAAAATAAAAGCATAATAAATAAAAATTGGAGATAATATCCGAGAGATTTATCTTTGAATGTTTCAACGTATAATTAATTCGAAATTCAACTATATAATAATTTCCAAATTTGCAACAATATTTTTCACCGATTAAAAAGATTATGTCCATCGCGTTTCCGTCAATGTGTCGTGTGAAAGTTACCCGAATATTATAACGATTTCCAGCATTTGTGTACCTCGTGTGTAATCTTAACTGTATCCTATTCGCTATCTAACTGTATACAAATCGAGATTCTGAGAAAGCGGTGCATATTTACCGGAAGAATATAACGCGACTCTTATATTCTTCCTTTCTCATATGATTTAACAGGATATTATGAATTCTCTATAATCTGTAATCTATAAGATAACAATAAAAATCCTTCTCGCGAACCCAGACTCCATTTCCGATTCAGATTTGATTTCGTATTCGTTCGGAATTTAAGCGCTATTTTTTTGCGCAAAATTTAAAACAATCGGCGACAACAATTAATTAAAAAATAATATGTAGGCATAAATAACGAAGCGAGATTCATGATTAGCGTTATTTTCAGCGACATGTGTCGCTAATCAGCTGTTCAAAGAGCGCCTACGATTAGTGTTTCTCGCGATCTGTGACTAAAATAGAATTTTATCCGAATTTATCCTCTCACCGTGTATTCGGGTGCAGATTTTTCACGTGTGAAATACTCAAAATCTTAAAGATTACACTGTTTTTTCATTCTATCACACCGCATGTGTGTTTTTTAAATTCTTGTCATTCCTTCGTTTTGCGCGCTTTTAAAATGGAGCGAAATCAAATTAAATCAAATTAAATTATGCTTTGAGACCAGAGTGACTTTATATATGCGTTTTGCTATCGATACTCACCACAATGGAAAATTCCAGAGAAAAGCCGCACCGGCTGCCAACAGAACGCGCGCACGAATGCAAACTGAACGCGACACGCCGGCTTCCATGTGACGTCACATTCCCCCGTTTAGGGACATCGCCAGCCGCATCATAATTGGCGCCAGATTCCTCGTCTTTGCTGTTGCAGATGGCGCACCACGAAGATGCACGAATTCGAAACTAAAAGAAAAAGAAAAAGCAAATTTTATAGTTAAAATAAAATTTTTAAAAGTATATTACGTATATATCAATAGAATGTAAAGAGCTGCATATTGAAGTTAAGACAGAAAAGGAAGAAAGAGGAAGAATATAATTTATTCGTCAACATTTCATTGGCCCCTGTACTCCTGATTACTTGCAAGACATCCGTGTATTGCATACAATTCTTTGAAATAATTCTGTAAGGACTTGGTAAAACAGACACTCTATCTTTTTTATTTCTCTGAAAATATTATCTCATATAAATTAAAATACAAGTATACCTTTTTTTAATTTATGCATTCTTATGTACATATGATAGAAATTGCTACAATTTTGCTATTTATAAATTTTATCAATTTTGGAGCAAGTTTACATTTCGGAGCACAACATATAAAATAAAGAAAGAAAAAGAAAAATTAAAGAGATATAAGATATACCATTAAATTCAGTTTTAAAGGATACAAATGTATAGCTAAATGTTTCTATTTATTCATTTTCAAGCAGACACTAGATAGAATTTTCATTTGAAGCATAGTCACGAAGACATTTAATAGTTATGCTTAAATTGTTTCTTGTATTAATTTTATCAGAAAATTACATCTTATGTAATGTTTACAAAAAATATATATGAGCATATACTTTAATATATAACATATATGTATATACTTGAATACATATATTTAATTGAAAGAAAAATTGATTCACTCATTTATTGATATGCAGTCAGCGTCATATTAGAGTGCATCGTGACAGATTGAGAACAAAATGATAGTTTCGATCGATATCGTATATATCCCGTGTTGCAAAGGTTCAGGGAACTTGTGAGAATGCATCATTGCACACTATTGTTATCCGATTGTTCACAATGCGACAATCGGGCTCATTAAGCATGACTGGCTTTACAAACAAAATTGCATGCCTTTGATGCTTTGTAACTATTTATTTTTTTTCATCTAAAGCAAGAATGTCAATTTAACTTCTTTGTTCTGTTAAATTGGGACATACTAAAAATTAAAATATTTTTGTTTGTATGCTACTTTTTTATACTCTTCACAATTTTTTAACAATTAAATTAAAAAAAAGAATATATATATATATATACAATATACATATAATTCTCTAAAAATGTATGTAATTATTGCAATTCAAATAATTTCAAGGAATATATACATATACTATACGACTGTGTATGTGTGTATTTTATTTATGTGTAATATATAATGCAGTTAATTTAGAGAAATTTCTTAGCAAGAATTGATAAAATAAGTAATAATAAAAGAAAAGTAAATGAAACGTTGCAGAATTAAAGCGATATAACGAAATATATTTTTTAGTTAATTTAAAATAAAGATTATACTTTAACAGAATTGTTATTTAAAACTTTTTATAATAATATATAATATTACAAAAATTGGAAAATTCCTGTAACATTTTTGCTAATTAAAAATCAATATTTCAAATTAGTTAGAAATATGTTATTAAAAAAATTGGATAATTTTGGAATAGTTTACGTAATGCGATAAAATCAGCGTATACAACTGTTTATAATCATTGCTGTATCATTGCAATCAAAAGACGAATTTCATTTGATGCAATATTTTGTTAATATAATTTTCAACAATTGAATATCAAATTAATTTGTCGAAATAATTAAAAAAGAAAGCTAACGTAATCTCTCTTATCATCTTGCATTTGCCACTTTGATCAGTGCCGCACGTGGCAGCACTGATCAGAAGGTAATATTGTTGCAATTGTTGTTTGATTGCGATTTACAAATAATTACTATTAATTCTCTCGAATTCATCGACATAGTTTTCGTCTTCAAAAATTTGACTGACAAGTTTGTGAAAATTTATTTAAAATATATCAGCATTCAAACTTCAAAGTAATAAAACTTAATCCAATCTCAGCCTGAAATTTTGATGAAAATTAAAATCATTGAAATTAAAATAAAAATCGGCTTTATCACGACATTACTCCGCAGAGATATTATAAAATCAAAGTTCGAATTCAATCTCCAGCTAAAAGACCAACCGAAATCAATTTATCCAGCTTAAAATCCAAGTTAACTCGACTTTGGATTTTTCGAAAAATTAGAAATTTTGTAGAGAGCGAGTTGAAAATCGTGCATTGTTTCTCTCTCCCTCTCGTAGGCATTGTTTATCGACCGAAAGAACGGCGGGTATTCCTCTCTACCATGGACCCAGATATGGCAGTAGTGGCGCTGCGGATCAATCGGACCAGCCGGCACCATCCGGTCTGTATATCTCCTTCACATTTTCTATCCGCTATTTTTCGCGAACGAGGCACCTCGCACTCGCTCGCGCATGCACTCTTCGCGAAGAGTTTCGGCGTGACGCGAAGATGCGACCGGGCTCGCGCTCCTGACATCGACGAGGGCGAGATACCCTCCGGGAATGGGTTGCGCGACCCTTGCCCGCGAGGGTGATTCGCGAAGGGTTGCGTCGCCTGCCCTCGTCGTCCACAAGCTCGTTCGCTTTCGTTCCCCTTTCATTCTCTCGTAAATCGATCACTACTGTTTTCACCTGGCCGACCGGTAATCGCGTCGCGAATCGAGACCTTCCGATTTGATTCTGACACAATTCTACGTGCTATTGTATATGTGCGACTTGTCGGCGCACGAGTGCGACGATATTTATTCACGTGATTTCACTATATATAGTCTAATTAATTATATATATAGAGAAAGAGGTGTGTTAGGAGATATTGGAATTAATTTATTAGGGTTTATATAGTTTACTACACATATTTATAGCATTTGCATTTTCTTTCGGTCCGCATATATAAGCATTGTACTACTGATTAATTAGTTCTTCATGAGTGCGAATTAATTTTGAACAAATAAGTCGACGTTCAGTATAACGTTTTTTTTTTAATATTATATTATTAACATTGGCTAATGCAGAAGTCAATTTTTATAAATCAATATAGTTTTTTAGGAATTTTGCAAAGGTTCAAAAAATACAGTTTACTTTTCTCATAATCGTATTATTGCTTCGAGCGTTTAAAATCTCTCGAAACTCTCGCGCAAATTAGTACGCTGAGTTCACCTCACTGAATACCGGATTTAATGGCAATAAATTCAGCTAGCTTTACGATAAGCTACATTATGTACAAAGAAGTTATAAGTCGAATTGTGTGCTTATTTTCAAAAGTGGAACATCTTCATTCTTGTTTTTTGCATCTCGCACTTTGCACATGCATCTCGATAATAATCAATACAAATAAAGATCATTTAAGATTTAATTGCTTTAGGATATTTAATACACAAACTGTCTTTTCTCTCTGTAAGATTCAAAGGATTAGAGGAGAAACGTGTAATATTTTGTGGATTACCCTACAATTATTTGTTATCTGCTTAGATATTTTTCAATATTTTTCATATAATTTCAATACTTTTTACATTTCTGAAAAAAAGTTTCTAGATTTAACTCATTATTACAAAAATTAATTTTAACATTTACATTAACATTAACATTATATATTTTAAGATGCTGTGTACATCCGATTGCACAGCTTTTTAAATATATTATGCATATAAACATAAATTTGCTTATTACATACATTACTTGTTTATTAATTTTTGTGCTACGTGTCTGAGTTATTAAATACTTCATGTTACGTGTTTTTTACTGTCAACAGAATTTTTCCGGGAGATTGTTTGTTTTCAATATTTCTGATCGCTTGTACGTCAAGCAACATCACGTTACTATACGATATGTGAAATGAAATAGAATTAATGCGCCATAAAGCTCTTTTCTCATATAGTACAATTCCACAAAAAATCACGAAAATGATTAAAAGATTTCGATAATAACATAAATAAAATAAAGACCCGACCTGTCTACTACACTTATTTGTTCGCTGTTTCATAACAATTTATCTTTTTCCCCCTTTTTTCATAAATTCTCGCAATACATATTAATGATGCTAAATATTAATAATATTTATAGTCTTGAGAGTTAAGCTTTAAAATATTTTTTTCCAAATATTAGATTGCTGTTTGCACTTCTCTTTTCGATACTGGTATATTTAATTAATAAAATTAAACATATATTTTTTCGATCGATACTAATCGCAATTTATGAGATCTAACGTGACGTTGTTTTTGCCATCGGAATTTTAACCGGAAAGGATAATCTTGACGAAGTTACTCTATCTGTTTTTTTATCTCGAATTCAATATTAGCTAATGCACACTGACAATTTATAATTTATGCACAACAAATGTTTGACAGACGGATGTGAAACCGTTCTCACTTTGTTTTAACGTCGCGAGCACTTTATCAAAGTGACTTTTTTTCACGCAGCGGAAAAGAATGATTCAAAGACATGACTCTAGATCTAATGCCAATTAACCAGTTATATAATTATCCATACTTTATTATAGATTTGTTAGACGCATTAATATATTTTCTTGTACACCTCAGAATTTTTAAAACTATTGCAATGTTAATATCAATACAATTTCTACAGAATTAACGAAATAAAAAACTACTGCTATTGTTGTGTGTATTAAAAATCAGAATATAATAACATTATACATTAATCTTTTTACCAGAAATCCGATTATACCTCTGCAAGTTTTTTTATTAATATCTTTCTTTATATTTAATATATATAATAAAAATTCTAGTGTTAATAGTAAAAAAATATATATTTTTCAAAACGTTTATTTTTACAAATAAATAAACTAAAATCAACAATTATAAAACGATTCTCTTGAATATAATAAAAAAATATATAATAGTAGAATTAGAGCAGTAAATATTATAGAACGCATATACTTTATTGTAAAAAAAATTAAAATTATATATATAATTGCCACATGTTTTTCAATCTCTTTGTTAAATTATTTTTGACACAAGTATAATAAAAAACGTAATAACGGAGATTACAAAAATAAATTCACAATGCAATCAAACTGCAGTATTATGTACATTTTTATGCAAGAAATACTCAAGTCTTAAAGCTATATAAATAAATGATACAAACATCGTACAAAAAAGCAAAGATAAATAAGATTAAACGACTTTGATATTATTTTTTGTGTATTGATAACTAATTTTTTATTTGTTTGACTACATTACAAAAGTTTAAAAAATCTGAGGTGTACAAGAAAATATATTAATGCGTCTAATAAATCTGTAACAAAGTATGAATAATTGTATATATGTGTACAATTAATGATCGATCAAGAATAAAATGTTTCATTAATGAAATGCACCACATCCTAGTTATCAAGATAGGAAGTAGGAAAAAAAAGATTAGTCAGAGCTGTTTATTTGACTTAATTTGTTTTTTCATACAAAAAATGAACTTGAAAGATGAATCTATTAGCTCGGAAATTTTTTTCAAACTCATACTTGCGTTCTTTTGTATAAAAATACAAATGAAGTCAAATAAGCAGCTCTGTTTAATCTTTTTTCTTTTCCTACTTCCTATCTTGACAACTAGGAAGTGATGCATCTCGAAGATGATTAATCTATATTATCTTTTAAGCTATATGTTTTAACTTACTATTGTTTTTGATAAAACGACTTTGATATTATTTCTTTTAATAACTAATTTTTTTTTTGTTTGACTGCGCTGCAAAGTTATATATCATCTCTGTTAATCATTATGTTTTTTATTATAACAAAAAGAGATCGAAATGTATGCTAATTATATACTTATAACTGTAAAAATATGCGTCTTATTTCTTACACTGGCTCTTGCCATTTTTTAATTTCTTTTTGACTAAAAATATAATTCTTTATTTTAATTATTTCAATAAATAAGTACAAGTCAAATATATTATTATTTTGTCTTTTTATTATACTTTTGTTATACTTTTATTATACTTTTGTAATCTATCGGCTATTTTTATCGCTGGTAATTAAATCAGATTAAAATTGATGTAAATGATATACAGCATATTATTGTTACGTAGGAATATATTACAGAACACTTTAATTGACAAAAACTAAATGTAAATATAAAAAATATGACATAGAGAATATATAACAAAAAACTTTAATTGCAAAATTAATTTTATGTAAATTATTATCGTATTATTTACATATAAACAGGTAAAACTATTATAACGAAATATTAATTTAAATCAAACAATCTGAACAATTTTTGATAGTACCGCACATGAAATTTTCTGCGAGAAGAAATAAAATTAATGGAGTCTAAGATCTTTTTATTCTAAGCTTTGAACTTGATTGTTATAAGTTTTATCGAAATAGATTTTAAAAAGTAATGTTTTTAAGGATATGCTAAAAAAATGAAAGGCCGTAATTAAGTAGAAATAAATTACAAAATTGATACAAAAGTGTACAAAAAAATCCTGCATGCATAATATCATGCATATAAACGAAAAATTTTCATGTTTAAATTTCCAACGTTTCTGTACCGAGGTTTCGTTATTGGAAAAGAAAACCGCAAAATGGAGCTTTCATTCTCTCTGTATTATGGTCGTTACATCTATTAACTATGATTTATACAGCGTTATTAATTTTTTCCTGGATTCGCTAAACAATGAATGTAACTTATATTTTCGTCAAATTTCGAAACAACACCACTTTTGTTTTTGTCGAGTTTTGAAGTTGAAAAACACGCGAAGATCCGTATTGAATGTTTACGGGTGTACTGGTACCAACAATTCTTTGCAAATTTATTACAGGAAACAGCTGACTGATTCAAATACAATAATAAAGTTCTTTAGAAAAAAAATTTTTAAACATTTGTAAAAATTAAGCTCGATGAATACTATAGCAATTCTAACGTTTTGGAAGGTTTGCAAATTACCATGAAAATGAAGATTAAAAAAATACATAAATGTGCGATTTGCATACAATGAAATGATCGATTGGCGAATCGGCACAACCGATTGGCAAAGCACACAATGTCAATTCTGGGTCATTAGAGCATATAACAATGAGAAAAATCGCGTTTTATGAATCGAACTATTGAAAAACGAATTGCGCTATATACTTTTTATGACACTTCCGCCGGAGAACCTCCCGTACTCTTCGCGCAAGGAAATTGTAGGGGGGATCATCCTTTTACAGTCGTGCTTTTTAGGACAATCGCTACAAAGCAAGGGTAGAGAGAGGGAGAAGTTTCGTTGACGGCTGTCGTTTTACGCGAGACGGCGCGAAGCTGATAAGTGGGACATACGCTCCAGCATCTCGGTATTTCGTAGTGAACTCGCTACCAGACCGGACCATCCATTCAAGGAAGAACAAGTCTCTGTGAACAGTATCGAACCCGCTATCGTGATCCTCGCCGGAAGGAAGCTGCGCTCTCGTTCATACTCGCCCGTAAGTCGTCTGTTTTATCGTCGCGAGCTTTTTCCAAATTTTTATTTTAATTTACGATATACCTTATTGATGCCTCACAAGGCACGAAATTCTCAAATATAATCACCGTCTTAAGGGAGATACAAGGGTGGTACACATATTCCGGATAATTAGCGACAAATTCATTGCAATTGAATTATGTATATGTATACATTTAAAGCTTTCATATTCAATTGTTGACTAATATTTATAATAATTTAATAACAATTATAATTTTTTATAGTATATTTACATATATATTTTTTTTTAATTATTTTAATAAAATTTTTTTTAATTAAAAGTAGCCGCGCAATTCTAAATATATCGTAAAAATGTTTTAGCACGTTGTAAATTTTGATGTATACAATTTGTTCGATATTCTGTCTTTTCTAAGTTATTACTATTACATATAGTGTACACTGTTGTGTATATTTATATGCGAAGTTCTTATTACTGACGATTACGCTGCAGTTATCCGAACATTTGTTCCATTTCGTCGCCTTTAAATAGACGACTAACGGGTACTTTTTAGATAATAAATGAGAGAATCTTTTGAAGAGTACAAAAGAATTCGGCGAACAATTCCGTTATGCTATAGATTGATACTCGAAATGCCTAATTATTTTTAATATACATTATATCTTCTATCGCGCACACAATTGTAATTTCGTGACATGTGAAGCGCGAAGATTTTTTTCTAAAGAAACTTAAATGAAAAATTTTTTAAATCGAAGAATCTATAAGCGCGGTTATTATTTATACTACGTTTTTTTTATTTTTGATACTACATTTTTTATTTGACGTTTATAAGTAAACTTCAAATAAAAAAATCTGTTAACAAATATTTCTTGTAGATTAAACAAAAAATCCGTCGTTATCTATCTTCTCCGAACTTACAATTAGCTCGGAAACAATTTTTACACGATCTTAATTTTTGTTTGAAATTTCTTAGTGTGAATCTTCTTCAAATATTGACTTTGTAAATTTACATTGTATGCGGTTCGACATTTTCGTTGAACAGATATCGACTGGCGGATTTCGGAATCGGTCAAAGAATTGATAAAGATCATTGTGCGAATAATTTTTTTTTAAATGCCCTATGCAAGAATGAGTGCGTATAACGCGTAACTTTGTTTACTTTCGCATCCTTTCAATTGCATTTAGTAGCGCGGATTCATATCTTTGCAACTCGAGGTAAGCTCGCACGGTAAGAATCCGCGATTCCTTTCTCTGCTGATGCATTTAAAATTTTCCCATTTGTCGCGCCAACAAATTTTCTATATGGCACACTTTCATGAGCTGTTGTCCTGCTTATCAGAGTGGAATCAAAGAATAGAATCTTGCAGAGATTCCTCCTAATGGGCACATGCTGTACAACATAACGCTGTCACATGAATGCCGAAACATTTTGCTGTAGGTACACACTATTGACATTTTTAGTGGGCTTTGTCTTTAGTTTGGTATTGTCCACATATTCAAGACCCGTTACGTGGAGGGATGGAATGCGTTTATGAGCATTAAACTTCTTACATTAGCTCGAATTACTCAAAATGTCGGCGAATATAGAATAGACGTACAAAAAATTATATATTATATATTTATATTATATATATATATATATATATTTATTATATTATATATTATATATTTAAATATAACAAATGATTTTTATGTATGCAACATCTGCATCTCTCACCTGTACGACACACTTTCTTGAATGATTGTCCTGCTTATTAGAGTAGAAGAATAAAATTTCGCAAAAATTTCTAATCAATATCCTCCATATGCATAACAATTGGTTATGTGTAATGTAAGCATTGTATTGTAATATGCTGATTGAATTGAATTTCGATGTGTTTATTTTTTAATATGTATGTATGAGGCTTAATTATAAAATTATGATATAAGATCAGGAAAAAGAATTAGGCTAATTAAGAGTCAAGCACTGCAAACTATGTGTGGATAATTGTGAAAAGAACAAGCATTGAAGAATTACATTCGATTTTGAGTATAATTAGATAGTGTAGCGTAGAATGAAATTAGATTCAAGGATAATTAGTGTATATGAATTAGTCCAGAAAGAAGGATGCTTTGTATGCTTATATTTATTTTCACCGGAAATGTTATTTTTATAATAATATAAGATTTACATTTATAATAATACGAATAAATTGAAATTTCATATGCATATCTGAGCTACATACATTTACAATTAGCCGGTTCAAGTTTTCGTTATTTTTTGTTCTGCGGTTATCTTTTTTGTAATTAACAGACGCTGAAAGATAAAATGCATATTTGTGAGCATCAAACTTCTTATATTAATTAAATTACTCATTGTCAGATGTTTAAAATTTTGAAAAACAAAAGTGCTGAAAAAAATCATATATTTATATAATAATTTTTAATTTATGCAACACACTCACATCTTTCTCTTTTTCGCTTATCCTTTTTTTTTGTTAAAATTATGTTAATTATCATCCACAATACGCAATAGCAATGTATTTTTATTAGAGTTTATAGAAAGAAATTCATATAAATTTTTCTTAGATTGATATTTAATATTTTTTGACATATGGGACAATGCAATGATTTTATAATACGTTAGAATAATCTTGTTAACATACTTTACATATGGACAATGTGCACAGTACAGTTTTGCGACAAAATGCAATAGAATGCAGTTAAGGATTAAAACAGCAGAGCGGTTTACGCGAATAGAGAGAGAGAGCAATTTCGCTGCTACATAATTACATTGCAACACGTGCTCGAGTTTCGTTTATGCGCAATCCGTGCGACTGAAAGTAAAATTATGAGGAAATGGAGAAAGAAAGATGATTTTACAGACAGAATATAGGAAAACAATAGATTATCATTCATTGTTTAGTGAAAACTATCGCATCGAATATACATTTACATTATATCGATTTCGATAGTATTATTAGTGCATTTATATTATTGCAGTCTCTATTCATTACTTTGAGAGAATAAAGTGTTTATTGATTAATTAAAATAATTGCAGTTAATTTTCAAACGTGATATTTTTTAGTGTTTTATTTTAATCCAATATTGAGAAAAGTATCGTGAAAAATAATTCATGAACGACAGCGGATTTATTGATTAAACGAGTGAGCTAAACCACAAACAATATATTCGAAATGCAATTGTACCGACTTTGTTCTGTAATTTTTACGCGCATTGCTTTACACAATTTCCCCAGTCTCGTAATCGTATTATGTAGAAGGACATAAAAGACTGTTAGAGGAAACAATGAGAAAATTCTCAGTTGCTCCTTGAAGACTCCTGTCTCCGAGATGACGTCCTTGTGAATTATTATACTTTATGTGCGCAGAGAAATGTTGAATAAAATTTCGATGTGTTTTATGAGTGAATCCTTTTAAAAAAGGAGCAAAAATAAGTTGAAGATGTAGACTAAAATTTTTTCAACATTTTGTTTTGGAGCAAATTGATTTTTAAAAACGTAAATATGTGTCGATTTTTAAATTTTAAATGCGTTTTTATAAACTTGAATAATCTCGCACAATTTTGTATTATATTATCGAATTAAGGTGGGTATGAAAATAGCAAATTAGAAGCTACTCAACATTCTTTCTATTAAAATAATACACATTTTCTTTTTATTTTATATGTAAATTTTTCAATGTAATTATTTTAAATTGCTTTACTAAATAAAGTGTTGTATACCGTTATATTAATATATTAATACATAAAATTGTTTTCGGAACGAATTCAATGATGCATGACACAAAGTCATTAAAAACTGGTCAAGCTCAAAAAAGCTTAATTATGTTACTAATTTTTTCAAATTTTTGAAGTCCATTTTCTCGAAAAAATAAAACCTCATACGAAAAAATTATATTTGACATTTTCGATGTCTTTCTACATTGATTTATAAAACGCGTCTCGAAGATAACTTGTGATGAGAGTTATCTGACGCTTCGTGTAGCAGTACACGTTCAATCTTGAGAAAGGACATCATGTACCATAGGATTAGTAGGTCATGTTCTTCTTTAATATCTTCTGCTTTCTTTTTGATCATCGGCGAAACTCAATTTATCTTTGCGGTTTGAAAAATTGTTAAATTTATTATTAATTATTAACACCTAAGATAAAAAATCACTTCCTATGTATCAAATTTCTAATTATCCGATAATTAGAAGCACATAGTATTAGCTTTGATTTTCTTAACTTAATTGCTTTTTAAAAAACACGCTTATCATCTTTTCAATTTAGAATGTAAAAAAAAAAAAAGAAAACAGACGCGTGTTCGCAAGCGAGTCTTCAAGTTCTTCCGTGTGTTGCGACATGGTTGTGAGCTTTTCGTACGTGACTTTCTTCACAAATCACGACAGGTCTGTAATCGAAAACGTGAAGTGCTACGTGATCTCGGGTTGGGTGACTCGTGCCGAGCCCGACTAGGGATTCCAATCCACGATTGGCAATGACCTCAAAGACGCCATTGGCCTGCTTTTCGAAGAACCTGTTCCTGTTTGCGCGCGCCGTCATTACTTATATGCGTTCTTCCTCGTTTCACCAACATCTTTCATCTGTTGGTCCCCTTTCTCCGCGTCTACCAACGTGTTCTATTCAACTACATCATGTACCGTTTCGAAGCTATGCCGCGAGCACTTTTACTACAAGATCTCTGGCACTCCTCCGTGCTGATTGCGACTCTGCGATACAGAAGAGAAACGTACGCAACGTAAATGCATTAACGTTCGGCATTACTTTTATGATGCGTCTTTATAGCAGACAGGAGTATGCCTTGTAATAGCATGTACCATTTAATTCGGAACCTTCATTTTATCATAATTAATGTTAATTATTAATTTCGGGTTGTTTAAAAACAGTCTTTACATATGTAATTTTATATATTTGATTAGATCCGCCTAAAAGAATTCAGAAAAATTTTATTTTGAAATTTATCCAGCATTTCTTTCGATATGTTAATAATAAAAAAATAATAAAAAAAATAAAAAAAATAAATTTAAAAAACACGAGTTGTTCTATTTTAGAATACAATTTTAACTTGTAATAGTATTTTTGTAAAACAATTTAATATTAATCGCGCTTTTTGCTGAGTCTTGTAGTCATCAACGAGATTTCAAATCATGGCGATTATGAGAAACCATATGCCTTTGGTAGCGCTTTCACAAGGATTATTCCTTACCATCTGTATGGCAGCGATATTGTTGCAGAAAACGAGGAGATAGCTGTACTACTGACTTATAGCCAATCTGTAATTAACCCCTCGTCACGTTGGACCTTTTCTCTTTACTCATCCAAGAAGAACGGTGAAAATGACATTTGTCGATGACGTGTATTGAAAAGCAAAATTGAATATGCCAATCAAAGATAATAGCAAACGTAACTAACCTTCTAATTAGACCAATTAATGATACAGAGGCAAATGCAACCGAGAAGATTATAATGGTAGTTTTTTTCGCTATTTTAAACACAAGTGTATGCCTTTGAAAATAGTACGTGTAAAATTTAATTTCTCAATATTAACTTGATCAGTGATCATTTAAAATTAGCGTCAGACGATTTATCATGAATGAATAAATCATGAGTGTGATTTTTGTCAAATGATTTCTACATTACATCTGAGAAATTGTAAGTAGAAATTTGTCCCAAATTTCATCGTGGATCATAAATCAAAATATAAGCTTTATGCTTATTGTTTAATAGCGGATAATGATTTTCACGCGTGGTTGATAAATTTCTATTGATCTTTTCTAGATATTTTATTCTGTTATTTAGATCTGAAGATATACACTAATATTCTAATATAAATGATATGGCTTTCTCTTTGATAGTTCCATGAAGTTTGAAAGGCTTCTAACTATGTAGCCATATCATCATAAATTGGATAGTTAAATAAAAATTTACGACATACCGTTAGCGAAGAAGAGCACAAATTTCTTTGCTTTAAAGAGTTAATATTGGCGTCAGTCAACCATCCATTCGCTCAAACTCTGTTGCATTCTTATCTCGAATGTCTACGATGATTAACAGTTAACGTTGTGAAAATATCAATAATCTTTTAAGAGAAATACACATGAACATTTTCAACATGATTAAATCTAAATTTTTATTTTAATATCTGCAGTCATGTGTAAAAAATAATTCACATGTACTCGCTCCTCTCTTTTTTATAATTGATAAGAGAACTTAAGTATTCCAAATATTCTTTTGATTAAATTATGAGATATTTAGAGATTATGAAATAAAAACCATTTTTTTATAAATCTGGAGACAAAGTATTTAAAAAAGTAACAATTTCTTCTAGAATTTAACCGCCAAAAAACTTATATTTTTACAATAACTATCATATCAAAAATGTGTCGGACAAAAACTTTAATTAAATATATGAAACAAAAAAATTTTAATTAATTATAATATAAATTAAAATAAATTATATGATAACACATTTTTATTTAGTAAAGAAATTGTATTACGTAAATAATTTGCTAATCCATAAGTATATCTTATATACATAAAAAATATGAAGAGAGAGAGATATATACATTTTCGTTATTCATTATATGCACAAGTAAGCAAAAAATCTACATAAATAAAATTAGTCATTCTAAAATTATCACAACATTACTTGTGCAATGACAATATCGCAGACATTAATTATGAATGAGAGCGAAAGTGACTTTGCAATTTCAATGTTCTACGATAGATATATTTTGTCTAATCTCATTGTAGAGATTTTAATTTTTTTCTCTGACGATTTATGAACAATTTTAAACTGCATCGTCTATTGTGTTTCAACATTCTATAGATCGACATTCCAAAGAAAATAAAAGAAATTAGTTGTCAAAAATGCTTCAAAGAGGATGTATCGTTTCTCGATAAATGATCCATAACACAGTTTCGACCTAATTAATAATGACACTTAACTTACAAATAAATTCCAAAAAGTATTAAAAAATAATATATATATATATATATATATATATATATATATAATATAGATAAATTTATATACGTATATATCAGGGTTGAGAAGTAACTCGTTACTTGTAAGTTACAGTTAAATTTTTGTATAACTATAACTTAATTTTGTTTCTTTTTCTGCATCTATAATTATAACTTAATGTAGTTACATTTTTTGGTAACTAGTAATTTAATAGTTACTTTTTAATATTTAGTTTATTTAAAACTTAGGCCTAACAATTTTTCGAAAAGTTACGACTGTCTAAAATTTTATGAATTTTTTAACTGAAAAATCTGAATTCCATAATTTTTATTCTGAGTAAATAATATTAAATATTGTGTTATAGAAGAAGTTAATCTACATTACAATTTATTAATTTAATATATTTATTATATGTATTAATTTAATATATTAAATATATTTTCATTTTTAATTTCAAAAGTAATTGAAAAGTCGCGATTCGTTATATTTTTTGAGTTATAATAAGTGTAACATATTTTTCAAAGTCGGTAACTGTTAACTGTAACAAGATACTTTTTCAGTGACAAAAACTGTAACTATGTATAACTAGACTTTTACAAAATAGCTTTCTCAATCCTGGTATATACATATATGTGAGGCACGTAGATTTATCATCAATTTTTACGACGTGACGATCAAATTTTTTGGATGACGACTTAGATTAGACTTCTTTAGCCTATGAAGAATGTCCATCGCGAATCAAGTTCCGTTAAGTTACGTAGGCTCTCGACGAGAGAACGCAGCCGTAAGAAAGTAAGGAACATTTAGAAGTGGGGCACCTACATAACTCGTATCTTCTTCAGGGTCGCAGAACGAAAAGGAGGGATGGCTACTTCGTGCGTAATTAACCGTAAAACGCAGCGTGAACACGAAAGCGCGTTAGTTAAGAACATTAAGCTTCCGAACATCTTATCGGGACTTTCTCGCTGCTACCAATTATCGAGAATAATCGAAGCTCGTTTCTCGCTTCATCTTCTGCGAGATGAGGAATTTTATTATTGACTGCAGGATTTCGTTAATAAATTTGCGGTTTATAATTTCGTAGCTTTATAAAAAATCGTTCGGGGAGTGACGTAATAATTTTAATGATCGAATCTTTGAATCTCACGATGCGTTTTGAAACACAATATTTATAGAGATGAAAGTATTTATCATTCTCTCTAATCATCGAGCATAACGTTACCATGGAAATAAGCGCGATAAAATGGAAATCCGTTTCTCGCTGAACCGCAATCAAATTGCACGTTAATGTAACGTAACTGATGATTACCAGACTGCTCTGGTGCAACAATCTGGCGTTGCCAGACCGCTTCTTCGTCGTCAAGGATCGTTACCACCATCGCTATTCTCGACCGCACTTTACTTTGTTCTACAATTCAGAAATATTATTCTCTGGTTTAGCGCTCCTTTGACGTGTCGAAAGTCGAAGCACGAGAAGTCGAAAAAAATCTCTTTTCCACACATATGTATATGGCACATTAACCGCACACAATGTCCTGGAAAGCCGTAACGAGATCGTTAGACTTTGCACGTCGAGAGCCATCAAAGAGCCGTTAATCTTTGGCTAATGCCGATGTGACAATGGAAATACCGTCATTCTCGCTATTTAACACGTATATGTGGCAACACGAGAGAAGAAGAAAAAGCGGAATGCCCATAATAATCGCAAAAAATTTTCAGGTTTACACCAATATTGATCTTTTGCTGATATTCCAACTATTATTCGTATAATTAATCATTGAAATTAACGACGTGTGAATAATAAATGTATATGTGAAGGTTTAGATTTTCTTCACATTTATCTTGTCAGTGTAGCGGAAAAAGTTTCTTTATTATTCTCAAATATCAATTATTTAATATATTCAATTGTATATGAGAATATTATGAATATATAATGTTATATGTAAAAATATAAATGATATGAGAAAATGAGATACAAGGATACATATTTTCTCGTAATCTTTTATGTTTTTCCGCTATAAACACTGTGCCATAAAAATACGTGGCATGCATAAAGAATCATCGGATAATGTATTCAATCGAGATGAAGTTTTCTAAAACGTGTTAAATGCTTTTCAAATATCTGCATTCAGAAAAAAGATAGAAATTCATTATCAGTGATTTAAGCAAAACTCAATGTGCTTTTTTAATTTAATATATGTTATATAATATATTTTTAGCGAATTATCTATAGATTGTTGTGATTCATACTTTTAGTCTTGCAAGTATATTCTCAAAATTTTAGTTTTTTGTTTGTTTCTTTCTTTTAAAAACCATCTGCTTAAAATTCTAAATTTCGGTAGGTATTATGTATTTGGATTATAATATATTGTATATTCCTTACACCTTTTTGCTTTGTTATAATTTTTTATCGTATCGAGAAGTGACACACAAAAGAGTATAGCTCTCTGAAATTTTACAACGATAAATATCTGTTACAGATATTTCAGCAACATGGCGCCGAATTTATTCGGTAATTCAGCGACTTTATTCCTCGAAGCTTCCCAGCAGGATGTGTCGCAGAAAAAAACCGCGTCAGAGAAAACGGTGACGCAAAAATTGTCGGTGCAAAAGACACAAAACTCGATGCCTAAATATCAATGGAAAATCGTTTGGAGAAATGTGATAGCTTTCCTTTATCTTCATCTCGGTGCGCTTTATGGATTCTATCTTGTAATAGTGGCTGCTAAAGCTTACACATTCCTTTGGGGTACGTTCGATTTATATATATTTTATAAATGCTTAATTAGTTTTTTCTCTTTAAATTACAATCAACTAATTTGAAAGAACAAGTAATAGAAAATATAGATATAATGCATAAATTAGTAGATTTCGTGTTGTGTGGTTAAAAAAATAATAACAATTGCTGATTACTTTTGAAAGATCTCGTGACGTTTTGTCATTAAATTTCATTTGATTTATCTGTCCTTTTAGTTGTCGCAGTCGCAAGTTTGGCAGCTACAGGTGTTACAGGAGGTGCTCACAGATTGTGGGCTCATCGGTCTTATAAAGCGAAATGGCCGATGAGAGTTATTCTTATGATTTTCCAGACCATGGCTTTCCAGGTAAGTTTTCCAATAATATTGTGTGTAAATGAATATATTGTATCAAAAATTAAAAAAAAAATGATCGTTCATATTAAGAGTGTATTTAATATAAAGAAATGATTTTTAAGGGAGTTCTTATTATAATTGTGCAATTACGTTTCGCAGAATCACATTTACGAATGGGTAAGGGACCACAGAGTTCACCATAAATTCACAGATACGGACGCCGATCCGCATAACGCGCAGAGAGGCTTTTTCTTCTCTCATATGGGCTGGCTTTTGATCCGGAAGCATCCGGACGTCATCAGCAAGGGTGCTACAATTGACATGAGTGATCTCGAGAAGGACCCCGTTGTCGTATGGCAACGCAGGTACGATCATTGAAGAAGATATTGCTTGAGAAATCAATCAACGAGATACAATACCCTCTACAAGTTTGGAAACACCTTACATTTTACAGTTAAACATAATCGCATGGCAGCGATCTGTGCAGACTTTTATACGAATATATATAATAAGACATTTAAATGACGATACAAAAATGTCACTTAAATATCCCACGATATATTCATAGAAAAAAATGTGCACAGATCGCTGCCAAGCGATCGTTTAACCGTACAAAATGTAAGGTGTTTTCAAAAACTTGTGGACCGTTTCTAAATTCCTTACACCATCATTGCCCGGCAACGTCGAATAAATTGACATATATGTTACAGATTGTATATTGTCCTGATGCCGGTTTTCTGCTTCCTGCTGCCCACCTGGATACCGTGCTACTTCTGGAACGAGAAACCTATGTTCGCGTGGTACGCCACCATCTTCAGATACACGCTCTCGCTGAACCTGACCTGGCTGGTGAACTCCGCGGCTCACATCTGGGGCGTGAAACCGTATGACAAGTGAGCATTATCAGACACCCGATACGTCACAGTCATGATAATCCTGTTCCTGTCCGGGAACGAGCGTTTCACGCAATTTTCTTTTTTCGCAGCTCCATTAGTCCCACCGATAGCTACAGCGTCGGCATCGGAGCCTTCGGTGAAGGCTGGCACAATTACCACCACGTATTTCCGTGGGATTACAAGGCGGCCGAGCTGGGAAACTATCGTACCAACTTCACCACGGCTTTCATTGATTTCTTTGCCTGGATCGGCTGGGCGTATGATTTGAAGACCGTGGCGCACAACATGGTGAAGAAACGCGCTACTAGAACAGGTGATGGTAGCAAGTATGAGCGAACGGCCGACGATCACAATGCGCATCATCATACGCACGATGGTGCTATATGGGGCTGGGGTGATACCGATATGAAAGCGGAGGACATGCAAAAGGTCGAGATAATTAACAAGGGAGATTAAATGCTTCCGGTTCATCCAGACACATGTTATATAGAACATGCGTAAAATATTCGACAAATTGCCGATTGATGATGTCGACACCAATGACGAAAAAATGATATTATTCCTTTACCAGTATCCAATTCAAATTACACAGTCAATGGCAAAGTCACGTTTGTTGCGACACAAAGATGATGCTACATTTTTCAGAATACTTTGAATAACAAAACACGTGATTATTCTTCATAATTATTCCAATTTGCAATTTTAATTAAGTATTAAATCCATTTTTTATATTATTACGTCTTATATTATTTTTGCATTATTCAGTTTTTTTTTTGCGAGAAGTGATTTTAATAATGCAATTTTATGTAAATTTGTATAAATCTATAAAAAGTAGTGGAAAACATACAAAATAATTATCATCTTATACGTCAATTATCGATAAAAAAATGTAATTGTCGAATATGCATGTTCGCTATACATGAAATTCCATTGCACAAGAAAAGCATTGGTACATAAGAAAATAATCGCCCAAAGAAGAGTGATCAATTGTTTTGACAACGTCAATTAATATTTATTGTATAATATTATTCATATGTTGTTACATCGTTTCTCTCTTCAAATCGGCCGTTGAAAAACGTCACAAATTCGATCATCTTACAACAAATAATAAAAAAATCTTAGGACTCAACAGCGACTTTTTCTCGGACCGATCGGATTTTAGGATCGATTGATCGAAATGTTTCCAATCGAGGATCTATGACCACAAAAAGCGCCTTATACATCATTTTGAAGTAGTATTCTCTTGAAGAAAATTTGATGAAATGAATTTGACTTTGATGAAAAATCAATTGAAGTTTCGCGAGATCTTATAGAGAAAACAATTAATATTGAGACTTTCAATCAAATTTACAAAGTTATTTTTTTATCTATATGCATTTTTGACTATATATTTTTGAAACTTGCTTATTTTAAAAAAATTAAGAAATAGATAAGTTTTTATGTTATGAGTAGTTGATCAAAACGATATTTTCCGAGAACTGAGCTTGTAAAAATGCAAAAATAGATAAAATATTATTCTCTATCTAATTCTCGAAGTAGAATTTCATTTTCAAGAGCAAACTTGTGACTTGAGAATTAGGTACATAAGAATTTAATTTCAAAGACTGAAAAATTTTAACATTTACACCGAGTAAAAACATACTTGAAATTCATCGAAAGACACGTAAACAAAATGTTGGAATATTCTATATCACACATCTGTCATCGTACCAACTCAAGAATAATACAATACAAGACGTGACGTGAAATATTAAATCTAATATGAACGAGTTGCCGAAAAAAATCGAACGACGATTCGAATCAGCGTGCTGGCGTTTCGTACAATCAAATTATGTACCTAGGAATCAAATTCATTTGTGGCCTTCTGAATGACTGACTTTAGGTCGTATTAGTTTGTATCGAGACTGTTTCAAAATCTCATGGTCAATTCTTTAATAACTATACAATGCGAAAGAGCGCGTTATCGTAATCGATTTTTAACACTGTTATAATATCGAGTAGTATAGTTTAAAATATAAAGAGCCTAAAGAATTAATCTCAGTAATGTAAACATGAAAACCAATGTCTATTACGCTTTATAAAAAGCGGATATTATTAAGATGATAAAGAAATTCGTATATATATGAGAGACGGTTAATAGTTTCAAGTTTTAACGACTATTACGTAGATGAATAGCAGAATATATAACTCACACATTAACTTTGTACTAGTGAACGTTCATATTGTGCTTTAATTGACCTCTAATTTCTTTTAAACTAATGGCGATAAAGGGTCCATGGTATCGTGTCGTACTTTTGTTGTACTATTTTTCATTGTGATTGTCACGATTAATAACAATTAAAGCTAATTTAATATGGAAAAAAATTATCCAAAAAAAGAAAATTATAGATTTCTTTCATTCTTAATTGCAGAAAATATGTAAAACCTTGTTTTTGATACTACACTGCTATCGCTGGATATTATTTAACATTGACATATTTATCAAATGTTGTAATAATAATAATAATAATAATATCATATCGCAGTAGTAATATTCTCCAATCGTAATTAAGCGCGCAAAATTATTTTTGTGTCGCACATAATAGAAACGCATTAGAAATCGGCGATTGGCAGTAAACTCTGACATAATCAACTTCATAAATGATACGATGGCAATTGGACCGTCGTACTTATGTAATTAATTAATGAGCAATTCAAGAGGGAGAGGAAGAAGAACGAAAGAGTGAAGGAGAGAGACACACATCGCGTGTCGCGGACCTGAATTTTGTCTGTCTTCCGTAAATAATCCGCCGTGTGCTGGATTTAAGTCCGATATGGCCTCGAGTAATGATTTCGCAAGGCGATCGTTACGAAAGCGCATTGTTCGAGCGCGTAATGCCAATTGCGCGACACGCAATTAAAGTCCGCATCGTTTTATCATAACAATTAGTTATAACGAATGAGGAAAAAGCGGGCGTAAACAGATTTAATCGGCCAAGTGTTACAGTCAGGGAGATCACTATGACAGAGATCATTATAATCTCGCACGAACGAATCATTCAAGTATAGCCACATGGAGTTTTGCGAAACTGTATATTTGTAACGATGTTCGTTCCACAATAATGTATATGTGTGAAGGAGATTTATTCGATGGATGCAGGGATTTTAAAACGTTTTGTTCATTAAATACCTCTGTTAGTTAGTATCTTACGCACATGCGAATAAATAAATTAAATTAAATTATAAATTTACAAGGAGGCTGATTTATTGTTAACGAAACGCACAACAAATTTATTTAAATTATTAATTTGAATTTTAAGCGATAAATTTAAAAAAAAGTTCGATTGTCATTTTTTATTAAACAATTTTTTATGTATATTAAAAATTTCACTTTGTGCTTCATCTTTTTGATATTGAAACGTATTGGTGAAAGAATATAATTGTGACTGTATAAGAATTGATAGGAAAACTTGGAGCTTACGAAAAATTCACGAAATTCATTCTGTCTTACACTGACCTTTCTATATGGCTGTTTTTATCTTTTGATTGATATATTTTCGCGAAATCTCTATACATATATCATCTTAAATATCTGACTCTATATACTTGGATTTATATTATTGTACCAGCACACTCGTGCGCGTGTTTTTTTATATCTATATATACTTATATCTGTGATGACTTAGAATCCTCCCCTACGATTGAGACAACTGTTTGACAAATTCGTAGATTACAGCTGATCCAAGTGCGAAATCTCTGTGAGAAGCCACAATTTTTCTACCTTCAATATCGTTTTTTTAAGAAATTAGCACACAATTGGCACTTTGTTACAAATAATTTTTCTTTTCCAACATGATAATCTTATAAGTTTTAAAAGCATAGTTTGTAGGGGAAATAAAATGTGGCTTATAATATATATATGATACATATATAATATATATGAGATAAGCCGCGTTATGGGATAAAACGACACTTCGTTGTATTTACGTTCTTGTTTCATATATAGATTTTGCTAAGACAATATATCGATATATTTATATTGTATTTATAATATAAATAAATTATTGTTATTGATACATCAAATTTTGGTACTGATAAATCAATTGTCTCACATCATATGTGTGTGAGCATATATATATATATATATATATATATATATATATATACTCTATAGATATAATTATTGTATAATAATATCTGTGTGCATGAGCATGCGTGTATATGTGTAGATTTATTAATTTCGTTTAAAATAATTTAATTATTAATTAAATAATTTTATTATTTATTATTATTCAAGTCCAGTCGCACGTTTTATGGAGATAATGAAATGATTGTACAGCAATTTTAAAAATCGTATAGCATGCGTGCAGTGCTAATAATTGCTTTATTTAATCACGAAGATTCCTAGAATGGGTCACACCTTTGCGACATCCGCGCGCGTTTATGTAACTTTGGATTGCAAAATTTCTGTTGTTTCTAGATCTTCGTGCCATGCTCACGCTGCATACCACCTGGAATTGCTCGATCGTGCATTGCAGTATTTGTAATTCGCGATAACATTCCCGTGTGTGCGCAGTTTCGACAAGATAGTCAGCAATGTTTGCCAAAAGTTTGTCATGAATGTTTTACGATCCCGACGCTTTTCGCCGGATGTACGTAACAAGTTGTTTATATTTTCGCAACTCTATACGCGCGAGAGCCTATACGCAAAGATTTATAAGATATAAACGCGCGTCGTGTAGTTTTATACGTCGTGGCCAACAATCAGGAAGCAAATCACATTAATTGAGCAATCGCAACTAAATCTCAAGTCGTCACAATTGCACAATTATCGTAAAAACCATTAATAATGCGGTAACTTTCTATAGATTTTTAATATGCTTACGATTCGAGACAAGATTTAAATATTTTTTTTATTTTGTTGACATTCAAAATTGACATAGGCACATTGAAAATTTATAATTTTGTTCCCTGCGTGGAAAATATTCTGCTATAAATTTTATAATTTTATTCTACCGTAATTTTTTTAATCACTATGAAAATAATTTTTTTTAATTAGTAATAAAATTACACAGAGATAATTTTCTCTTAAAATTTACCCTGAAAATCATCCTGGGACAATATAGTATTGGAAGAATATTATAAGTTTCTCTGATTAATATCTACTACAATAAGATATAAAAATATATTATATTCGATTAATTTTATTACTATATGTCCACATTAATATTTTTTATTGTGGTAAATATTAATCAGAGAAACTCTTATAAAATTCTTCCAATATTATCCCACGATTATCATGATTTTCAAGGTAAATCCTAACAGGAAATTCTCTCCGCGTAGTAATTTCAATTTTTTTAATAATGTGCGATATGCAGCGACACGTATATATTTTCATTCTTCCGTTTCATTCATATGTGCGATTTAAGGTCACAATATAATGATATGAATGAACGAGGCGTTATTAATTGCGCTGTTGAAAATACAGCGTAGGTTTGCGCTCCATTTATATATTCACCTCGAGGCGGGGGATCGCTAATTGCATCAATTATTTCGACGAATGTTAATGAACGTTTACGTACTCGACGACTAAATTCGATTCAATTGCTCACGAATTCGAATACAAGTCGGCCGTGTCACGCTGTGTCATGCCCAATTAAGAGCAATTTTAATAACAAAATCGACTCTCATATGCTTACGTCAACGATGGTTGGGCGCGCAGTTTCTATCAGATGATCGTACGAGGAAGAGATCCAAGCGAAACGGAGTTAAACGGAATTTCTAATTAAACGAACATTTTTCCGCATGATGCTTCGTGAATCTCTCATTTCAAGAATACTCTCGACTGTGCTTAAGTTTATTGTGACGTGAAGAAATTTACGCGAAAGCGAACAGCGTAGAAAAACGTATAAAAAAATAATTTTCCACGTCTTTACTCTTAACTAGAAAATGTTATAACGAGATCATTAGATTTTGAAAGCATCTTTCACGAGGGAGAATGTGAACCAGATAGGTTACTTGGATAAAAAAATCTTTCGAGGAGATACATTATCTTTATAAATTAGTAGCTTTGAAAAATGGATTGTGAGAAGCATTCGTAAAAGAGAATTAATAATTTCGAACATTCCTTTGATTTTTGACGAAAGAAAAATATTTTTGCGTATGTTTCTCTCGTGAAAATAAAAATTTATAATTATATTATAAATAATAATATAATATTAATTATAAATATTAATTAAATACCATAATATATAATAAATAATATAAATTATAAATATCTAATATAAAATATTATAAATAACATAAATTCATAATAAATAATAATTTGCAAAACCATTTGTTGAATAAAATAACGAAGATTGAGAAAGATAAAATTGTCAAGATTTGCTTAGACTAATAAATCAATAATAATATACATTATTGTTTCTTTTCATGCAATTTCTAATTTATTGCAATATTGTTAATTCGCCAATTAAAAATTATACAATATCGCTATTGTTGTAACAAAATTAGATTCATAGATAGATATATACGATCACCTTGACCGTTCTGAAAGTGGCATTAAACCGGAGGACAAAAAAAGTGAAAGTCGATATAGAGATACTGAAAGCAGTCGAATCACTATTGATCGGACAGATCGCAAAACTGTGGACTGTGAACACTTGGTCTCTTAATATGTGATATTTTCCAGACGCAGAGCACAGTTGTAAAGGATTTTTACTCGCTAAGCTTAAGTGAATTATTGTGTGTCGATGAATTCGAAGGCGAAAGTCATGAAATCGAGAAAGTGCGTGTAAACGAAACGGACTTCGCATATCATAGTTGCAAATTTTAGCTTGTACTTTTAAGATATGATCTACTATCGTTACTAGCACAATGTAATGCTGTCTGATATATTACATGGATTATTATTTCATTTAAGAGTGTTTAGGTAAGTGTTTTATAGCATTTATTGCACACGTGTAGATTAAGATCAACACAATAAAATCTATTTCATTTTACGAGCCAAAGAAATAATTAATTAAATTCACAGGCACGCATATGAGTATCGTGTTTATATAGCAAAAGATTCAGACTTCGCGAAAACGTTTAATTTCATGATGAAAAAATAATATTATGGAAAAATTTTAATTTCATAAATGTAATGTTTCTATACGCAAATTAATGTGTTTACATTGCAAATTATTCTGCCTTATATCGATTACAAGTGCAATGCAGAATATATATATGTGCAATATCTTTTAATCGTGATAATTTATTTCTACAAGAAACCATTAATAAAATTTGTTTGCCATTGGTTGCCTGCATTAAAGTATAATTAAAAAATTGATTTTCTATAATTAGAATACGTTTGTGTATCAGATATGTGTAACACAAAACTACCTCTTAATTAATTAGTATTGTTATCTGATGGAGAAATAAAAAGACCTATTCCAACGATATGTCAAACATATGTATCGTAAAAGAGTACATATATTTATTGGTTAATTAATTGTTCAATTAATTAATTGTTACTCTGTGTGTGTCCTTCTCTCTTTCTCTCCAATTTCAAAATTAAAGTAATTGAGATAAAAGTAAATTGAGATAAACAAATAATAAATATTATCAAACTTCAAATCTGCATAATAAATAACAATTTGTTAAAAAGAAAAAGAAAAAATCTCTGTTGAGAACAAATGCCACGATTATTACAAGTAGCGTACTTTAAATATCGCCTGACATAAATCTTTTTGTGAAAGAGAGAAAAAAAGAGAATAAAAAAGCGAAATAAAAAATGGATTTAGAAAATATCTTATTTAAAGTATATAAGAAACAATATATTTCTTTGTCATTTAACTTTTTATGAACCTTTTCAATTTTTTATGAACCCTTTTATCAGCGATTAATTATTTTTCCCTTTTCTTTGTTTCTACAGATTTATTTCTGTATAATATATCTTTGACAGATATTTGCATCTTTTATCATCGATTCTTTCGCAGGTTTGCAACGTCAGCGATTTATTTGATAAAACAAAAAGGAAATTATTGGGCCAACTAACGAGACAAAAATATGCGGTCTTTATAATTTTTTACATTAATTACTTTAATTTATTCATTTAATTAATGTAATAATTATTACATCGCAACTATATCTCAAGTCGTCACAATAATTGCACAATTATCGTGAAATCCATTAATAATGCGGTAACTTTCTATAGATTTTTAATATGCTTACGATTCGACAAGATTTAAATATTTTTTTTATTTTGTTGACATTCAAAATTGACATAGGCACATTGAAAATTTATAATTTTGTTCCCTGAGTGGAAAATATTCTGCTATAAATTTTATAATTTTATTCTACCATAATTTTTTTAATCACTATGAAAATAATTTTTTTAAATTAGTAATAAAATTACACAGAGATAATTTTCTCTTAAAATTTACCCTGAAAATCATCCTGGGACAATATAGTATTGGAAGAATAATTGACTTAAATTGATTTTCTATTCCGTAACGAGCTTTATTATGTTATACATATATTTTGAATTTGTTTCATGCACGTACCTTTAGATGCACATACCTTAGAAACAATTAAATCACGCAGTGCCCCTGGCTGTATGCAACCCGATGGACAGCGATCAAGTCTCGAATCGGTCGAAAGACGGCGCGCATCGATTCTCTGACGCGACACCGTCGACGACAACCTTATCGCTCTGTTGGAGGAAGAACGTTTCCGCGCTTCTTTGCTTCGCTTGCGGCGCCTGCTTCATCCTGAGTTTAATTTGCACCTGCCTGGCTACGTTGGTCGTCCTTCTGGATCAGGCTATCGAAGCGACGAGTCGATACGGTGAGAATGCAAAGAATTTTTTTAACCGAGCACTCCGTGTCGCGCACTACTTTGAGCCTCGTGAAGGCAGTCAACAGTGACGTGAGTCGAATCTTCGCGATTACGTGACGATAAATTCAAAAATCTGTCACATGTGACAGATCTCCTCTTTGCTCCTTATCGACACACTTTGCCCCTGGTTTGAGTCCAGGCTAATAAAATCCTTTGATTTTACCAAAAAACTTTGCCTTCGGTGCGAGTTCAGGCTAAAATATTTTTATTTTACACGTATAATCGAAGGATTTTAGTCTGAACTCTAGGCACTAGAGACAAAGTTTTTTGGTAAAATTAAAGGATTTTATTAGCCTGGACTCGAACCAGGAGCAAAGTGTGTCGGTAAGGGGCAAAAATGACGGTCTCCTCTTTAGACAGGCCTTTGACGATCTGTCTATTAATCTGTGCATGTGACATGTGACACGTGACATGGACCTGCAGCTATGTTCCCGGTTATATTATTTATGTTATTTATATGGCGGGAGAGCGAAAATCATTCCGTTTCAGGTCCGTTAGAATTGTTTTTGTAAGTTCTCGCTGCCTTCTTACAATGATATATATATATTAAATTTTTTTTTCTCGATATCTTATGTTTAAAGGTAAACAAGTCCTTATATTTATAGAGTTATTCTTGTTTCTAAATATACATTGGTAATTACTTGATAGAGTTTTTCTTTAGAAAAACTGTTTATCAATAAAATTATCTATTTGAATTCTGTTGGTTAGAGTTCTGTTGAATGTTACAGAAAAAAACCGCGTCCGTTTAACGTGATAAGATACAAACAGTAGCTAACCTAACCTAACCTAACCTAATCGCATTCAGATAAACACCTGATTAAACTGTTATAAGAGATTGCTTTCACAATGTTAAGTAGCCTTTTGTTATAGCGACAAAATTCAAAGTTTAATTACTGATTAAATACATACAATCATAAAATTTTAATTGACTGAAAGTCGGACTTCATGATCAGCTGATAGAAACTTGTCACATTAAATGCTCAACAAAATACTGTACATACGACGTACATATTATTTAATATGATAATTTGTGCATTAAATCAGACATGAATATTTGTAATAAATATCATATCACAGTTTATACTGAAAATATACTGGATTATCGCTTCAATTATTCATGTTCCTTTTTAAATTTCTGGATAAATAGTTAAACTTGTTTTCAACTTGTGGAAAAATCAGTTTTGCATTAATATTAGTAATATAAATTTAATCAGATATGAAATATATATTTTTTTATCGACTCTCAATATTAATAATTATAATAAAATATGATATTTAAAATATAATAATATAAATTTAATTATATATAAATGTAAATTAAAATAGCCATTTCTAGATTACGCAATAATATTTATCTATATATTGTGAATTGTGTATATATACCTAACAATGATGATAATACAAGGATCAATTCTATTTTCAGATTTGATCAATAATACAGCAATGACTAGTTCCGATGAAAGCTATAGATTGCCAGAAACAGTCAAGCCTATATTTTATGATCTCTTCTTGCATCCAAAACTTGAAGAAGGCACATTTTCTGGGAAGGTGACTATCCTTATTGATGTCTTTGAAGATAGGGAAAACATAGCTCTTCATCAAAAGGATCTTACCATTACATCATGGAAATTGAGAACTTATGGTCTAGAAGAAGACTATGATATTAAAATTTCAATCAATCCCCCTACAAAGTATGATATTTTTGCGATAATAACTGAAAATAAAACCAACTTAAAACCAGGATTGTATCAGTTGAGTTTAGAATTTGAGGGAAATCTTAGAGAAAAGATCGCTGGAAAGGTTGAACCTAAATTGGTTGGATTCTACGCCAGCAAGTATAAGTATATTGAAGATAATGAACAAACCAGGTAAAATCATTATTAACAGATAATACTTGTTATTAGTAGATAATACTTGTTATATCAATGTAGAGAGATATATAGACATTGTGTGATAAATTTAATCAGTTTCTATTTATGTACTGCAATATGACAGAATATATTATAATTATGTCTTTGTACAATTTAATTGATAGATGCATCGCTACTACCAAGTTTGAGCCAACTTATGCTAGACAAGCTTTTCCATGTTTTGATGAACCTAATTTTAAAGCAGAATTTTCAGTGAAGTTGGTTTGTCCTATGGAAAATTCGTATCATTCCTTATCCAATATGAATATAATAGTATGTAAATCTTTTGAAACAATATTAATTGTTGCTTCGAAAAAAAAGTTATTTCAAGCAACTCTTATTGAGAAATTATTTCTTTATTTTAGAAAACGGAAGAAGATAAACCACAGGAAAATCTAAAGACAACAACCTTTGCAAAAACTGTTCCCATGTCGACATATCTAGCTTGTTTTATTATCAGTGATATGGTTAGTTCAAAAATGATGGCAAAAGGATTAAATGGCCAAGAATTTCCAGTTAGTGTTTATAGCACAAAACTTCAAACAAAAGAAAAGAGACATTTTGCTTTGCATATTGGTGTGAAAGCTATTGAATATTACATAAACTTATTTCAAATAGATTACCCATTACCGAAACTCGGTAAGTACATAATGTAAAGACTTAGGAGTTATTTTATTTATTAAAATAAAATAACGATTTGTTATGAATATTTAAGGATTTCAATACATTATTTTTTAAATTATTCTTTCTTTCTATTCTCTGTATAGATCTGGTTGCTATCCCCGATTTTGTATCTGGTGCTATGGAAAATTGGGGCTTAGTGACTTTTAGAGAAGCAAGACTTCTTTATGATGATCGCAATAACTCCATTATTGATAAACGCGATGTTATTGAAGTAATCTGTCATGAATTGGCTCATATGTGGTTTGGAAATCTCGGTAAATATTTGCATATATATATATATATAGTATCAATAAATAATGGCTTAGGGGAAATATGAAATGTATTTTTTTTTTTTTTTTATTTTTTTTTTTTTTTTTTCAGTTACTCTAGCCTGGTGGAATGATTTATGGCTCAATGAAGGTTTTGCTACGTTTATGTCGTATAAGAGTGCAAATGAGATTTTACCAAACCAAAAACACGTTAGTCTTTTGATAGCAATCTAATCGAATATTAATGTAAATAAGTATTTTAAATGTAAATATTCATAAATAAATTCTTTTCAGATGGAGCAATTTTCTGTTAAGGTAATGCATAAAGCGTTTATGACAGATGCAAAACTAAGCTCTCATCCTATAATTCACGATGTTCAAAATCCAGATCAAATAACATCATTCTTTGATGAAATTTCTTATAAAAAAGTATGATTATATAATATATTATTTAATAGTGATTTTTAGATTGATTCTTTATTGGTTTTTGCTCAAATTGTTGTGCACTTTAGGGAGCATCTGTAATTCGCATGATGGAGAACTTTATTGGATCTAATGTTTTTTATAATGCTATTGGTATTTATTTGAAAAAGTATGCTTATATGAATGCGAAAAGCGCGGATCTCTTTGATATTCTACAAGACGCGGTCGGAAGCAAACTAAACATAACAACTATAATGAATACTTGGACGCAACAAGAAGGCTTTCCTGTTATTAATGTGCAAAGGTCCGAAAATACATATATATTAACTCAAAAACGATTTCTGCAAAATTCTGGAACCAAATATGATCCTTCAAAATCGGCTTTTAAGTAAGTTATTTTATTTCGAAGTAGTAGAAGAAACTTATTTAAGAATATATATATATATATATATATATATATATATATATATATATATAATGTTACATCTATTATTTGCTTATATAGATATCGCTGGACTATACCCATTACTTACATAACGAACAGAAACGATACACCCACTCTAATATGGTTTGATAAGGATGCGACTGAAGGTATAAATTCGGATTTTATAATTTACATGTTATACAATATGTTTACATACATTATATACAGTTAATTATTAAATAATTGATTATTTCTCTTTTATTCTTTCGTTTTGCTTTATAACTTGCAATAATTCTATAAGAATGTTAAATATTATAATATATAAAAACTTTAAGAATTTATAAAAAAATGTTTATTTTCATTATTTTTCTTTTTATGGTTTTTATGCTATAATTTTTAATTATAGATTTATTTTTTTAATTTTGTATTTGAGCACATCAATCTTACTTAGTTTTTGTATTGTATTCTATTTTATATATTGTAAAATTTATAACTCTCAAGTAATATAAAAATCCGCTGTCCATCTATTTATCTATCTCTTTCTCTATATAATTTTATATTTCACAGTTGTGATCAATGTTGATGAAAATACAAGATGGATAAAACTTAATGTGAATCAAGTTGGTTATTATCGAGTTAATTATGAAAAAGAATGGGAAACATATACGGAGTTACTTCGACATCATCCAACGGTAAAAAAAAATGTTTACTTTTTTATTAAATAATTTCTAAAATATTATGTTACTTATTAATACATTATAAAGAAAGTGAATATAATTGTTGTAGATTGATATAGTACTTTGCATTATTATTGTAGTTTTTTTTAAATTAACTTTGAATTTTTTTTATTATATTAATTATATTAATTTTGCATTATTTTTTTCTATTGCAGAGATTATCGATAGCAGATCGAGCTAATCTTTTGGATGATCTCTTTAGCTTAGCAGCAGCTGGTGAAATAAGCTATTTTAAATCTCCCGTGTTAACTATAATTTTTTATATGCTTATTCAAGAATACCATGCTGTTCCATGGACAGTCGCGAGTAGGCAAATGAGAATTATGTATAATTTGTTAAATTCTGCCGCTGAAACTAGAAGAGAAACTAAAAAGAAACTAGGAAAGAATCTAGAAGAGAAAGAAGAAGTGATACTGAATGTCGCAACTCACTTTCAGGCAATATATTATTATATATCCTATATATTAATTGAAGTATTATATTTTGATACAAGTTACTTTTATATATATATATATATATTTTTTTTTATATATATATACGTAATACATTTTCAGATTTACGCATGTAGAATTGTAGATAATATATTCAAGGATGTAGGTTGGACTTTCGACGATGATATGGAAGATGATGTATCGTTAACAGGCATTGATAGCACAGTGCGTGTAACGATACTCGAATTTGCATGTGCAATGGAGAAGCGGAAATGCTTGAAACAAGCCGGGCGCATATTTAACAATTGGCTTACTTTGAGGAAAATGCCGCATCCTAACATTCGCAATTTGGTTTATTACTATGGTTAGTCTAACATATTCATCTATCCTTTAACTCATTTAATGATCAAAAAACTTTAATTGGAATGCAAATTTCTCCGTAGGTATGCGTTATACTTCGGATGAAGACAATTGGAGGGTGATGTTTGAATACTTCAAAAAGGAGACCGATCCTCTCGAGAAAAATAAAATTATGAACGGATTAGCAGGGATAAAAAGTACTGATACTTTAAAGAAGTTAGTATTAATAAATTTTACTATCGACATTTTTCATTCAAAATAATAACAATTTAAATTATAATTGTTTTTTTTCTGTTAGATATATCAATTTAGCTAAGGATGAGAGAATTGTTCGCAATCAAGATTTCTTGAATTGTTTGATTGCGATTTCCGAAAATCCCGATGGTACACTGCTAGTGTGGGACTGGGTGCGCAATAATTGGCAATTCCTAGTAGATAGATATTCATTAAATGATCGATATCTCGGTCAACTTATACCAGCTATTACAAAGTCCTTCACTACAGAAACTAAATTAGATGAGATGAATGCTTTCTTTGAGAGATATCCTGACGCCGGTGCTGGTGCGGACAATCGTAAAAAAGCTCTCGAGACTGTCGAGTGGAATATTAAGTGGATTGATAACAATGCTTGTGATATCGACGATTGGTTCAACAATTGGTTTCAAAAGGAAGACAGAAGTTTCAACGAATAAATATAAAAAAAACAAAAAAATATTTTAACACGCCAGATAGCATTTTGAAAAAAAAAAATAAATATTTGGAGTTTAATAATATATAACATTTCGCATATGAAGATAACTTCTTCGATCACCTTGTTAAGCTATAAGCTAAGACTACGTTAAACGAAAACATCAGTCTGTATTAAGTGCGAAATGTGTTTTTTATGTGATATGTTTATATACAATCTTATACTTAAAAATATACACAAAAATTTATATAAATATAATTAGATTAAAATATATTTCTCATATATTGTTAATTAGTCATTTTTCCTTCAATTCTGGATTTTGTGAATTATTTCACTTAAGATGTTGCACATAAAAATTTCTGGAGGTCGAATCCATTATAAGATCGATTATATTGGACTCTATTTTTCTTATAATTGGTTTAATGTACATTCGATTGACCGATTATTGCCGTAAATAGAGTAATTTAGATCGTAAGGATCGTAATACAACGTACGTGCAAACACTGCAATTGCACATTATTTTTAATAGCTTGGATGTTTTAAAAAAAATGCTTACTAAAAAATCATGAAGATTCTTTTCTTATATTAAGATTTTTTTCCTAAAAATTTGCACAACTTTATGTGGTTAAATTGTTCGCGAGGAACTATAATTTCTTATTCGAAAAAAAACGATATTTGTCATCATTTCAGTTTACTTTTAATAAGTAAACAGTCAAGAAAATTATGCGCGAAAGTGTATTAATTGTGCGATATAATGGATTTTGGTAGCGATAAAAGAATTTTTGCGAAATACGATATAATTTATTGTGTAACGGAAAATTGAATGAATGATATCCTATTTTATTTGTACTATCAGAAGCTGTAATTTTTCAATTCCAACGGAATGAACACACGACGCACACACATAAATCCGAGACATAAAACAGACTTTAAACCACAGCGTACGGTTTAATATGACACGTGGAGAGATACATTTCCAACGCTGACATGACATTCAGCGAACACTACTGGTTAAGCAATTAATTAAAATTCTGCAGTTTTTATATAAATAATACAACAATTCAGAATAATATATCGTGGAGAAATATTTTTTTTATTTGCACATTTACACGCACACTTATAAACGAGATCATTTATTGAAGCTCCCTATCTCGATTGCTATAGAATATGTTTAAATGAAAAAGAAAGATTCCGACAAAAATTCCACGGTTTCTTTGCTACAGTTTATTTGTAATTAAGCGGAACACATATGTGGGATCGTATGGCATGCACGCTTACAAAAAGTCGTTTCATTTTGATACCGTGATCTCATTAACCACGGACTCTCCTCATCTAATCTCTAATTTCATATCAAACCCTTTTTACACTTAAGCACTTTCATTTCGCACATGAATCCCCTTTCTTTTGCAATTCATGTGTTGTGATAAGCGAAACTGACGTCGAAAATTCACACATGAGGGAGTCTTTCAAAAAATTATCATCCTATGTCCTGAATTTTTATTATGTACATAATAGAAATTCGACAAATTAAAATTATGTACATAATAAAAATTCAGTGAATTAAAATTATGTACATAGTAGAAATTGGGTGAATTAAAATTATGTATATAATTTTAATTAATTTTTGTTATGTACTAAACAACACAACCGTGCGCTTTGCTATCAAAATTTACCAAATAGATCAAAATCTGCTTTTATTAGATAGTATAGAATCTCTAATAAATTTAAATTAAATTTGTTTCTTAGTAAAAACGAATCATATAATTTTTTTTATATGAGTAATAAGCATTTATGTTATAAAGCTGCTGCAAATAAACTTAATTTTAGAAATTTTAGTATTTCTATTTTTAAATACTTTAAAATAATATTAACTTTATAAGAATATTAAATTGTGTGCATGCATATATCAATTATAGAAATATCTAGAGTATTTATTGTTTTAACAGTAATGGCTAATTCGATAGAAAGGGAACACTTTGTATACCTTTATAATAATATATTTACATACACAGACTCATGCAAACTTGATAGCAATTTCAACAGGTGTTCAACTAGCACACGTGTGTTGCTAGATTAGCATCAGAATGCGTAATTGAATTACGCAATAAATCATTTGGATGATCAAATATTTCCTGGTAAATTTGTGCACAGCAGCATTCAATTAAATCTTTATTCATATATCATGATTAATAAAACGATTAAAATATACCAAATGTACAGTACATAATTGATAAATAATATAAATATACCTTATAAGTTATCTTATCAATTAAATCCATTATTTTACATCATTCTCTTAATTAGTTATCTTAATGATTATATATATGTATACACATATATAGAGAGAGATAAAGAGAGAGCGAAATTATAATGTTCAGTAAAATCTCATTGCCAACAATTGTAGACAACAGAATATAGCTCTTTGTAAGACGCGAATTCAATTAATTCATCGACAAATTGTTAAAATCCTTTGTATCATATTATGATATTATATGTATCTACAATTAGGTGGTGTTTATTCGCGAGGAAAATCATGCAATTCTGTTAATGGAAGTACTCTATGCGGAGAGTCTCAAGCGTATTGCAAATGCGTATTCACACGTGCATTCTAAAATAGCTGCCACTTGTGTATATGTCTAGATTGACTTACAAAAAAACTGTTAAAACTCTATAAACAATTTATAGAATTTAATCATGCGCGTTGCTCTTGACTCTTCATCTTCTCTCTTCCGATTGACGTCGCAGCCACGTTCGCTAGGTGCCCTTCAAATGCGTTCATGCGTCACGTATTTGTGATTATGATCGAGGCACCACGGGGGTTGAATTCAGTAGACTGAAAGATTGTGATAAGCGTAAAAAAAAAAAAAAAAAAAAAAAAAATAGCGAGGCAAAAGGAACTCACCGCTCACTGTCGAGTGCAATTAATATCAACTATACAATATTATTCTTCTCTCCACATTTCACGAGAGTTTCCAAGTATCAAAGGAAGAAAACTTGGCGAAAGGATTAAGATTCTTCATCCTTGCACATATATTTTATTTTATTCTCGCGAAATTATATATCACCCTGGAGTTAATTCCTCCCTTTATTCAACTCACGAACTTTTTTATCCCGAGTGAAAAGCTTTATTGGTGCAACTAACTCTTTTGAGATTCACGAATACGCATTCTTCAACGTCGCCAAATGTCTTCCACATTTTTTTTATCAGATCACAGTCGTTCAATCTTATACCATAATAGATTTCATTAGATTCTTACTTTGAGTTCCCTTTTATTCAATTAGAAATCGATGACCTTTGCATTTAACTTCTCTTAGTAATCTGTAATTATTGTCTATAGATCTTCGAAGAATTCGACAATTCATAAAATCATCGTTACTTGTCGACAGAGAATCTTTCGAAGAAGAGATCTTTTTCTTGAGAAATTTCGGTAATTATATTCTTGATTTTTTTTTTAATTCGAACAGAATTACGCGATCGAGAGATAATAATTATTTCACCGTGAAAAATTGGATAAAGGTCCTTTTTCTGTCTTTCTCTTTTAGATTTACGAGAGAAGAATACTGGGATTCAAATTAAATAAAAAAAATACGAAGATTAATAAGGTTCTCGATCTATTAACGACCGTGTAAAATTACACACGCGTCTTATTTGGATCGGATTTCTTTTTTCTTCTTGGCATTCCTTTTTCGAGTTTGAATAATCTCGAGTTGCTTTGATGATCGCATGATATTATAACAAGTGCATAGTCTCTCTATGCATGAAATAATGTTTCGCTACAAAGAATCTCTCTGTTACAGAGGAAAGCTCTGTGGAATTCTCGGGGCGTAATTTACTTTGAACTACGCAAGATAAATTCTCGTAATCTACTTATTAAATTGTTAGTGAAGCTTCGATCAAACTTCTCTGATGAGATGATAAAAGAAACATTATACACGTGTCACGTTGTTATCGATGCAACGATATATAAATAATTAACAAAAGGAAGCAATAAAAATTCAAGAAAAATCATTCGCGTAGAATAGATGCGTGAATCAATATGGGGAACATTAAAAACGATGTAATAAAATTACGAACCAGACGATTCGTGTAAGAACACTTGACAAGAAGGGTGTCGCGAATATTTATTCGCGCAAACGCATATTTCATATACGAATAAACTGTAATTACCCAGCTTGCGAGATGTGCAAAGAGTTCTGCTAAAGCGTACGCGTAATTTATATATATATACGTGTTATCTAGATTTGAATGATATATATAGATATATGTACATGGATGATCCGCCAAATCCATTCTTCCAACCAGTCTACTCTCGGTTTTATTATTTTTATTTTTTTATTTATCTGCGCAATGTCATTTATCACGGTGAATTAACGGTGTAAATAGATATTTTAAGAAAATAATATAAAAGAGGATTTCGAACATTCCACAAAATGTATAGCCAAGTTACACTCGCAAACTTTCCCAATATTATCCTTATAGCTTAACATGAGTAAATTTAATACATAAATAACTCGTGATTTTTATAATGGGTTTACGTGTTCAGACATAATTATTTGTCAAATTATAAGAAATAAATAATTTTATTGAAAAAGAGTTCATTTTTCAAGACTTATTTGGGACAAACTAGAAACAATCTTTGATGCGTGTACATATTTGTCTTAATATTATCTTTATCAAAATGATAAAAAATGACACAATATGATCTTGAAATATGTAATTTAAAATCATCAATACTGAATTTTTTGTTTGACATAGTTAAAAAAACAAGCAATATTTCACAAGAGAAAAAGTGTCAAATGCTGTCAGATTTTGAAGAATCATCGGCAAACACTTTTCTCGCACCGCCTGGTATTGTCATTAAATAACTTGGCGAACTTACTTTAGTAAAAAAAAACCGATCACACTCATATTCTACGATGTGTATTTTTCAATTTTATTTTTCTTTTCTTTCTCAAACCAGCTGTTCTCGTAGATAATTCTATTCGAATAACGTGAAATGCTGTTCCAGCCTTTCTTCGATTCGTTGAGAATGAGAAAAATGATTCAAATCAAAGTGCTCATTTCGATATTTTTTTAACATTATTTTATGTGACATGCGAGATGACGTTAATTTATAATTTTGACGCATAATATTCGAATCAAATCAAGTAGAATAAAAATAAAATTTTAAGCTAAAGATTATTTTATTTTATAACAAATGCGTTTTTTCACAAGTAATATTTAAATCTCTCTTTTAAATATTTGTCTATATTTCTCCTTTGCTTTATTATTTTAAATTATATTTTATCGTCTATTTTAAATTTTAAATCCTATATATTTTATTAGATTCTAATTCAGAATTCGTTTTGATTCCAAATGCATTTCGATAGAAAAAATAAAGTCGAATCAAAATTATAATCGTAGTATCGAAAAATTATAAACTAATTATTATAAATCCCATTGTTTTTATCGATCATTTACATATATATTTCTATGTTTACAAAGCGAGAATTATAAAAATTAATTATAATCGACAAAAGCTTATACATAGCTTATATAAAAGCTTACATAAGATTATATACCAATGGAAAAGAAAACAAATATATAAATTTATATGTATACTCTATATATATATATATATATATATATATATTCGTTTCTATTGAAATGTTATTTTGAATGTGCAGAATCTAATGTTTGTCTGATAAGAGATTACGTTACAATGACTTTAGCACAATTCCCTCGTAATTTCGCTGAAATGAACGAATCATGCGTCATCCAATAACGTCATATGTCACGTCGCAAAACAATTCTGGAATCTTATTTTTACGATAATTCCGACCTCACGTGTCTAATCACGGATCAAAGCGATCCTTTAATGTCAAAAACAATCAATGCCTTTTCTACCGCATATGGTACAGTTATTCTTTTTCAATAAGGATTCTTATTCTATATTCTTTTTCAATAAGGATAAATTTTTTTTCAATAAGGAAATCAAATGTTTTGACAACAAAATACAATCAAAAAGTATGATGACATAAAATAACAGGCAATCAAATAATAAAAAAAATATAGTTTTCTATAATAAATTAATAAAAGAATTATTTCTCGTCCTCTTTTATACGAGTTTATATACAAATGTAAATGCTGTTAATATAATTTATATATAAAATTGTATTTTTGTTTATTTTTTAATTATTTCTCTGAATTTATATAATCGATCGCCTTTTCATTGGAATATATGAAAGTGAAAGAATTTTATGACTTTTATTCCCTAAGTTACAATTTGCCGCATGAGATCAATCTGCCTGTGTATCTATGCAATAAAAAGGGGAAAAAGTGTAAAATTTTATTCTCGTAAAAAGTTTTGTCGATGTTCCAGGCTAAGTAAGTAGTTTCTATTCAGTGTACGTAGAAAGGAAGTTCCTTTTCTTGTGGATTGAGATGATAGTGTCGTCTCTAGTAGCGGAAATAAAAATGGAATAAAGATGAAATCTCAAGAGAAGATAAACATATTATTATTGGGAAAAGGAATAATAGAGAAATAGTGATAAAGGCAAAGCAAAAAAATCGGATAATGCGCGCATGGTGAATCGCGAAAAATAAGCGAATAAAATTTGCATCTGCGGAATATATCGTATTTCTTCGATTTTTCGATTCATCGAACAAATTCCAGAAGAACGAGCGTTCGTTTTCGAATTTGTAAGAGAAGAATCTCCATTTTTTACATCTACTTTACATCTACTTTATATATCAATAATCATTTAGTCAATTTACATTTTTCATCCTTTATTTATGAAATAGCGGATTTTATACTAAAGAAAAAGAGCGATCGAGATCATTTTTTACTGACAAGTTTAAAATACTTAAAATGTAGCTCACGTGCGTTTGTTAAATTTTTATACGCGACTGTCTGTATGAAATTCCCAAGTCTTTAAAAAATAAAAACACCAAGCGAGATAAAACGTCTTCATCATATATGTACATACATGTATTTTATCGCATATATACATATGTACAAAATGCATCAAGAGAATACTTCCTCTTTAAATTATTTTAAATTGTCTTAGCATAAAAAATAATTACATTTCTGCAATAAATTTTGTACAAGAAAGGATAAAAATACTTAAGTTTCAAAGTAATACCACTTTGTGAATATCTAATACGTATAAATGCGGTCTCAATGTCGATTAAATTTTAATTTTCCAGAGAGAATGGTTTTCAATCGAGCACATTCCGCAATGCATTTCATTGCATCGAAATGGAAATCCAACGATAAGGCGAAATATACGATATATGCGTAAATGGAAAAAAAGTCAGTCGCTATCAAAGATAGCGCCCTTTAAAGGCCATCTGGTTGTTGGAATGTTAAAAGGTGAGAAAATTGAATAGAGACGAGGGAAAGTCGCTAATGAAAAATTACGCCGTCGTGTAAACAGCGAAATTGCAATTAAGTGCTGTTGCAGGTAGTGCGAGAAAGCGTTTTTAAGAGAATGAGATGTCTACGAGGCTCATGCGACAACGAAGGCAACTTAACTTTATTCTCGCCGTAAATTTACTGTGTCACTTTAGTTTCCCCCAGCAGGTATTTATACAAGTGTTTAAACAGGCCAAAGTTTAAAATTAAAAGACACAAAGGATTTCTTTAGTTTCCGCCGCACTTATTTTATCAAAATTTCTTTCCGTCTGTGTATAATCAAATTAAAAATTATAATGTATACAAAGAGTGTTTCTATCAATTGCGTTTTTTTTTGAAACTTATAACTTAAACAAAAATTTGTTCTACAGCTGAGACTCGCGTTTTTGAAATGAATAAATAAATAATTTGTAGACACTCTTTTTCTCTCTCTTGAAAAAATTAGACTGTCCAATTTTTTTAATATAAATGTAGTAGAGTAATTATTCCACATTTTTTGCTAAAACAAGGTATAAAATGACAACAAAAATTTGTTCTACAGCTGATACTCGCGTTTTTGAAATGAATGAATAAATAACTTGTAGACACTCTTTTTCTCTCTCGAAAAAATTAGACTGTCCAATTTTTTAAATATAAATGTAGTAGAGTAATTATTCCACATTTTTTGCTAAAACAAGGTATAAAATGACAACAAAAATTTGTTCTACAGCTGATACTCGCGTTTTTGAAATGAATGAATAAATAACTTGTAGACACTCTTTTTCTCTCTCGAAAAAATTAGACTGTCCAATTTTTTAAATGTAAATAATCCAGCGGAGTAATTATTCTACATTTTTGCTAAAATAAAGCATAAAATTAGCATGTAAAATCCAACATTGCGTTTGTGACATTCTCAACTGAATATTCCCATCCTCGTAAAGTTCATTGTCAGACAAGTTTCACACCGTGGCACGAGGATCGAGATGGTCGCGATCTTCGCGCTGGCGCGAAACTCTCCCACCATAGATGTCTTCGGTACGCGCTAGTTTCGAGGGAGGATTCGGCATTTCCACGGCAAATCGAGTTCGACTTTTTCCGCGGCACGATGCGATGTGGTATGATCTCGTGATCTCGTGAAAGGGAATAAATTCGACGCGTATAACGATCGTGTAACGTCGTGCTGCAATCATCCCAGATCTGTTAAAAATTGGATTTTCGCCGGATTTGAGAGATCATCGTGTAAGGAAACATTTATATATATATATATATATATATATATATATTATAGTTGTAAAATAAGTATAAAAAATAAGGGTGAGAAATGTGTAAAAAAGAATATTAATTTAGATATATATATAAGCATGCAGAATGGTGCGAGATTAATATAAACGTGACAAATTATTATATTAAATAAATGTGAGATGATTAAGGTAATTTTGTATGCAGGAAGTAGAAGTAAAAATGAAAAGATTGTTTTGTTTTGAAAAAATGTCATGTGTTGCGGACGTTGTGTTCTATTGAGGAAAAGATATGCTGTACATTTTTTAATGAATGATTTCATAATGTCGTGACGCTGTCACAAGGCTAGCGTGCGTTTGGCCTTTGTTTTTATTTGAATTTTATTTAGTGAATCCATTCTTTAAAAAGTATCAAAGTTCATTGCTATTGCTTTTCAACGATGCTTATTGATTCTCTCGGTTTGTATTATTTTTCGCTTGCTTCGTAATCAACTATATCATCGCCAAAGTAGCGTATTTTGACAGTTCGAAATTCTATATTTTCTTTGTTGGATATAAATTTTAGTTGTCTTTGAAACGTAAGAAAAATCGTAGCATATTTGAATGATTGTCTAAACTATTTTTTTCCATAGGTTAAATGATGCATTACGTTTATAATTTTTAATTTTGGGGTTCGTTAAATAATACACGTGGTATAAGAAAATGAATGGCACGTACGTAACGTTTTATAATATTCTAGTAAAAGGCTAAAGAAGAATGTATGTTCTATCATACGCAAAAGTAACGTGCAATTTCTAGAAATAATTAAAAAATTAAAATATAAAAAAAGAGACGTAATAAATGTAATCTATATTTATGAATAAATTTTAAAAATAATCGGTATATTATATTTATGTGCTAAATTTTTTTTAATCATTTTACATAAAATATAACATTTAAAAAAATAAAGCTTATTGTTCGAAAAAAGCTTAGAAGAAAGTTAAAATTGTTAACGGTATAAATAATAAAAGAAATGTTATACATATATATCAGGGTGATCGAGATTAACAATCAACAGGTTGATCGGTAAATTCAGATTAAAATTTATGACTTGTGTGTTTTGAATACAAACGAAAATTTCCGTTTCGAATTTCGCAGCAGATCATGATTTATACGATCAAGTGCATTTTATGACGGAAAACGAGGATTTAAATGTAAATTTGCAACTCATTCGTTTTCCGAAAAATTATTATCCGGAGGTTTATTGTCGTCGATCGACAATATTCCGATATCGATTCTGAGATCTGTATACAACAAACGGACTCTTCCTATATACACAATAACACGCAAGCGATTATACTCTTCGCGCAACAGGTGAAAGAATCACGATGGATTCATCTCTATTATTCCTCGCAAGATGATTTTGTATGAGAGGAAGCAAAAAGTATGTAAAAAAATGTTATCGACAAATGGAGCCAAAAAGAAAATCGCAGATCACACGCAGAGCATCCGTTGACGTTGCAGAAAGATTAAAACAAGAAGTTTAAAAGCTCAATTCGATATTCACTCAAACGCTGCACTTTTGTGACGAATAACTTTGTTATTCAACCAAGTACGCTCTTATCTACTTTTTCTATCAAGGCTTTAACTCCAGTTTACGCAAGATCATCGTTTCGTCAGATCATTTGATATACAGCAGCAGGTAGAGTGACTACATCCACGTGCAACGATTAGTGCTCATCAGATCGAATACCTGGCATATTTTCGTTATTTCACTTTATAATTGTTAGACATTTATATTTGAAATTATATTTCTCCTCGCGTTGCAATATTAGGTAAACATCGAACTCTCTCGTGCTAAAAATTGGAGAAATATACGCAATCTCATCATTTCTATATTTGGAGATAAAATGATACAAATAGAACCCAAATCGATACACGTCAAATTATTATGGACTGAGGGAAGACGGGAAGTAAATTAGTAATAAGTAAACTCTTCTATCTTGAAGGAAGCAATCTTCGCACGCGAGATTCCAATTTATTAACGCGTGGTTTGTGATCATAATATTTAGGATCGATGTGAGAAACTGTAATGCTGCAATCGCGAATATTGCGAGCAATCATAACCGAGAGATATTTTTCTATAACTGAATACAAAGACTACTTTAAGAAAATACAAAAGTTTATTTTATTTAAGAAAATACAAAAGTTGATGCAGCTTTTTTCTCTTTTTTCTACTTCTTTCTTAGTATACGTGCCATAATTTTTCTTTAATATACATAATTTCTATGATGAAATTAGAGAATAAAATTGCAACGTAATGAAGGGAAGTAGAAAGAAAAATAGAAAAAAAATAATACAAGCTTTTCTCTTTATAATCCTTTCTTAATGAACTTTGTATAATTGAAGTGTGAGATCTTACTGTAGTAAACCTCTTTAATAGATTTAAATAATTATTTTAAAAGAACTCTACATTTTCTAAAGTCAAGTGTTTTTTTTTAATTATAGAGAAATTTTTTTTTTAACTTTGAAAACATAAATATTAATCTTATTATAATGAAGATAATACGAAAGCTATTACCATGTATTATCAGTTAATAATTGTCTCTATATAAGTGTCTCAAATTACATAAAACATGAGATTGTAATACGTGCATTAAAACACGTGGTTGTATAATTATATCGATTTTTTATTGCAAGTCAGACGCAAGCATAAGAAAATAATTATGTATTGTTATTTACATTTTTGTTTTTATTATAAATCATCACTATCGCATATCTGACTTTAAATATAAAATATTAAAGCTGCTTGATGAAAAGATTAATGATATATGAAATTAAGATTTATAACGTAATCTCGAGATAAAATAAGATATTAATTCTCTATAAGAGGCAGACAATCGTGTCGGCTGTCATAATTAATCAAATTGTTTTGCATCCATTGGTAAACATATTAAAACGTGTAGTAAAATAGTTTGATAGTGATAGTATGTGATTTCACTTGAGAGCTTGTGTGTTTGCTATTAAAAACTAAGACCGCGCTTCGTACCGAAAATATAACTGGATTTATTTCACTCCCAGCCTCCCGAAATTATAACGTGATTCAATATATATAAATAAATTCTTTCATTTCAATATTGAATTTGTTAAAATTTATTATAGCAAAAAATATTAATTTTAAAAATTAAAAAAAATTGTTTCTTGAAGAATATATTTATTTAAAAAATTAACACTATTAATAAAAATATATTATTTAACTTTAACTCTATATATATATATAATTATAGATATATGGTATATTTATATATTTATAATTATAATATCAAATTATTTAAATGTTCACAATTAGTTGAAACATTTCTGCTTTCTCGCAGCTTTTTACATTAAAGAAATTGCACGCTTTAAAATGATAGAGTGGACGGTCGGATTCATTATGAGAACTATCTAATTCAACGCGACGTACTTCCTTCGATGTACATTTCTGTATCTCTCATCACGTTCGATCTCAGTCGAGCGAGAAATTGTCGCCCAGCATTATCAACGCGTTATCAAGCGTGTGCGTTAATTACGCGTAAATATTACCATAACCGAGGGACCGATCGACCGATTGATTACTCGGCTTTCCACACTTTGTTTCGAACAAATATAGGTTTAACGTTCTCGGGTATAACTCTTGACTATTAAGTGACATTTCCCGCTCTTATTTACATCGAGTTAAGCAATAACGCGAAATCGAAGTGGGATTATAGATGATAAATTGAATTATAGCTTCGAATATGCAATTTCCCGTCGACATCTTCCGCGAATGAAAGATTAATTTCGCGATCGATTATTTCACACATATGTTCCTTGAACAACATTCGCGATGTGGATCTTCGAATTAAACAAATAGTTCTCCGAATTCATCGCATTATATATTGCGCAACTTGTTCTAACAAGAATAATTGTTTATTAATACACTGCACATTTACTAGAAAATGGCAAGAGTGCATGCGGAAGACTTTTCGGCGGTTAAATCGCGCGGAAATGGCGCGACTTAACATCTCAAAAGTATTATGCATGAACAAACAAGCGAAATGCTTGCGCTTACGTTGACGTAAATCAAGTCGATGAGAGTATAATAATGGTCGTAACAAGCGCAAGCAAGTAATAAGTGTGTAACATAAATAAAATTCTAACGATTTGAGTCTGAAGAATTTAACAAGCATGATTTACGACCAATGATTCTTGTTAGAGCGATGTCGAAATAACGACATAGTTCGATCGAGAAACTATTTATAAATTAATTCAATGTTGTTATATTTTATCTCAAATTTTCTTCATAGTCTGAGAAAACTTTTTTAATTTATGGTTTTTACTTGCAATTTCTATGAAATACTATATATGACGGAAAGAATTAAATAGAACGCCCTTGTAATATTTTAGTCGTAAAATACCTCATGAAATAACAATAACTGTGATGCGATTTTTCATTGGCTACTTTAACAGCCTCGTCGTTTTATAAATAAAACTTAAGTGGAAGAAGGTAATAAATAACACAGCTGTAAAAGAGAAATAAATTGAAATGCGTTAACCCGGTGCTCCAAAATCTTGTTTGACAAGACGCGACCGTGATCTACTTTTATTGAATGACAAGTCGACATTCTCCGAAAATGCACGTCAAAGTTGTCAAAAGTTTTAACGACGAAAAAAATATCGATCAAATAAATGCAGGAAGACAAATTCAATGACTTCTGAATACGAGCAGTTTGACAAATGGGAAAACATAATTCCTCAAAGAAGATTAATGCATCTCTTCTTTCAAACTATTTGAAAATCTTAAAAGTCGATTTTACATAAAATATTAATTACATTTATCATAGTATCTTTCTCTGTACGATCCAAAATTGTATAAATGATTTCAGTTAAAAATAAATCTAGAAAATCAACTATTTTCCGAACAATGAATGTTTGAATGCAATTAGATCATGCTGGATTGAGAGAACAATTCCACAATGGTGTCAAAAATAGTCACTGTTTGAAAATCTTAAAAATCGATTTTACATAAAATATTAATTACATTTATCATAGTATCTTTCTCTGTACGATCCAAAATTGTATAAATGATTTCAGTTAAAAATAAATCTAGAAACTCAACTATTTTCCGAACAATGAATGTTTGAATGCAATTAGATCATGCTGGATTGAGAGAACGATTCCACAATGATGTCAAAAATAGTCACTATTTGAAAATCTTAAAAATCGATTTTACATAAAATATTAATTACATTTATCATAGTATCTTTCTCTGTACTCCTGTACGATCCAAAATTGTATAAATAATTTCAGTTAAAAATAAATCTAGAAACTCAACTATTTTCCGAACAATGAATGTTTGAATGCAATTAGATCATGCTGGATTGAGAGAACAATTCCACAATGGTGTCAAAAATAGAGTCAGGTGTTTCTGTACCGCGGGCCTTTTGCGTTTCACGTTGCCGATTACAGCATCATCGAATGGAGGCAAAATCGAAGAGAAGTTGAGGAATAGATTAGTGCTCGCGGGTGGAAATAGTATTCAGCGTGGCGATGCAGAACGTGTTTAAGCACTCTGTGTACGAGAGTAAGTTTGAGGTAGTGGTGGTGTGTGCAGTTTGTCGCTTTTGGAAAGCATTCCACAGTGTCCAGTTTATTTGCCGGAACGATAGCCGGCTGTAGCTCACGTGGCTGATAAACAAAACCGGAGAGCGTTTTAAATTAATAAAGGAAAATAAATTTTAGAATCGAGACCGCGATCTCCAGCATATTTAGAGGAAGTGATTAATTATCAACAAATTGATTGATTGTTTGCGGAGACGTAACATGTACCAAAATTTCTTTTACGCAAGTAAACGAAATTATTATATATATATCTAAATATAATTTTTAATAAAAATATATACTACGTTATATACGTATATAAAAATTATAGTATATAATATCTAAACATTTTTTGTTATATATATTGAATCACATTTGCACTAAATTTTTTGTGGCAAAGGTATTATTTTTTCATCATTTTTGCATAACGATTTTTATATTTAGAGAAATGTGACATTTTACTGATAGACGGAGATGTATGTATAATAAAGGGAACTCGGCGTGAAGTGATGTGTCAGGTCAACAAAATATATATAAATATCCGGAAAACAAGACTCTTGTTAGAGAGTGATTAACATGACAGAGACGAGGCGGAAAGAGGCGGATATTCGTTAACAAACAAGAGATATCATATATACATAACCGGGAATTATTTCTCTGCAAGTGAAACTTTTTGAAAACTTGCTATTTCATCATTTGCGAGAGATTAAACAGATAATTCGTTGATTAATTCTACGCTCTAATAATGATTATATATGAAACGTGTCATTTACTCAAACGAAATATATCAATCATATATTGCATCGACGAATAGTGAAGGAAATTATTGATAGTAAATATCACTGATAAAATTTTACCAATGAGATTACATTATAATTCATCGTACAGTTGGACATCGTAACGGAGATAAATAATCGGTCGCGTCAAATCTCGTAAAATAAAATTTATCGCAGACTCGCAAAATAATTTTCTACGCTCGCAAAATTGGGTCACTCCAAAAAAAGATATTTTATATACTCGTATGTAAAATGTTAAATGTTATAAAATTAAATGTGTCAAATGTGCATAAATAAAAAACAATTACATTAAATTAAAATTTAATAAAGTTTATATAATAATGGTAATAAAAATTTACATTAAAGTACATGTATGTGTGTGGGTGATTTGTGAAACGACAGTAATTGCACGAGTCTGATTGGGGAATTTGCAGGCGGCTCCTCAATTCGCGTAAATTGACTGAAATTAATCGAAGCAGCGGGAGAGAATGCGGAATGTTGCATTAATGGACGGATAATGAAAACTCGAGCTCTACAATACTAATCGTAGCACCACTTATAATACAGCATTACTGCAAACGCCAAAAATAGAAAATGCTGTAATCTCGAACTCATACAAATTATTCCAATAATGTCATCTTTCTCTCTTTCAGCATCATCTGTATTTTGAACATAAAATTTTAAAAAATGATTTTAAAAAGAAAACTTTAAAAATTTCATTATGATTCTAGGTTGAATACGCGAACGAAGATGAACCGCGAGAAAGGATCGTCAAATACTTCTATTTGAGTGTAAAAATACGCTTCGACCAAAATATATCGAATTTGTCAATCAACCATAAGCTGAGATTCAACAACCGAACATATATATATATATATATATATGTATAAGGATGTCAAAACTGACGGGAAAATATGTCTACGCAATAACTAACTATGCGTGACGATGACTTGAGATATGCTAATAAAATTCCAGTAGCAAAAAAATAAGCGCGAGGATTCAGCGAGTATAAAGATATCGAAAGATCAATAGCCTGATCTTTATCATGAAAGGTGAAAGTACGATTATTTCAAGAGCTCGAAACCGGCCAAACGTCATCCTGAACGATCGTCCGTCGATTCTTTCGAAAGAATGATAAGGATACAGGAGAGCAGAATGATCGAGAATCTGACAAAGATCCTGGAGGAGACGGTGGGTGACACCTGGGGACTCTCGAAGAGCGGAGATTCGCGTCTAAGGCTGCGTTCCGCGATTCACGATGTAAATCCGCGAAGCGAGAATTACTCGAGCACGATCGTCGCCTTCCTGAGGGAGGAGGCCGCGAGCGATCGCCGGGACTCCCTGTACGTCGTCCTGCCGATCACGGTGATCTACGTGGTGATCTTCCTCACCGGGCTCATCGGCAACATCTCCACGTGCGTGGTGATCGCCCGGAACAAGTCCATGCACACCGCCACCAATTATTACCTCTTCAGCCTGGCGGTGTCCGATCTCTTGCTGCTCGTTTCCGGCCTGCCGCCGGAAATGTACTACATTTGGTCCCACTTTCCCTACGTCTTCGGCGAGGCGTTCTGCATCATTCAGAGCTTCGCCGCGGAGACCTCGGCCAACGCCACCGTTCTCACTATCACGGCCTTCACCGTCGAGAGGTAAGGGAATCGATTCTTATTCGATTTTACGTACCATTTTCTTCGAAATCTTTCAAAAATGAAGGCTTCTTTTTTTAACTTTTAGATTATTGCAATAAGCAATCTCGGCACACAATATTAAAATTGAAATATTAATTAAAATTTAAATTAAAATTTAATTAAAATAAAAATATTAAAATAATTAATGTTAAAATAATATTAATAAGTATTAATATTAAAATTAAAATATTAACATAATTAATATTAAAATAACATTAAATAATATTAATATTAAAATTAAAATATTAAAATAATTAATATTGAAATAATATGAAAAGATTTGCTTTGAATTTTTAATTAATATTAAAATAACATTAAATAATATTAATATTAAAATTAAAATAATATTAAATAATAATAACATAAAAATTAAAATATTAAAATAATTAATATTGAAATAATATAAAAAGATTCGCTTTGAATTTTCCTTCCCCCAGATACGTGGCGATCTGTCATCCCTTCATCTCGCACACCATGTCGAAGCTGTCCCGGGCGATCAAATTCGTGGTGGCGATCTGGCTGATGGCTCTCTGTCTCGCGGTGCCACAGGCCATTCAATTCGGCATCATCTACGACTACGGCAACGGGAGCGCTATCCTGGACAGCGCCAGGTGCTCCACGACGTGGACGTTGATCGAGCACGCATTCGAGATCTCGACCATCCTATTCTTCGTGGTGCCGATGACGATCATCACCGTGCTGTACATACTGATCGCCATCAAGCTGCGACGCTCGAGTCTGCTGACCGTCGACAGCAAGAAGCATCACGTACCTGTTGGAAGTCAGGATCGAGGGAGAGCGAACGCGCAGAGAAACGTCATTCGCATGCTAGGTAAGTAGCAGATGTTATCGCACCTTCGTGGAAAATTCTTCCCCGAGTGCGGGAAATCATTCATCGAGTTTACTCTCGAACGATGAGAGTCCCGAAAGCACGATTTTGTCGCGAAATCTGCGCGCAAGTTATTCCACGGAAACGATTGACGACGATCCATTTAAGCTCGCAATTTGAGGAAAAATCCAAGTGAATTGGTTATTCTGACTTTCAAGGAATTTACTTGGAATACTTCGGTATGCGAGAATCTCAAGGTAAATAGGTCGAATTATGTGGCAGGTTTTTCCACAGCTAAGTGGAACACCATAATCTTCAATAAATTTTAAATTCAATTGGAACTTTAATTTAAAAACTTGTAATATTATACACATATATATATAATTAAAGCTAGGAAAACTTTGTTCTCTAAGAAGAAGAGAAAATCAGCGATGCATCTGTTGCGTCCTACTTTTTCACTTTGCATTTTTTCTACATGATATTGCAATGTATTCAATAAAAGTTCTATTAAGCCATAAATTTTTTTTGTATTGTCACTATTCAAATTTTAATGATTGTCCCAAATTATTGTGCGAATCATTCAGTTTTTTTTTTGTACCAGATTATATAAATCAAATCTATCGCATACAGATATTATAATTAAAATCTGTCAATTAGTGTGTTATTCGTTTACTTCTTTGCATTTTATCTTCATTATTTTTATTTTCTTTTCTTATTATTTTTCTTTTTTCTCATCGATGAACTCTGCGTTATCTCTTTTTTTATTAAATAAATAATTCTAAGTATTCTAGTTTAGACGTACTTTAATTTAGCTCGCACAGTTTCGCGTGTACATTATTTAAAAGTATCGCGTTAGTCATTTTTGTCTTGTAAAAAAATGCAAACGCTTTTAAACACTCAAAACAAGCTTCCACAATATAATTACAAAGGTTTACTAACTAGATATTCTTGAACCAGCTTTGTAAAGTATGTAAATTCGTGCGTGTTAATTATTTTGAGATATACTGAAGATTTACTGCGCTTTAATAATTTATAAATAATGTCATAAACAAGTATATCGGCATGATTTAAATTTTCATTGAAAGAAAGCATTTGTTGGATAAATTCTTGTGAGAAAGTTGTACTTTTCAAAGGTATAGATAAATATTAATACAATTGAAAGCTTAAAAGATTAAAAGAGCAAATTATACAGATACTTAACAGTCACTTTTTATATAATAAAAATTGTAATAAAAGAACAAAATAATACTGACATAAAATTGTCTAAATGGCAGGCTTCGTTAATTACGAGACAGAATGGTATGTTAGGCGCCAATTAAAATCTCCTTAACGAAATCAAGAGTCGCGCATAATTTTGTGCAAAGGTCAGATATTCTAAATGCTTCAATTCTTCGATGGAATGTCGTTATATAGAATTTAAAAAAAATACATACTAGCTAACCCGACGTTTCAGTTAATTACAAATCAGATTTGATGAAAAACCAGATGTCATGTTTACTTCCACGAAATTCGTGCATATTTAATAAGCTGTTGAAATCCGCGTCGTTCGAAATGTCAGCCTTGAAAATCAAACGAGGAAAACATCGAAAAAGGAACCTGATTGTCCAAATTGAACGACCGATTCCAATCGGGTCGAGCTCTGTCGCCTCGACGTGCCTAGTTTCCCAAATTTTTTGGGGAGAAGATCGCATAAATATCACAAAACTACACTGAAAAATTCTGACTTCCCCAGGACGAAATACGCACTGATCCTGGGATTTTATAATCTCGCATAAAATTCTCTCGCTATACGATATTGACGTCGTTCAACATGACGAGACGAGTCTTTATTCACGTGACATTTATTCCGCCTCGGGTTACGAACACATTCGATATTCGGTTACGGAATAAAAATTTTAGGAAAAATATATCTTATTTGTATATATATACACACACATATATATTATCTTTTACTTTTAAATATTTCAATATTTTTGTTATTCTTGAATTTTTGGTATAATAGTTTACATTAACTTGGGACGAGACCAAACTCAAAAGAGATTCTTGAAAAGATTCTTGAAAAGAATATTTTACTTGTCGGAAATACATTTTTTTGCATAAAAAGAGATTTTCAATTATTTTTTATTATATTTTTATGTTTTTGAAATTTTTTATTTTCTCCAAAAAACTGAAGTATATATACTTTGAAGTTTACTTCTGCCAATTTTAGTTTAAGATAAAAATAATTTTCCTTCATGCTATTCACGATCATCGACTCGCATCGTCTCTTTACAATCTTCGTAAAGATAGAAAATATCTTCGAGTGTGGTAATATTACTAGATTTTCACGGGACACGACATTCTTACTGTATCAACGTTTGTCCGTGATACGAATATATATATATAAAATTAATAAATAACTCACGTTTAGTAAGGGATCGAAATTTTCGGAATCACTGGATTCGATTTGTCCACATCTTGACGAAATAAGCAAAATAAACCGAGTAATCTCCGACTTTATTCTTATTCGTTCTAGAGGGATATCTTTTATCGATTAAACGCGAGCGAAGACGTCGAGCGAAATAATTCTGAGAGTTCCACTCTTAATTAGACATTATGAGGACTGCATTTTTTGGTATTGACGTTAATTAATTTCTTTCGACACAATGAACTTTAACTCTCATTATTATAATTAATTTCTTGATGATTCTTCAGATTTTTTTCGACAAAATTAAAATCGAATTTTTCTCTTGTTAACAAAATCGTGGAAATTAACTAACGGACAGTAAACTTATTGACGGATAATAAAACGTTTCCTCGCTTGATTTTAAGCGGATATAACTTTATGAGCATAAACTTTAGAATTGAAAAAACATGTAAGATTTACAACTTCGCCGACCAATGTTTGCCTTAATACCGTTCTATACGGCGCTTATAAAAATCGCATTGTCATCAATTTCCAGGGTGAATCGATTTGTGCGCGTATTATGATATTCATGCGACGCAAAAAAGTCAAATCGGCACCTCAAATAAGGTGACGAAATGTAAAATATGAGAAAATGGGATCCCGACCGTTATATTGGTATTTCTCTCATAAGTTATCCTCTCATTTTTTTCTCTTCCTCACATTCCACGTGCTACGAAGCCTTCGAGAAGAGAGAATTATTCCGCTCGTGCGCGCGATAATAGTCGTAGATAAATGTGCTCTTTTCACGCTTCTAATCTTTCACGTCAAGCTCTGATTTAATTCAACAAATCAGATGCCCTTCCTTCGCTCCAACCTCTTTATTTAATTTCTTTCAACTCTGGTCTCTCAAGGTTGTCGAATTTCACGAAGCAAGTTTAAGCAAATATATAGTATATGATATATTATACATTAAATAGAGAGATCAATATAGCAAGACTTTGACAAATTCAATCCTCCTTATATAAATATAAAAATTATATGAATATATTATATAAAGAAATATGCATCAGAATAATTACCATCAATTTTAAATATAACAATAAATATTCGAATTAAATTGCATTTATTACGATGAGTAGAATTAGTTATTTTTGCATTCTGCGTGATATTTGCGATAATATGCAAATATAAAATCAAAATTATGGAAGCATTCAAATTAATTAATATTTCGAAGAATTATTATAGTAAAGGCACCGAATTTTATATCCGCATACTAAGATAAGCAGACATATAAATATAAAATAATTTTATAAATTTAAAAAAAAACCATTTTTGTTTAAGTAGACATTTTCATAGAATTTATAAAATTAAAGTCTTGCTTTCAGAATCCCTCTTTATATCATTCAAATAAAAGAAAACGTATTAATGTAAATTATAATAAACTCACTTTTGGTTGCTCCGTAAATACGCGATGCCTCTCCTAGATCTTCTCAGCTTAAGATGATCTGTCACAAACAAATAAAATCATAGCGGCGCTCAAAATATTTAATTTATTTTACAAAAAATTGTTATTGTACTTATTAAAGTTTATATTCAATGCGTACAAGTAATGAGTGGATAAATTAATAAAATAACTATTATTTTTTCTTGAATAGAAATTTTTACAGAACTTTTAAAATATTAGATATTTTTCTTTAATTCTTGCTTGTTTAAATGAATCAAGTAAACAAATCGAATTAATACACGATTTATATAACAATCAATATACAAAATAATAAAGATATTTACCTTAGAATTGCTCTCGCAACGCTCGATGCTTTCTCTGCTCTCAGGTTGTCAAGATTGTCAAAGTTCATAGATACGCGTAACATTAGTAATGTATATGATACATTTTTTACAGGAGAGCTATACTTGGAATTTTAATAATTCAAGATAACATACATTATATTTGAGCGTATGTCTCAATCAACCGTAGAAAGATTAAACTAAAAAAAAAAAAACGAAGCACGAGAACGTCGCATCGTTATATATTTCATTTTTCACGATAATGCAGTTAATTTAATATTATTATCAGTAATAGTAATTATTAACAGTTAGTAAAATTAATTATCTCTTTTTACGATGTCGCGTATATTTCTCGAATGAAATCAGACTATTATGCAAAGACTCCACGATAATGCATTTTGGGTACTTGGCTTCCCTTTCAGAACAATCTTTTATGGTAAAATTATAAAAGATTGTCCATCAAGGTACTAGAGCCCTCCCACCACGTCAAGGTGTACCCATTGGGGGGATTATTGTATTACGTATATAATTTTGTAAATATGATACAATAGCATATGTAGAATCGAAACATTAAAAAAATAAAATGTGATATATGTATAGAGAGCAATTGTTAATTTTAGAATTAATTTATACTCGCATTTTAGAAGAACGTATTTTATCGGACATTATATATATATATATATATATATATATATATTTAATTATACTAAAATTTTCAAGTATATAATAGATGAAGTCATTTTATATTATATTATACGAAAAATGCATTGAGATGTAATTACACATTAATTGTAGAAGTTAATAATTTATATATTAATCTTTTTACGCACACACACGCACACACACACATATATATATATATATATATATATATATATATATATATATATGAATAAAGATCAATAAACAAGACTTTAACAAATTCAATTTTTATAAATAGAAAGAAATGCATTAGAGTAATTATCACCAATTTTAAATGTCACATTTTTATAACAAAAATTCAAATTAAATCGTATTTATTATGAGTAAATTAGTTATCTTTCTGTGTGTAATTGCTAGATAATTTATATAAATTTTTTTATACAAATGATAGTGTGATAAGAAAGAGACATAAAAACAAAACATGACATATTTATCGCATTTTACGGTGTTTTGTGCAAGTTATCTATAGTTTTGCTTTCTCGATGTGCAGGGACTAAGCGATTCCAATTTATTTTCCGACCACAATCTGCTGATGTAAGACTCCCAATAATATTCCCGATCGTGTCGAAGCTTCCATGTCTCTTGCTAATCATGCTCAGATTTATGCTGAATAATTATGGCATTTTTCAAATCTTCTGAATCGTAAATTATCATTCATACATGCATCAGTAAGTCAACATCAAAAACATTTTAATTTAAGCGGTCTCTTTCGTATTTTTATTTTTTAAAAATACCTGTGAATATTTTTTAAATGTCGCAAGTCAAACATAAATCATCCCACAAATTCTATACGTTGTACATATATTAAACAAATCACCACGTCAGCAAAAGTTTATAAGAATTAATTATTATGCCTGACGAAGACGAAAAAAAATGCGCATGCAGCTATTGCGAGATCAAATTTCTTAAGCTTAACGCGATTTTAATGTTCTTATAGAAGAATATTATAGAAACAAACACTCTATTAGAAAGAACTGTTCGTAAATTTTTTGCATATCATCGAAAAAGAATCTCTCCAAAAAAGTTAAAAGAATAATAATACCCAGGAGATCTTTCATTCTCTCTATATTTTTGTATTTATATTACAAAGGATAAAGTCATTTGATCGCAAGTAGAACTTTTATTAACTGATGCATCTCTGAGAAAATATACACTGTATCTTAGTTAAGAAGTTTAGCTTTTTCTCATACAATGTAATCTTTTTCCGATATAATAGACGGAAATCCAACGAGAAAAGACGAAATCTTTCGCGAGGTTTTATATATCGAAACATGCAATATCGAAATATTTCGAACAAATCGATATAATCCAGAGATTAATAATTTACCAAAAAAAAATGCATTTTAAAATGTAAAATTATATTTCACTGTTTCTCGATATATAAAAATTGATATAATATATAAGAATAGCGTTACGGATTCTACTCACATTCTAAGTCCTAAGCTATATAGCTTCCAAATGGTACTCGAAGATCACGTGTTGCACTAAAAATAAAACGTCACGTCTCTCTCTCTTACTTTCGATTTCTTGATATCGCAAAATGCATCGAGATAATAACCGTTTATTTGCCGTCCCATTCTTGCGACATATCGATTTATCAATCTGTTTGGCTATCAAGAAGCGAAGGAGAAAGAAACATCGGATCTCCGGCAAATTACCTCGTCTCTCCTTCTGACGTGTATTTAAGAACTTCTCCCTTCATTTACTCGGCCCCATCTAGGACGTCAATACGCTTCCTGAAAAAGGAAAAAAGTTTGTGTGCTTATTACACTTTGCGTCTCTATTTTCCTTCCTTTCCTCGTTTCTATGCGATCGAAGACGAATATCGCTCGCAACTGCGTGCGTTTGCAAATAAACGGAAATTACATTTAATTTCGATCAGAAAGGTTTGCTGTAATTTATTTATCGTACAATAAAAGTAATATTATATTAAAAAGTCCATTGAAAAAATAACTCATATGTAAGAGACATCGAATGCATATATCTTTATAAATCGCGAAATGACAATATTTAAAAAATATATATTATTACATTTATATAGCATATTTAAATAAAAAATTAAATAAATTTGTATATTATATAATAATTGCGCGTGATTTTTTCTATAATAATTCTTCGCTATTAAATCGTATTTGTGTAACAATACATTTATATGTGACTTATTTTAACATAGTTTAATGAAAAGTAATAATGCAACGTTGGTATATATGTTTATTTCAAGTAGCAATATCCAGATATAAAATCAATCAGCTAAAACAGAAAATTATTCCGAAAGTTGCGATATAGTGTTGGCCTTCAGTCGAATTTATGATCCGCGTGGGATCACCTATCTTTCCCGATAGTGAGTTAAGCGAAATAGATAATCGAAATAAAAATGTCGATCATCGCACCGTCGAGAATTCGTGGGCGGATCTCGCTTATCCGACAAAACGTGCGTATAGTAATAAAATTGATTTCCTTTTTACAAAAAAAGGTCACATTTTTTTATGTTTCTGCGCGACCGAATGTTTTTTATCAAAAAAACCTGCAAAACATGAAAGTGATATTTCGATTCAATATTTTCGGACCCTTTTGATTACTCATCGACCAAAAAGTTATATATTCACGGTCGCAATATTCGATGAATTGTAAAGGTTCATCAGCAAACATCGAATTCTGAAAATTATAGAACTTTTTTGGATTATATATACAGAAAGCTTTTTGACAGGTTTTCGATATTTGACAGGAAAATATGAAAAATATGTATTATGAATATTTTTCAAACTTTAACAGAGTTTGCAATGTTTTATTTTTGCTTTTTAGTAACGCAAATTAAAGTGATATAAAGCTATTGCCTTATTTAAAATATGTGTTTTTGATCAACTGAATTTTATTTTCCTTCAAATATTTTCGAATGTTCTTAAACTATACTTGACAGAAATAAATTCATAAATTAAAAAATGATATTTATGAGTGACGATGATTCTTAAAGTAATTACATTATCTTAAAGTAATATTACAAGTACATTTGAGTTAGTTTTATGTCTGTTAAGTTTTCAAGTAGGAAAATATTATTAATACATAACTTTCCAAGTTTTATATTATTACTGTTTCGTAAAAATTTGCGTGAGTCAATTTTTGCAGACTTTATTTCCTCCTATATATATAAATTATTCGCTACTGTGACAGCCATCACATTCTTTATCCTTTAATATTTCATATAAGTTTAATATTTCATATTTCATATAGTTCATATAAGTGAAAAGCAAAGCTTCTTTTTATTATGTATATTTACCATTTCACGTATATTATATTTTTATATCAATTTTCCTTTATTATTAATAAATCTTTTCCCAAATTCGATACGTTATGACGTTGAAAGCGTCCTTGACGTTGAATATTAATTGCCCACATTATATATATACTTTTATCTTAATTATATCACGTAAAATTTAACCTTTAAAAGAGGAAAACAATTTAAATAAATAAATATTAATAATATAATAAAATATTAATAAATAAATATCAATAAATCTATTTAGTCGAGGACTAAATTTAATTTCAGTTTTCGTATTTTAGCTTCTTCGCGAGGCACAAAAATTTCAGTGCATAATTTATGAAGAGAAATGTCAAGATAATATTCTCGTAATATTTCTTGAATTGTATTTTTTTTCTATCTCCGTTCTTTTATCGAAGATTAATTTTTACGACTTATGCCAATCAGTTATCATAGCATTACTTATAAAGATATACAATTTTTTCAACGTATTTCTAATTTTATATTTTAGCTCTCTTAATTTTTTTGAGAATTCTCTTTGCTATAATATAAATTTACTTATTATCACGAGTTTTTCCCACTTGAAATTATCGATAAAAGTTTACAAGTTTAACAACAAAACTTATTAATTTCATGCTCATTTTCAAGCATTTTTATTGCCGATTTAATATTTCGTGTCGAGAATCCTTATAGCCGCTTAACAACTTTTTTCCTTTTTTGCGCATTGCTGTCATAATTCTTCGAGAATTTTCAAATAAACATTATATCATTCTTCCCTTCTATTAAATACAGAAAACAACCATTATTGACTTTCGTGCGAAGAATTTATACGGGAAATGTATACGAGTTAAGCAACATAACGAGAAATTGCTCGTAATATGCTATCTAGGATCATAAATGGGTGGTTTAATATTTAATTGCACTCGTGTTCGCAATATGTGGCTCGTAAATTTTTAACTTGTTTTATATTAGTGTTAATGTATAAATAGATGAAAAATATTCGTAGGGCATTTTCAGTGTTACTCCTTAGATTAATTAAGATTGACAAATGTATGAGACACGTGCTTGGCTTCAAAAGTTTGAAGGAAATTCTATTTCTTACTATTGAATAAACTATGCGTAAAAGCAAAAATCACAAATTAATTATACACATATTTAAATATCATTTCAATATAATGTATAATGACGGTACATTTTTATAGCCTCAAATTAATTAAGATATTCAAACTCGTAATATATATGAGAGAGACGGTCTTCTCAGAAAATTTATCTTCTAGTTACCTCACCGCAGCATCTTATATAATAAATGAGGGACGTAAAAAAGCAGGATTGTATATATAAAAATATAAAAATTATATAGCCTAAGATTGTTGGCACGCGTATAATGAAAGAACGAAAGCTCTATAGCCGGATATCGCAGAGGTCGAAAAAATATCTGAGAGATTTTCAGAAAATCGAAGGAAGAAAATCCGCCTTAGCAAAAAGTATACACCGCTTTCTGTCATGATTCACGTAGCGTTTCCTAAGTTTTACCAAGCACTCTGCTTAATAATATTAAATGCACCGTGCTAACGATGCATTCTTCCTTCCGATACCTGGTATGCGTTATGCGAAAATCTCTCTGAAGAAACTTCGATCATTTTACGTCTCGAAAACTCCGACGTTTCCCAGTTAGTGGAGAATAGTAGACGTAATAAAATAAGTTTCTGTTCTTTGTATGAAGTAATGAAATCGCGGAACGTGATCTAAAACGGCGACAAATGTGCACGCAAACAGCTGCAATGTTAGTTATTTTTTTAAATACGCTTTTATAAAAGATTCATCGTGTTATCAACGTACTTATTGTTTGCATCTTGTAAATGTATAATCTCTTATTTTATTAACTTCAGAATAAATCTAATTTTCAAACTGATACTGCTCAGAAGACATATGTCTTATTTATACCAAAATAACTAACTTTATTAGCTAAGGCTCTTGTAATAATAATCAAAAAAGGAAAGAACAAGGCAGTAAAAGCCAGCACAGTTTTATGTGTAAAAAAATAATTAAAAATTTCAAAAATATTTCTAATTTTATATTTTAGCTCTCTTAATATTATCGAGAATTCTCTCTGCTATATAAATTTCCTTATTATCATGAATTTCTTCCCACTTGAAATTATCGATGAAAGTTTACAGGTTTAAATTTTCAAGTACCTTTATATTATAGGGAGAACATCTGGCTTCCCTTATTTCCTGGAAATTGAGTAAAGCGTCTAGGTAATTTAATTATGCGCTAATCTTGCTGCGCAAACGATGTAGGTTTCATTTCATTTTACACCCTATTTTGTACGCGCGATAAACCAAATAAACGCTTTCCGCTAACAAAATATCCCTTTTTCTTTTTATAGTCGCAGTGGTGGTGGCCTTTTTCATCTGTTGGGCACCATTTCACGCACAAAGATTATTGGCCGTATATGCGCAGAGCACCACATCTGAACCAGCGGAAGCTCTGATCATAGTGTATACCACACTCACTTATGTGTCAGGAGTATTCTATTATCTATCCACAACGGTGAACCCGCTCCTCTACAATATCATGTCTAATAAGTTCAGGGAAGCTTTCAAGGTAAGTTTTCAAGTATCCTTTGCGAACTGGATTTAATTGACAAATTTCTCATTTTACGAACAATCTTTTATAATCTACTTGTGCTTGTAACAAGTAGAAAAATGCGACATAATTATAAATAACTACTATCCATACAATATACAATACATATTACATACACATATTTACATTAAATATATTTAGGCACAGATAATGCATATGTTTTAATTTTTCTTATCTATAATAGAAGCTCTAAACTAGAAAATGTAAAATATTCGATTACAGAAAAAAATTGCAAAGCTCAAGCAGTTGAAAAATTCCGCAAGGATAATTTCGCAATCTTATTTTTTTGCAGTCGATGCTATCTAAGAACTGCGTCGGGAAGTTCTCGTCTCGCAGGGATAGTCTTCGACAACAGACAACTTACACCAGTCTGTCGCGATACCAGAAATCTATGAAGCCTCGATTCGACAGCATCCAGCAGTCGCCCTCGATATCCATCAGCGAGGAGCAGCAACGATTGACTCATATCCCGCTAGCGAATAACGTGAATAATGCCTGCGAGGCAAACGGATTTGCGATATCGCGAAGCGAGCAACCGAGACCCGGTGTCGCGAACAGGGAGACCGCGGTCTACCGAGATTACGCCAGAAGCATGTCGAGAGGCTCCGATTCCAGCCAACTCACCATGACGACGACGTTGAGCAAGCAAGGTCTTAACAACGAGGGCAACAACAACGTGGCCGCGAACGAGTTTCTGCTGAGGATACCTAAGCCACCGAAAGCTGTCACTTTAGGTAGCGTCCGTCTGCCCACGTGCTTGCGCAACGTCAATTAATCCGTAGGTCCCTATATCCCTAACAGTGATCGTTAGATCAATGAAACAGCCCTTTTTATTCGATTCAGTAATTTTATCCGCAAGCACACATCCACACATTTCGCTATAGTCATCTATCTGTATATATAGTACATATAGGATAAATATTATATCTAGCAAAAATACAAATGATAAGGATTCAAGTGCCTTTATCTGAACAATTATTGAAATGACACTTTAAAAAATTATTTAAATAGATTTAATTAGATTCATTTTGCGTAAACACTTCAAGCGTTTATAGATATAGTAATAAGATATATAAGAAATTTTAAAATTTCTTTATCTTTATTTGCAATTTTTTGTGTAATCATAATCGAGATATTATAACGATAAGAAAATGTCTAGTTAAAAATTTTTAGAGAATTTTAAAGCAAATATTTCAAAAATTGGAAAGAAAATATTAATTATTACTCTTTTTCTCTTTCTAATTTTTATTACGATTATTTGCTTTAATTCATATTCATATGTTCCGATAAAAATTAAGGAAGATAAAAACTAGAAAAGATATTACCGAATATTTAAAATTTCCAGCAGGAATCCTTACGGAGAGATTGGGCCTTGGCACCAAAGGTTTCTTCGCGCAGCACCGAAAAAATGGATCTACCGGTTCAGCAAAATTAAAACCGGAAAAAGCGCCGGTCGCAGCGATGTCATCACGATTCCAGAGTCATCCAAGCATCGAGAGTGCCAATACAATCAGTAGTTCCAGTCTTCAGGATCTCGACGAGACTGAGTTTACCGGGTCTGAGTTGGCACAGTACATGGGCGAGTTAAACTGCGATCTTGTTACTTGACATCGTGTTCATCGCGGCGAAACATTGCCTCTTCAAGTGGTTTCTCAAACGCGATCTTCGCATACAGACTTATGAAGGCTTTTACTAAGAAACTCGTGACGGTGCACACTACAACATCCACATACAATTCTATACAAGAACATATACTATATTATCTGCAAAGACTTTAACAATTTGCAAATCCACAATTGTGGATCTAATTGCGTGACGGACATATGAGATGTCATCAGGATGAATTGGATGCGGAATGTGCATCAAACTTGACTGGAGTCTGTTTTCGTGAAGATATTATTATTGTAAAAGGAGAAAAAATATTGATCTGCAAAGAGATGCACATTTAACATAAGATAAATAAGAGAAAAGAATGAAGAAAATATGTTAAAGTCATTGTCTGTGATTGAGGTGTTGATAGAAATATAAATACTGTCAATGATTTTATGCAAGTAAAATTGTGGCGTGAATAAGATAGTTGGATGCTTCTTAAATTACATACATTTGCAAATATTCTATTTCTCTCCAGCATGATTGTTAATAATGCTAGTCTTACGCAGATATTTGCAGTCGACGTTCCTAAGAATGTAAGCATGTATATAATAAACTTGATGATAAAGATGTTTTCTGCTGATAACGTAAAGTCATAATGTTTATAATCAAGTGAAACGACCTGTCACATACAAGACCGCGTAACATACTTCGTGTTCCTATCGTCTATATTAATATTAATATTTCATAAGTTTATAATTTTTAATTGTAAGACTTTAACGCTAATCAAAAAAAAAAATTTGTATAAAATTCAAAGCCTGTGTAACTTATTTTTCAATATATTTTTGTTATCTTGTCTTTCATTATCAATATAGATAAAAGAACATGCCCGTCCTATACTTGCACAAAATTATACACTTTGATGGCATTGATAGTATCAAATCTGCAAAACTAATTTTTGAGGAAAATTATTTATATGCAGGATGTTTAAGAAATAAATAGCTAAACTTTTAGAGCATATTCTATTCATCGTAAGAATACAAAAAGTCATATATCAAAGTCATGTATAACTATCTATTTCTGAAATAGCATATACATATAATAATTTTTTCTTTTCGAAAGCTTTCTATATTAATTATAAATAGAACAAAATCTATATTAGATGCAAAACTATACGAATTAAAGTTATATTATTATAAGGATAAGATTAATATGTTTTGCAATCCATTATTGATATATACATATATATAAAATATATAAAATAAAATTGAAAAATATTTGTAACCAAATATATTTTTATTGATGCCATCAGCTTATCCGTGCATATAATGTAATTTCTAATAAATTATAATATTTTTTATTTTTTTCATACATATATATCGTATCAATTGTGACAAGTTGAGTTTCAGTTGATCGATAAAAAAATGTATCTGTACACGCTGAATTTTTATTGCCATTTATATAAATAATAACTGTATAATATTTATGCATATAATTTGCTAAATAAAAATGCAACGATTATCTGTAATAATATGTCGACAGTTTCATGCGTGTTATCACTTGTTGCTACTTCAGAATAACATGTTTATTAAAAAACTTTTATTTTTTGTTGATTATTATCTCGGATATTTCTACGTTCATGAGGAAACAATGATAAGGCAATTTCTTTAAAAAAAGGGTTAAAATTAAGATTTGGAGTAAAACATTTCTATTCGATAAGATTTAATTTTCTTTGCATTTGTATTTACAAATTAGTATTTAGCAATATTAGCGATTTTTAGAATAAATTGCACAGTAACCATATTTAAATTAACGTTACTTGCAATATGCACCAATCATCAATCATTTTTTTAAATAAAACGTAGCGAAACGAGTTAGCAATTAAACGTAACAAATTTGTCAAAAAAATAAAAAAGTAGAAATTATTTTATTTACAATTGAGTTTCGGTCGCTTCTCGAGGTATGCTTTAATTTTGGGAAGCGCGCGAACCTTTTCCACCAACTTCTTCAATTCCGGATGATCTTTATTTGGATCACCGCCCAGAACAAAGCATAGATACTCAGAATATGCAGCCCATAGAAGATCTGCCCACGTCAGCTAAAAAATAGAAAACAGATATATATTTACATATATTCTTACAAAGATAGCGAGAAAAAAATCTGGTACGAGATCTTCGAAAATTATTTACCTTGCCACCAACGAAATGTCCGCCATTCTTCTTCACTTGAGCTTCGAGTTTGTCAAGATAAACAGGCAATTTTTCGAAAGCAACCGTTTTGAGTTTCTCCTTGGTCGCGGGATCTTTTTCCCAATAATAAGTGGATAGAGCTACAAGAATTAATTAATCCATGTCGAAATTTTTTTTACCCATATATAAAATCTATATTGTTTTTCTTTCGTGAAAGGAGAGAAGAGTCATGAGAGGAGAACGATAATGATATGTAAAATGTGACAATCATTCAGGAAATGAACGGCTTGTTGATCCCAAATGCAGCTTCTCTTTTATCGACATAAAAGTACCTATATGTATACAATGTGGATTGCATCATATATTGACTATATTGTGTCTCATATCAGCGGAAATATTGAAGAGTCACGAGAGCTACACGTACATACATTACACGTATACTGGTTACATAATTCGTTTTGTCATTTTTCTGCGCTCGCTGCAGCCTTACCTTGTCTTAAATCGTCGATAGTCTCGACTGCAGCGTCGATCTCCAAGGCCTCGAGCTCGTTAGAACCATACAGATTGCCCTTCTTAGCTATGTAACGGGCGATGGCCTTGGACTGATGATACGGTTTACCGTCGATCTCCAGAACCGGTACCTGCCCCATTGGCATGGCTGAAAAAAAAGAAAATCATGAAAATCTAATTAAATTATACACAGAACAATAAAACGTGTCTTTAATGATGAATTCAAGAATCGCGAAATAAAAGTTTTATAATATATATTAAAGAGAGAAGAAATAACAGAATAACTGAGTCATAGTCTCTGAATCATCTATTTAATTACAAAATTATATATGAAATTATATAACATACTGGATTTCATCTTCGGCCATTCTTCAAACTCGATTCTAACATCCTCGAACTTGATGCCGCTTTGACTTAACAAGAACCGAATGGGTTCTCCAAGGCCGGTGACGTTGAAATACGTTAGCTTGTATGTAGACATGTTCTGAAAAATATATTTGCATGATGAACGTACAATATATATATTTTCGCAAATTTACATTTACTTTAAAATATTACATTATTATTTTAAAATATTACTTAAATAATTAAAATATTTTAATTATAATTAAAATAAAATATTATTTATAAGCAATATAAATTATAAATGAAACGAAGAGTAATATAATTATCTTATATCTTCATTACCTTGCTAGTTAGAATCCGTAAATTCTCGTGACAACCGAGAGTCTGACAGCCGATGTAAAACTCTTCACGAATCGAGAACGACTGACCATGAGTATCGCGTTAGAACGTTTGATATCCCACGTATCTAGTCATATATTGAGGATGTGCTTGAGGGAACACTTATGGAAGACTACCGGAGATTACACACACACACAGTATACAAAATAACTCGTTGGACAATTTAATTTACACGAGCATATCATCTGTACGAGTAGATATATATACATGCGTATATATACACAGAATTTACATAAAGTATAAGAAAAATGTGGATTTTTTAATCGGGATATTATCATTGTGGCAACAATAACATATCATTAATACATAATTACGCTGATATGCTAAAAACCACGTTTCCGTGTTTTCTTTTTCGAACATAGAAATGCATACGTACGTCAGAATTTCTCTATTATTCTTTTGTGTAACTGGACTGTGCTTTACAATATGAAAACAAATATACTTTAAGAGGATGCTGACCATGACTATTTTACCGACTTTGAGTTCAAGAGCTTTTCTTTTTATTTATAAATTGAAAAATCCTTCTCTACAATTAAAGTACTGATAATAATGAACGGGGAGCGCTGTAATTTCGTATAAAAAACAATAAAAGTTAAAAAATTACAGTTTTTTATATCGGCCTTTTGCATCAGCTCATAACAATACTTATTTAATACAAAAGTTTTGCAGTTTATTTGTGCACAAAATATGGCGCTCCCAATAGAGATGACATGAAAGAATAATATAGAAGTAACCAAAATGATATAAAAAGCATGTATCAAAAGATTCGTACTTGAATTAAATTATGTATGTATATATTTGCGTGCGGAATCGATGTTGAGGCATAAAACAGCAAAAATTAGTTACCGGAGTTAGCGCTCTCTATTCCTTGTAATATATTTAATATATTTCTTTAAAACTGATTAGTTGTACACAGAGTCTAAATTTTTCTTGGTACGGCATTAGGAAATTAAATAAATCTCGATTTATAATTTTATTTTTAAATAAACTCTCCTCTTAAAAAAAAGCATAGGAGAAAAATATCATAGCAAAATTTTACTGAATCAGGAAGCGACTAATTGATGGACAAAATATATGTAATTGATAATGAGATGCGTTGCATATAATTCAAGTACGAATCTTTTGATACATGCTTTTTATATCATTTTGGTTACTTCTATATTATTCTTTCATGTCATCTCTATTGGGAGCGCCATATTTTGTGCACAAATAAACTGCAAAACTTTTGTATTAAATAAGTATTGTTATGAGCTGATGCAAAAGGCCGATATAAACTGTAATTTTTTAACTTTTATTGTTTTTCGCTTGTGTCAATAATAGTATATAAGTCTAAAATTTGCAATGCAATTTGCTTATCTAAATGTCTTCGTAAATATCTGTGACGTTTGCATATATCAATGTAATCTCGTTTCAAAGATATTAAAGGGCGTGGTTCTATATATATATATATATATATATATATATATATATATATATATATCAGCATTATCTACAATATGTATGCAATACATCATTAACTGATACATCGTGAACTGCGTTATCTTTTTTCTGTTATTAATAGAAATTACTCCTCAATGACTCGACGCAATTTTGTATGCATAAAGATACAAAGAAAAAATATACGCGATATACAAAGTATTAGCGTTGCATATATAAAGATAATTAAAGATACATATGTATATACATATATATGCATACATTTATATATACATATATATATATATATATATATATATATATATATATAGTACATCTAATCGCTTTACGCGTATGTACACATATTCATATATACATATATCTATACGTTTACAATTAGGCATATGCATATATTGTCATTGCGCAAAATTTAAACTTTCTGTCAACAAAATTTGCAGCAGACGTGTTATAAAATCCATTCTTGACTGAACTCGATTGTCCGAAATGCGAAAATAATGAAAATATTTTTGTAAAACTATTTTTATCAAACTGTATATATCAAATGTAAACTATTTTTATCAAACTGTATATATCAAATGTAAACGTTTTGTTGAAAATTTTTCAAAGATTAGCTCAAAAGTAATCTTTATCACAGTGTAAATAATACACTGAAAATGTATACGTGCATTTCCAGTTACTCGGTGATTAGCCATTAGTCCTTCCTTCAATTCCAATTAACTCGCACGACCTTCAGTTGTATTATATTGTATACTGTGATGATATAGCAACATGGCAATTGCAAAAGCCACGTCATGATTAAAAGTTTTTTTCAGCACTGTGTGATCTGCGTTTCGCATGATGACAAACTAATTATACCATTTATCTTATTTACATAATTTTCACGAGGATTTAAAAAAATACAAAGATTTAACCAGAGATATTTAATCTCAGAAGCAATTTATGGTTCTCTTATATGAAATATTCTCGACTATATGTCAGTTAACATTACTGTTATCTCCAACGCAAAATTTTTTCTAGATATTCAATATATAAATAAAATATTTATTTCAAATTTGAATGTGAAAATTATTTCATAAGAGATTTTTTTCAAGAAGATATGGTAAATACAAGAATATAGAAAACGCTTATTTAATAAATTCTAAATTAATAAAAAAGTGAGATATACTACATAATATATCTATAACTATTATCAAAAATCTACATAAAAATAAAATCAACAACATACACACACAAAATGATAAAAAATATATAAATAATATATATTAAAATTATATAATATATATTATATATGTGAAAACAATCTGTTTCTTTTAAGATTTTATTAGAAATAATAGTCTTACAGTCTTTTATTATCATCATATTAATATATGAATAACAATAAGCCTTCAATGAGTATTAAAATATATGTATCAAGTGTTTTCTAAATCTATTGTCTAAATATATAGATTTAAGCACATTATGAAAAAGAAAAATTAATATTTTATTCAAAGCAAATGAGAGCAAATTTGAGATAAACCTTTGAAAAATCAAACATCATAATTTCAATGAAATTACATATCGGTCGGCGGACGCTTCTCAATCCAACTCTTGATGGCCGGTACCTCCTCGACCTTTTGCTTGAGCTGCTTCAAATTTTCATAATTTTCGATTATATTCTTCTCCATCATGTGGTTTAGATAATCCAATATGCCGACAAAAACGAGATCGGCCCAGGTTAGAGCACCGCCGACGAAATAACCGCCGTTCTGCTTTACTTGAGCGTCCAGACGCTCCAGATAGTACGGCACCATTTCTTTGGCGAGTTTAAGTTTTTCTGCTTTAGCCACTTCGTTGCTCTCATAACTATAAGCTGCGATTTCTATGATAAAAAGAAAAAAGAATGAATTGTGTGTTATAAGCAATTTCGTTTAAACATTTAATTATTAAACGATCAAATTATTATAGATAAATTAAATTATTTAGAATTTCCAATTACTTAGTGATGAAAAGAGAAAAATTTAAAAAAATAAATAAATTAAAAATATATATAAATAGCATATTTTTGTCTATATATATATACTTACTAGCGCGTAAGTCGTGTATTGTATCGACCGTGGCATCGATTTCCAGAGCTTCCCAATCGTCTTTGCCAGCAAGACCGTATTGTTTTGCCAAGTAGCGGCAAATAGCTGTAGACTGAGCGACCTTTTTCCCATCTACTTCGAGCACGGGTACCTGGCCAAACGGCATGGCTGAAAAATGATATTTAAAAACATGTGAATATATAAAATCAAATAAATAGATAACAATTCAAAACAGATAAAAGTAGGTGTGGCAAATGGCAAATAGCAATGACTAATGATAATAAATTTATTAATAGATCCAATGACAAGGTAAAAAGATTATTCCATATGGTCAATGTTGATTAAAAATATTGTTCATTCGTAAAACGTTTTAATTCAGGTCATCCTCAGTTACAGAATTCTATAATAAAGAAAAAATAGAAAGAATTAAAATTATGTATTGAGAGTAAAGAATGAAATAAATTTTTCTTTATTATAGAATATATAAATGTAAATTTTATAACTGATTGTGAGGATGACCAAAATTCGGTCGAAACGTTTTACAGATAAATTTTCTTATCAACATTAATCGTATAAAATATAATTTTTTGACCTTATATTATCGAATACTCCTCTTAGCCAATTTATTATTATAAATCAAATATAGTTTGTAGAAAAAAAACTATTAAAATTTATATCACAATAAAATTACAATGCAATTATTATCATGCAATATTTATAAATATTAAAAAGAGCTTTGATGATTAATGATTAAGGTTAAAGATAATTTAATATTAAAGAGTCTAACTTTCTTGCAATATAATTTGTTCTTTTGAAACTTACTTGTTATTTTTTATATATAATAGAAATATATTGAAGCAATTTACTGCTTCTTGTGTGTGGCTTTGTATTTTCTATGTTCTGAAAAGTTTCCCTTTAAATTATAAAGTTATTGCAACAGTTAAGTTATCGACAGTTTATCGATCAGCTTGCACAAATATTCTTTTCTTACATTAACAGGTTGTTTATATATATTGAAAGCTAACAGCATGTTTTTATGAAACAGTTGAATACAGCGTATTGTATTCGCATGACAATACCAATTGTCCTGTAGGGCATTACAATGCATAATAAGGAACAAAACACTCTATTGTCACACAATTGAAATAACATTAATTTCCTTTTCTGTGATTTACGCAAGAAAGTTCATTAAAAAAAAATACATCTCTATAATATATAATAGTATAATATACATAGAAAAAAATATTATCTCATATTTATAAAAACAAGAAAATAAATTACAATAAAAAATCAAAGTGGGAAAAGTAATATATATATGAAAATCATAATTTTAATTAATTGCTGATCTATCGCAAAAATCCATAAGTCAGATTTGAAGAGAATTAATTAAACGACTGCGACAAATTAACAAAAGCTAATAAGACACATATGTTATTAGTAATATCGATCAGCGTACGTACTCGGCTTAATTTTCGGCCAATCCTCCCTGTCGAAACGATCGTCGACGAACTCGGTATTACCATAACTTAACAGGAAGCGAATTGGTTCAGCCAATGCTTTCACAGGGAAGTAAGTTAGTTTGTAAGAAGGCATCGTGCTGAAAAAAGATATTTATTATTTTTCTTCAGCCTCATCATAAATTCGAGAAACGTAATAATATATTTTAATGACGGCTAATATATGTTTTTTGTCGATATTCAACTTTATTTATTTTGAGTGAATATTTAAATAAATAAAAATTTGAATTGGATACCTATCTTTAATCATAAGAGGACATTTTGCAGCCGGAATTTGAATGAAAATTTAAAATTTATATATACTTAATTTAAATTTATTTAAAATTTTTTTCTATTCAAGTTTAAACCAGAGATAGAGAAAAAATTTAACTAAAATTTAAGCAATGAATAAAATTCTTTTTATTATTTAAAAATAAAATTGTTATTTATAGAATATGCCAAAAATACATATAATGTGAGTATTTAAACTGTATTTAAATGAGTATTAAATTTACCGATGCAGTTGACACGCCAACCCAACGAGAAATGACCGGTTGAATCGACGTCGATTCAGTCAATTCGATATCGATTCGACTATCGATTTCTCGCTGGGAATCTGCTGCTATATTCCGATCACTGGTTAACTACCGACTAACTACTGTTATAATTTTTTTTAACAAGTCAAATTTTAATTAATATTGCGCAATGTGTCTTATCATATTTATAAAATATAAATTATATATTTTATGTAATAAAATTTTTTTTTAGCAAGAAACTAAATATATACTCTTACAAAAATAAAATTATGATAAATTATAAAATTGCACATTTTGTTATAAATAAAATTTCTATTTCTTTAAACAATATGAAAATCTCAGTATTCACAATTCATATTTTATTCGTACGTTCCTGATATCGATTACGTCATATTACATTTATATATCTACATGATTTTTTGTTAGAAGAGAGGGACACCTTCTACAAAGGCGTTTCTCTTTCTCTCTCTCCCACATACTTTTAACCATATGTAGCATAGATTTCTGTTAAAAACGCAATGTGTTCATACCGTAATTTTTGATCTCATAATTATCATTTCGTTATTATATATATAGAATTATTTATATGTATAATACACTATGCGACTTAATACACTTTTATCGCTATTAATTATAATCAATTAGCCGGCCAGGCGGGCCAGATATTTCAATTACGCTTTACGAAAATATACGACCATTTACAGACTCCAGTTCATCTCAATCAAGTCTAGATCTTAAATGAGAAAAGTTTTGCTCACAGTTATTTGCTCGAGACAAATATTAATGATGGGAAGACCAAGAGTTCTTGTCACCGGCAACGAGATGCGTCCAAGAAGTCCAGCAACGTAAAACCGGCTACTAAACTCGTCTATTTATTTATCACTGTCACCTCTCCCACTTTGCCGCCGCGCCATTGGTCACATCACGTTTAGAGAGGAAACTTGTAGGAGAAATATGAACGAGTTGAAATTCGGAGAATAATGGTCCAAAAAAGATTTCAAAAACACCTAAAAGATATTAATTAATTTTTCAAACATTATTTAATCATCTTTCAAGTCTTGTTTTTTTTTATTCTGAATTATTGACTCAACAAACGCGACTCGAAGTGCAAGTAATGCTGACAAATAAGACTGAAAAAAACAAAATGAAAGTTGTTTATTTGTAATCTTACGTAAACGAAGATATATTGTTCGAAAACTATCTGCACGCGTTTACATTTGCGGAATTATCAGACACTTGAACCTTAGATTAGATATATCATTTGTTTCGATGAAAACAGCTTGTAATTACACAAGAGCAATGAAAGTTTTATATCTCATTCGGTCTTTTTAGAGATGATTTGCAAATTATAAAAATGCATATGTGGCAAAATAAAAATCTTTTTAGATTAAAAACAATATGTATATTAAATATAAATCTAAATCACAAGAAAGGCGTATATATGTATATTTATATATAATTTTTTTATACCTTTATGAATCAGTAAAAACATTTCTTTTTCTAAGTTTGAGATTCTTTAATTACATTTTTTATTCAATTTTTTTTTTTCAAAAGAGACGAATAAACTTTGTATGTATGCAAAAATTATTTATTTTATTAAATTGTATACACGTATATTATCCCAAGAGAGAAAAAAGTGCTAAGAAAAAAATATATCTTTCTAATAAAATTCATAAAAATTATTTTCATAATAAAGATTCATAAAAATTTAACGTAACGATTGACCAGGACTGTAGTTTTATTCAATGCGAATGAATTATCTGCACAATGATTATATGGTCATTATATGTACAGTGATAACAATACAATAATAATTAAAATATTAATGAATGACATAACGTGTCATTAAATATTTAAAATATAATCTTGATATTTAATAATATCGTTATATAATAAAAATTCTGTTGTAAAAATTCTATATAATAAAAATTCCTAATAATTGCAAAATATAAATATACATTCTATATATATATATATTTGTATATACCCAATTTCCCTGTATCATAAGATACGAAATATATAATTACTACAATGCTAATTATGCAAAAGAGAAAAAACTCAAATACGTGACTATATTCGAAGCGTAAAATACAAATATCTGCGAATAAAATATGAGTTATGCTACTCTTCAAATCTTTCGTTTAAAAGAACAAAAAAAAGATATTTATCACAGTAGAGTTTTAATTTTTTGCCTTCCCTTATGTATGAAACATTTGCCCGATAATGGCAAAGTTCCTGACAGTGGAATTCATTTCTGAAATGTCAGTGTTTGAATGCAGAGCCGGTGAGACGACCGTAGTCCCTGTACCTGCTGCATGTGCGTTTATTCGCTGAATATCATCCATGTAACCTTTGTTGGTCTGCACATTCAGAGTACTGTTGATGACGTTGAGATGAGCTTGAGGCAACGTAGTCGCGATGATGGGCGAGATAACCGAGGAAGAGGAAGAGATACCACCGGAAATGGTCGTCTGGGGTGATTGGCCGCAATAGGCGGTCTGCTGCTGGGTTGCTGAGTTTTGTATCGTTCCCGACTGATAATTGTTGTACTGGGCCTTGCACTTCTTCTCGTGGACAAACAGGCTGCCGGAATGACTGTAAGCCGTGCCGCAGATCTTGCAGGCGTAGGGTTTCTCGCCCGTGTGCGTGAATCTGTGCTCCTTCAGATACTTGAGACGGCGGAAGGACTTGCCGCAGGTCTTGCAATGATAATTCGCCTCGCCGGTGTGCGTGGTAATGTGGGCCTTGAGGGTGCACGACTTGGCAAAGGCTGCGCTGCAATACTGGCAGACGAACGGTCGGTCGCCCGTGTGGGTCCTCTCGTGATTGATGCAGTTCGAATTGGACGTGAAGCCGCGGCCGCAGTACTTGCAGACGTGCGGCTTGTAACCGGTGTGCGTCCTCATGTGGAACATGAGGCCGGTGTTCTGCCGGAACGTCTTGCTGCATATGTGACAGAGGAAACGCTTGAAGTTCGCGTCCTGCTGCTCCTTGGCACGCTCGTGAATTCGCAGATGCCTCTGCAATTTGATTTCCTTCTCGAACGACTTGTTACACTCCTCGCATGTGTACAGTTTTGACTTCTCGTTGCTCCTCTCACGGTCATCCTTGTACTTGTCCGCGCAAATGCACGCGTTATTTGCACCGCAATTCGCGCAGTACTCGTCCTGTCCGCCGTGTATCTTCATTTGATGTTTCGATAGAGACTTCTTCGTGTCGTACGATTTTCCACAGATCTTGCAGGGAAAACCCTTGCCCTCGTTATCGGAATCCAATTCTTCCCTGATCCAACTATTTATCAGCTTGATCGCAGACTTATCATCAGGTGGTCCCTGTGGCTCCGAAGATGTTTTGCTCTCATCATGACCATATCGATCCATGTGACTCTTAAGCCTGTCCTGTCGGAAAAATTTCATGTTGCAGACGTTACAGACGAATTTCTTGTGTACTGACTGATGACGTTGAAGACTCTTCTCGTTGGTGAAACATTTGCTGCAATATTTACAGTCAAAGAGCAACGTATCGTCGAATGATTTCAATTTGTCATTACTCGAATCACTATTTAATGAATCTCTTTGCTCAATTTTACATTACGTTTTCTTAATTCTCTCGTCGTACCATTCTTTTCGCTTGGAGATTTGTCATTAATCGCTGTTACTTCATCCTTATTCACCATGACGTGAAGTGACATTTCAGAGAACTCTGGATTATCTTCTAATTTTCTCTTGTCTCGTATCTCTTTTAATATAGAGAAAACTTCCTTAGGATTCGCTCTCTTGTGGGCATTTAAATGTCTAACCATAGTATCAGTTTTCCTGAAACTTTTGTTGCAGATTCTACAAAAGACCGGCTCTGGCTTCTCCTTCGTTTTATGTAAATTAAAATGTTTATGCAATTTGTCCAAACAAAAAAATTGCTGATCACAGTTATCACATTTGAACTCTTTATCATCATGAGTTGATGTATGTCTATCTAAAGACCTTTTACTGGAATAAAATCTATCACATTTTGGACATTTATATTGTTCAAATTCTGATATTGTATCCATTCTACTATCGACATTTTTTGTTTTTGTTTGATACTCGCTATTGCTGATATCGCGTTTAACACTTGTGCTCTTTTTGATATATCTTCTCTGTCTTTCTTTATGATTCTTCAAATTCTCCATAGATGTAACTCTTTTAAACATAGTCAATCTTCTCGTTCTATGAACTTCCTTTACAACTATTTTATCATGTTGCTTACATTTATTAACGCAATCTAAATCTGATCCATTATCTACTAGAATATTCTCTGTTTGATTAAAAGCATCTGGTTGTTCATGTTTCATAACATTCCTTGATTCTGTCATATAGCTATTCTCTTCTATATTAATTCTGTTATTCATATTTAATTCCTTATTGTCTTCTAACTTGATTGTATCCAGGATAAATGATTGCTCCGTTTGACAACATTGATCCTACAAAAAGAAATATAATTAATATAATTGTAATATACATGTAATATTATTTTTATAATAGAAATTATTTATATAATAGTAATGTATTAATATAATATAAATTTATATAATAGAAAATAGAAATATACTTTTGTAGGAATAAAGTTGCCAGTAACATTCATGCTCGACATTCCATAGAGCTTTCTAAGCTCCTTGTCTGCTTTCTGACATTGTTCCCTCAATTCGTAGGCAACATTAATTTTATTTTCACACTTGGTACAGATGCTAGAAGGCAAGCCATCGTCTTCCTGAACCTGGATGAAAAAAAATCACTCTATAACTTGTGTACGTGCAAAGCAAACAAATGTCAAATGTAAAAAAACAAACAAACCTCCACCCCGCCGCACAATTGTAGTTTTTTCGAGAGAAGTTCGGACGTGTCCCCGTTACCCGGCTCGCTCCAATTTTTGCGGAAGATGCACTGATTGTAATGATTCATTGTCAGACAGACGCGACAGAGACTGGAGTCCTGACTCGTCCGTGTCGACATTACGCCGTCCTCTTGCATCTTGCGTTCGTCGTCTAAATCTTCCTCTCGTTCTTCCCAGCGAAACGGCGAACGCGCTAAATTCGCATCAATGATGACTCTTTAAGATCGGTGACTTTCCACAGAATATCATCGTCGAAGCGAAAATGTTGCTCGTAGCATCTCTCTGTTTTCTTCCAGACTGTTGTCAGGCAGGACTGTCACGCATGCGCAGAGCGAAATGAAGCTTCTATTTTGGATTTATGCGTACTAATAGCTAATTAACGAAGAAGTTGTTATTATTATTATCATTTTTGCTCTAAATAAAAATATTTATTTTCAAACGTTTGCTTATCACAACTTGTCACGTCATCACAGATTAATAGACAGATCGCCAAAGGCCTGCCTAAAGAAGAGACCGCCATCTTCGTGCGATAGACTTTGCCCCTTACCGACACACTTTGCCCCTGGTTCGAGTCCGTGCTAAATTCGTAGACTTGAACCAAAAGACTTTGCCCCTGGTTCGAGTCCGTGCTAAATTTCGTAGACTCGACCAAAAGACTTTGCCCCTGGTGCAAGTCCAGGCTAAATTCGTTTGACATTACCAACAGACTTTGCCCCTGGTGCGAATCCAGGCTAATTGATCATGAGACCAATTTGAGAGATTTGGCCCCCGTTGTGTGTGTGTGTGTGTGTGAGAGAGAGAGAGAGAGAGAGAGAGAGAGAGAGAGAGAATATTTTACATATATGCATATATATATAAATTTATTAAATATAAAAAATATATTTTTTACACATAAAATGTTTTTTTATTGAAATAATCACGATTTTAAATGTGATATAACACAGTGTTCAAAAATTTTTTAATTAAATTTTTTAATTAAATTTTATTAAAGAAAATTACTTGAAATTTTTTACATTAAGAATTTAAAGGCTCCTTATTCTCTTGTAGAAATTTATCACTACGCCAATTAATCACTTATTTTGAGTATTTAAAATACTATAATATACAGTAATTTAAGTATTCGAAATAAAAGTGATTAATTACTCGAAATAAGTGATAAATTGGCGTTACTAGTAATAAATTTCTATAAGGGTTGAAATAAAGTATAAGAGATAAATAGGCTATATGTGAGCCGTATGCGAAATGTGAGATGTAAGACGCATATTGAAATTTAATTTTTCGATATAACTTTCAAAAATGTACACGAGGTACAAAAAATTAGCTTGGACATTTGTAAGACTTAAAATTGGGATTAATTCTCAATTCTATTAATTAAATTTCGATATAACACACCTTACATCCGCGCACGGCTCACATATATAGCCCATTTATTAGTGCAATTTTTAAGTTCCTTATTTTTCAAAGTTCACCTTTTTACGTTATCAAATATTTTTACGTTTTCAAGAATTTTATATTTTTACTTACCGCAGTTTCTTATCCAAATGTAAAATCTTTTATCGCAGTCTATAAAAAATTGAAACAATTTACAATTTTATGATATAATATTATTATTATTACAATTTCTATATATATGCACATCTGTCAAATATCGTGATTTATTTCACATTATTATTATCTATTTTAATAAAAAAAAAAACAAAAACACTTGCAACAATCAAAAATAAACCGCCTGCCGCGAACGGAAAATGCCAAGAAAGCACGCAATTTCCGCGAATCTCGTAATTTTTTTGAAAAATCAACAATTTCAACGAAATTGTAAATTCTTCAAATCACTGCACAAGTATAATTCACAATAATAATTTTCAGTAACTACGATAAAAAATCGTATACTGAAAACCGCAAACGAAAGTGCAATGGGAGTAAGAGTAAAGTCTGTGATAAAATTAATTGGCAATAGAAAATTAATAATTTTCAAATAGAAAAATTTTGAAATTACCGAGGATTTACAAATAATAAAGTAAAAATATTAAATAATTTATGTTTTCGAATTTTGCTCGCGGAGAGGATCTTTAAAACAAGATTTTTAGAAGAGAGGACCTTTAAAATATAAACAGGCAAAAACGTTGGAAAAATTAAAGCGCGCGTTTAAACAGATAAACGCAATGAAATAAATACGCAATTGTTTTTACTTATCGCTGTAAGCTCACAAGCTTCTGACGTGCTATACACTTTTATATAATATATACAAGGTGTCCGGTAACTAACGGACCAATGATTAAGGGCGGATTCTCTGGCCAATTTGGAGACGATTTTTCCTTAGCAAAATGTTGAGAAGTCAATAATTTTCGAGTTATAAGCGATTGAAAAAAATAGGTTTTTTGAAAACTAAACGTTTTGGAGTTAAAAGTCTAACATAATTACATTCTTCAGTTAATTTCAGGTAGAGTTTACTATAATAAAATTTTAATTTAAGGCTTAGTTATAAAGATACATAATGACAAAGATTGGAAAGTTGTAAAAAATGATGACCTTTTTCGACATTTTCGCTGAGGAAAAATCGTTCCCAAATTGACCAAAGAATCCATTTGTAATCATTGGTCTGTTAGTTACCGGACACCCTGTATATTGGACACGAGTTTCGTTTGTTTCAGATTCTCGAGAGTTGAAGTAGGAACATACGAGTATCATATATCGTTTGTGACTTGCCGAATGAAAGCAAGACAGAGAGCGAACGAGATGATGAGCTTAATAGCTCATAATGTTATAAATAAATAAATAAAAAATTATAACCTGACCTACTAGTTATTGAATCTTTTTTAATAAAATGTTTCATTATTATTATCATCTAAGTCTAAGTCGTTTAATTACTTTTTAGTTTTTTAATAATTAATTTAATTTATTCTAGTCATTTTTATATGAGAAAAATAATATCACGTATACGTTTTATAATGAATTAATATATTTCGGGAACCGAATTATATATTCTTAATAATATAAAAGTGTTCAAAAATTATATTTGACTTTTAATTTTAATTATTTTTTAGCAAAGAGTTCCGAAATCTCTTACACACATAATGGGGATTTTTTTCATCCATATAATTCGCAATTAAGTATATATGTTAATTATTAATTTTAATAAAATAAAAATTAAAATTAAAGGTCAAATATAATTTTTAAACACAAATATATTAAATTAATTATAAAACGTATACCCATGATAGTATTTTTCTCGTACAAAAATAATTAGAGTAAATTAAATTAATCATAAAAGATTAAAATTAATTAAAGAATTTAAACTTATATTTTATATAATAATAATAAAACATTTTATTACGTCAAACCGTCGTGAAATAATTAAATAAAATTTGCTAGTTACGTCAAAGTCAAGTTTTCTAAGCTTATAAAACATTTTATTAAAAACAGATTCAATAAATATAAGTACATGTTATATATATACTTATATTTATTGAATCTGTTTTTTATAAAATGTTTTATTATTATCATATATAATATAAATTATTTAATTATTTTTTAATTTTTTTATGAGTAATTTAATTTGTTCTAGTTATTTTTGTACGAGAAAAATACTATCACGGGTATACGTTTTATAACGAATTAAATATATTTATGTTCAAAAATATATTTGACCTTTAATTTTAATTTTGTATTTTATTAAAATTAATAATTAACATATATACTTAATTGCGAATTATATGGATGAACAAAATCTCTATTATGTGTGTAAGAGATTTCGGAACTCTTTGCTAAAATAATTAAAATTAAAAGTCAAATATAATTTTTGAACACTTTTATATTATTAAAAATATATAATTCGACTCTCGAAATATATTAATTCATTATAAAACGTATACGTATTAGTATTTTTCACATATTAAAATGATTAGAATAAATTAAATTAATTATTAAAAAACTAAAAATTAATTAAACGACTTAGACTTAGATGATAATAATAATGAAACATTTATTAAAAAATAATTATAATAGGTCAGGTTAATATTTTATTTATTTATTTATTATAACATCATAAAATTCTGTCCTTTCCGAAATACGCGAACGCTACGAAAAGATAAATCTCGTACATGCCGCCGGACGAGTTCATGAGCATGAGACGCTCTTATCTTGGGAACGTATTAATAGTTACTGCATTGACCACTACTACGATATGGCGCTGAAATCAGTGAGAAATGCTGGTCTCTCCTCTTCATCCAGACCTTTGGCGATCTGTCTATTAATCTGTGACGTCATCGAGAATGCATTTCGAAATTCCAACTCTGGAGCAGCATCGTTTTGCCAATCAGGTTAAAGAATCTCTGCTCCTTCGTCCTGATTGTCCCATTAAGCACAATTTTGTCCCTGTGGGTAAAATTTTCGAACTCACTCCGAAATAAGTTTTCATTGAATCCTGATCGAGTATTTTCATTAATAAAGGTGACACTTGTGGAAAAACGTTGATGAATATTTTTGACATAATAACGAATGAAGTCCAACATATTCATGTATCATGTGAATTATTATTCTTTGCTGTCACACTTGATAAAAAATCGTGGATTACAACAAAACTGTTGTAAGCATTACACGGTCATGCCGCGCGATTCTATGCACGTGTTCGTCATGCAAAGAACGAGGCAGAAAATTAAAGAAAAATCTGAAAAGTATGCCGGCAACACAAATGTATCGCTACAGGTGGTATTATATTGACAAACAATAATAATGTCAAAAAATGTAAAGTATATATTAAAAAAAATTTTTTTCCAACCGTTTGAAATAATCACAAGTCACAATTTAGCACATTGATTAATAAATAAATGTTTTTTCTGCAGATTCTAGGTAGTGGGGCTCGTGGAGCACCAAGATGCGTTTATTTAACGGCAGGTCACACTAGGTATATTTTTAATTGCGGAGAGGGCACGCAGAGATTAGCGCATGAACATAGATACAAGTTAATAAAGCTAGAACACATATTTGTAACATCGGCATCTTGGAATAACTTAGGTGGCATGCCAGGAATGCTCTTAACGATACAAGAGGCTGGAGTGCCAAAAGTTAGTGTGCATGGTCCTAAAGGGACCGTAGAGATATTTGATGCACTCCAAAAATTTGTAATGTTACAAGCTCTGAAGGTTGATGAAGCAACGTGCGACGAATCGAAGCCATACATGGATCCAGTAATGACTGTATCATATGTTCCTATTATGAAATCAAGCACACAAGAGAGAGAGTCTGTTAATATAGAAAAAGAAGTAGTCGATAATATTAATTATTATGACTACACAACCAATTCTAATGGCAAGCGAGTACTTGATAATACAGTAAAGGAGAAAAAAGTACAGAAGATCGAAGAAAAGTATGGTAAAACAAGAATATCGAGTGTGATGTCCTATATCTGTAGATTGCATCCTCGAGCAGGCAAATTATCCTTGGAGAAGTGTTTGGAGAAGGGTGTAAAACCTGGTCCTATGTTGGGTCAGCTAAAAAATGGCCAAGATGTTACTCTTCCTGATGGTACAGTTATTTTGAGCAAAGACGTTTGCTCTCCAACAACACCAGGCCCTATTTTCTTAAGTATGTTGACAAATAATTTTGAAATAGATATTTATTTTTAACAACAAACTTATACTTCTTTTAAATTTTATTTATGTACAGTTGTAGAATGTCCCTCGGAAGATTACTTAGAATCCTTTGTAAATCATCCTGCCTTTGTTCAATATCAAACAAGAATGTCGAACGAGAACGACACACCATATTGTATCATTCATTTCACATCTCAGAAGGTGATGGCTGATTCTCGTTACATGGAATGGATGGGCAAATTTAATGGTAACACGCGTCACATAGTCGTAAACGAGGAAAATGAGTGCATGGGCACCGAAGCGATTCATAGGCATCAGCGCAAACTTCATATGTTGCATTCTGAAATATTCCCCTTGTTAGACGAAAAATGCTTTCAAAAGAAAATACGGGTGAGATATTTAAGAAATATTAAAATTGTTCTTTTAATCTTGGAAGGTTTTTTCTATCCTAATATTTTTTTCATATATTTCAAATACAAATTTTTTTTTAGGCGGACGATCTGCCCAACATACATCGTCCCAGAACACATCACACCGTTCATTTACAACCAGAACTGAGATTCGATACAGAGAATGAAGTATTGTTACATCCGGAGGAATACATAAATGAGATTAACACAATCGAAGGCTTTTCAGAAACGTTGAAGGATTTGCAAACAAACATCAACGTCCAAAAGGAAAGATTATCTATTGGAAAGGAATACCCAAAGATCATTATGTTGGGCACCGGTTCTATGATTCCGAGTAAAGTCAGAAATACGAGCGGTATACTTCTACAAGTTGATAAAAATCACAGTATGTTGCTAGATTGTGGTGAAGGCACATTTGGACAGATCGCGAAAATTTATGGAAAATACAAGATGAATAACATCATAAAAACGATCAAGGTATGTTAATGCTTCTATTTTTTTTTTTTTTTAATTTTGCAATGACAGCGAGTTTTGTAATGCTTACGCGAATTATGTTTCAGGCAGTGTACATATCACATCTGCATGCTGATCATCATATCGGATTGGTCGGTTTCCTGAAAGAAAGAGAAAAGATCACGCAAGATCCTTTGTACCTATTTGCGCCACCATTCATCGCTGCGTGGTTGCAATTGTATCATAGACGTTTCGAGCCTATTTTGCATCAAATGATGCTAATTCCAAATAACGAGTTCTTCATGAACACACACAATCCAGCAGAGCCCAAATATGGAGATATGTACAAAATGCTAAATGTGCAAGCCGTGAGAACGGTATATGTCAAACACTGTCCTCATTCTTATGGTATTTCTGTGACACTGCATAATGGAAAGAAAATTGTATACAGGTATATACATAATTTCTTTTAAATTTTTTCATATAACATTAACTTTCTTCCAACTATACACAATAAATCTCTATTTTATTCGAATTTAGTTTGAAATTGATAATTAATTCATGAATCTTTTTATTTTGATATGATACACATATATAAATAATGATATTATATTTTTTAGCGGTGACACTATGCCTTGCGAGAATCTCGTGAAACTCGGTCAAGATTGTGATCTTCTGATTCACGAAGCGACAATGGAGGATGATTTATTGAAAGAAGCCAAGATGAAATTTCATTCGACCACTTCACAAGCTATACAGGCAGGTAAGCAAATGAGATCGAAGTTCACACTGTTGACGCATTTCAGTCAACGTTACTCGGTGATACCTCCCTTGCCCGACGATGGTTCTAAATTAAATAATGTAGGTATTGCTTATGATAATATGCACATAAGTCTGTCACAACTACCACTTTTACCTTTAATGTATCCGACATTAAAAATGATGTTCATCAAACATTACGAGGATATAGAGGATCGAGCTGCTAAACGTCGAATGACAGCGAATTCGTAATAAATATTTTATACGATAACATGTAAAAATTGTGACCACGATTCCACTTTCATCTTACTGATATCCGATATAGTTCTCTGTTGTTGATTAAAAGTCAATATTTTTAACATATAAAATCTTCCAAACTGAGATCTGTGACTAAAAAATGAATATTACATAGTTTATTTCTTGTAATTTTCTTCATGAGAGAAACTCGATTAGAGAATTTTGTCATATAAAAAATCTGTTACTAAAAAATTTACAATTAGTACAATAGATGTAATAGTGAGATCTTTATATTGTTCTGTATATAGTTCTGTAATATATATAGTATCAATTTTTAAAGAGAATTACTGATCTGGTCGAATAAATAATTCAACTCAACCAAAATCCTGATTAATAAAAAATTTTTTTATTACATTTTTTAAATTTATTACATCCATTATTCTTAATGCGTTCTACCGTGAAAAAGTAATAAAAGAGATTGCCGCTTACATAAGTATATAAAGGAGTGTGTGGTCTGTATGTGTGTGTGAATGTGTGTGTTTATATGCATATATAGTCATCGTGATGGATCGAGACATATATATTTCATCGACACATCTTAATCGAAGTGTAGAATGTTCAACGATCACGGTTTTCGCACATTTCGCGCCATAAATACGCGTAATGTATAAAATTATAAGTGGTGCGAGGCGCAGATAATATATTACGATTATAAAACAACAATGTTGAAGAGGCAAACGTATATTTACACGAGACTGATTCCAATGTCTTTCGAAATAATCTGACAGATCTATTCTCGTACCTCATACAATCCTATTCGATATAGTACTATATAGGAATTTCGTAAAACGTGTAAAACATATAACATTGGCGATCTTCCGCCAATTTGTTTATAATTACGAAAAGTGAAGAATATTAAATCTATCCTATTGCTAAAAACGCGTGATTCCCGTCGAAGTATATCGTATTCTCAATTAACGCAAAAAAAAGCGAACAGAAACGCGAATCTGTATGCTACTGCAAATCTTTCCATCACCAAGCCTTACTTTGGCCTTATTTAATATACGCGATAGGCTAGTAATAGGTGTGTGAAGCATGCGAAGAGAAAAACTCTTCTGTGTGCGTTTCATTAAATACGCTTTGCCTAACTTATGATCGTAACAGATGTATTTTGTTAATGTGGAAACTGTGAAATGTGAAATCGTTATCGAACCGATTGGACAGTGATCGCGAATATTAGTCGAGTTGATGGATTCGATATTCTTTCCAACGTGTGTCGTTAATAATAATTAATTAATTCGCTTAGTAAACTTGGTAGCAAAAAAATTCATTACCATATTGCGAGCCAAAAGAAAAATCTATATATATTTCCTCTTCCTTTTTCACATTAATGCTTTATATTATGATAGTTTTTCATAAAATAAAATATAATGACAATCAATTTTTAATAAAATAAATAAAAATTATTTGTAATAAAAAAATCAGTTATGAATAATACACAAAAAAATATTGATATAAAATCGAGCTCGCAATGTGGCAAGTTGTACTTACAATATACAGATATAAAAGTTTGTGTATTACGTATAAAATAGATAATTATAAAAAGTATTCAAGTCAGTCTTGGACTTTTAGTTACTTGGATAAAATCGTTTATCGCGTCAGTCTTAAATATATTGTAGATTGACAAAGCGTTTTACCGAGATCTGAAACAAGAAAATCGTACGTACAATACACTGTGAACTGTCTATGTTGATTGCTCGACGCTGTATGCTGAATTAATTAAGTACGTTCGCAGGGGAATTAAACCCAAACTGCGAATCTCTTGCCACTGTTATTCGAAGGGGTACGATATTGTGCGAGTTACGACCAAAGCTGAGGAGGCAGTGGAGTACAAATCTTGCTCGTTGCATCGTTCTTTTACGTCATTTTATATAATATTGCCCGCATTTAAAACTCCCATTTCGTGGCGGACTCGTAGTCTGAATCGCCTAAACGCAGGGCGCCGTTCTTGCCTGCAGTGAGATATCGGCCGTCCACGCATTTAATGCAGATTCGTGACGGCTCGCGCAGCTCCAGGTAGAAACCGTCGGATGGCATGTCTGAATCTACGGTTACTCCCTCGCTATCCGCGTGCCAATACCTCCCGTTTTGTCCTATTCATCATGATGAAATAAATTAATGATAAAATCAATTCAAACAATCGTAATTTAAAGCAAGTGTAACAACACTTTAATTCTTTTTATGATGAAATTAGTAGTTATTAATACTACGTTATTTTATTTTAAATTATTAAGAGACGGACACACGTCACAATAACATTTAATATAATATTATGAAATATATATTTCAAATTTCAAGAAAAAAAATGATTAATTAAATTTAATTGAATAAAATAACACGAAAATAAATAAATAGAATAAATGACGTGGAAATGAATAGATGATATGAAGAGAAAGAATTACCTTTAAATCTAACCACGCCGCGCTCGCACCGTTCGACGCGTATCGTCTCGTAGACGGCCTTGTTGCACTCAAGCTTGGTACTGGCCGCGCCTTTGGGTCCGACAAAGCCCTGCTCGCATCGTAGCACCAGCACAGGCCGGTTCATCAGGTAGAAATGATACTTGGCAGCGTCAGAGTCGTTGCCGTTCAGCGAGTCGGCGTTTGCGTAGAGGTGACCGGATCGCTTGGTCGCCAGGAACTTGCCGTTGTTCGCACGCAACGCGACGGTACCGTCGCTCGACTGCCACGCCAGGTCGAAGAGCGCGTTTGACGAGCGCTTGTGATCGGACGCCTGGATACCACCGCCGGCTTCCAGGCTCCAATAACGATCCTGCATCGTTCGCACGTACCATCGTTTCGTCACCCGATCGAACTCCAACTGGAATGTCTCGTGGCCGGAGATCTCGTCCTGATTGGCCGTCACGTCGACGCCTGATGAAAATCAAGCTTTGATTAATAATTCTTCCAAGTATAAATCAATCAACATTTCTTATAATTACAATGAAAAATCACATCAACGAGGTATATAGAAATTACCTTGCTTCACGGAAACGTATCGCTGGTTCAACGCCGCGACGAATGACGCCTGTGGCAGAGATTCCTCTAAAGAGAAAAGCTCGTCGCGTGTAACAGTCGTTGATCTTGATTTTAAAACAGCTTTACTGCCAATCGGTGCTAAGTACGCACCATGTATATCCCTGGAAAAGATGGAAATGTTCAATTAACATCGTTCGCACGAAGTGATTAATAACATCTTTTTATGCAAGCAACCCAACAAAAGGATTAAAGAAATGATTGCTGATTCAGATTTAAGCTTTAGCTGTCTTACCGAAGAGCCAGAAGACCAGCGTGGAATTCCGCAGCGTATAGACAGTCTCGTGTGCAAGCGTCCAATAATTTGCCGTCACGTGCGAGGTATTTATTATTGCATGTATGCAGCGCATAATGACCGCCCTCAGACTTACGATCCTTGTGACTATCATCGTCATTCATGGTCGCTGGACGAAATTCTAATGTGAATAGAGTATCCTCACCCCAGGGCACTGGCGCGTCTACATGAATCTCATCTTGAGTGGCACTTAGATGTGCGAAACGTTTCCTTCCGGCCGATCGGAGGTTCACCTAATCATTTAAGTAAAATTAGTATTTTAATTTATATATATTATATATTAATTATATATGTATGTATACATATGTTAATTATACATTATAATTAATTTTTCATCAAATTATTATAATAATTCGATGAATAATTTGAAGAAAAAAAACTTAAAAATTATATATTATATAAATTATATCGGATTGTTCAAATAATTGAAAACTTTTTCAAGAATTATCTTCAAGTTAGTTAAAGAGCTCACAAAGAAGTATCCATACAATATAATTATAAAAGAACGAGGCGATGTCGGAACGAATTAAGACCGTTTAATCAGATTGCGAAATTGCAGTTATTAGTGAAGTTGTATATACATAGCGCAACAACTAAATTACACAAACGAGCCACGATTCCGCAAACGCTTTATTTGCAAGACTTAAAAATGCAACAGGTATTTTTAAGATGTACCTGCGGTCTGGCGGCAAGATGTACAAGCCAGTACTCTGCCTCGCCCGGAGCCTTAGCGGTACACTTTAATTCATCTTGGCTCGAGCCTAAGAAATAGCCTCTCTGAATATTCTTCAACGCCCATCGTCCGCTACCTGAAATTTATCACAATTACCGTACATTGAGATAATCGTCAAAATATATGCATACACATTTGACCATTCATTACCAAGTTTCAATTTTAAAATTAGTACCGGATATTTAGATTTAGAATATAAACCATCGGATAAGCAGCGCAAAAGATACAAAATAATTTATATATTTTTAAATGTATAATTATGATACAATGCAAAACTGATTCTATAAGATCAGAACATTTGTTATGTCTGATAATACATGTATAATCTTTAATTTATAAGATAAATTGATAAGACAATTTTAGTAGATTATAAGTTATAGTAATTGATACGTGAAAGCTCTGTACCATCAGAAGCGAGTGTTATTTGAAAAGCGCATCCTGGGTCCGATGAATCCTCGCTCTCGCATGTCACGTTACCAAACTGGTCGACCGCTAGATATCGATCCAAGTGCGAACGAAGGAAAACCTGATGCTCGCTGCCCTCCAGAGTCCATAATTGTTTCTTTTTCAAACTCGAACCATTGGCGTTAATCTTGAAACCGAATGTCTCCGCCGTTAGATACTTGAACTTTCCGTTTATCAATCCAACCTGGAAAAATGACATCAGTTATCATTCGTGTTAATTTTATTTCTAGTAATCCATAGTTTAAAAAGTTCGTCTTCATTCATTAAATCTGTCAAATATAATTAATAGCAATTTAAAAATAATATTATAAGATATTTTTCATCAGATATTTTTAAAATTAGACAATTTATATTAAAAATATTCATAAATAATGTTGATCGCCAGTGACAATTTAAGTCACAGTTTATATTAAACTGATTTGTATTTAGTTAATTAGACACATACTGTCCATCCTGATTTGTCGACACCGTTCTCGGATCCTACATTTTCCGAACCGTTGCTCTGCATCGTACTGATGTAGCTGAACGAATTCGGTTACCAAAATCTGCTCAAAGTAGCCTCTCAATATCTGAAACAAATGCACACGTTAATTAAACAATGTTCAATTAAATAAAAGTGTTATTTAAATACAAACATAATTATTTCAAATATCGTAATAAGAGTAAGAAAGAGAATTCTTAAGTCTACTCTTAAATCTCCGATCAGAAGAGCGTCAAAGGAGATATTACAACAATGACTCTCATCGATCATAATTAAAAGATATTTGATGCAAAAAGAGTTCACGCGTGAAATAATAAATTATACATTAATTATTGGATATTTACTCTAATATTTGACGTATATGCAATTAATTAAAATGTAATTATGAAACCAATTATAGTTGCTCCTTCCTTTTTAGATAAGCCTATGCGAGCATCTTTTTGCAACCGATGTGCATATTACTTTGAAATAATATATTATTCGTTATTGACGAGATACACGAGCGTTATAAGTCGCATTTCAGCAGGGAAAGCACCGAGGCACGGGAGGCTTTATGTGCGCCGATTGAGAAATCCGCCACTGCGCGTATTGATCCTCGAGAGAGAGTTTCATCCCAACGCTATCGCCAGCAAACGTCTACTAACGCGAGACAAAACACCGCTATTATTTGCCGGATAAGCGGCTCCCTTTCGCGCTTTTCGCTTTATTTATACATCATCCCGTTATGATTATTCCGTCCCAGTTCCACAATTTTATTTCTCGCTGTAATAATCCCAATTATGATATAATCAATTATAATATCGAAAAACGCATCCTCTGTGCCTCTTTGCTATTATATTGTAAAATTAATATTTGATATATACATAATTATAATTATATAATTATACTTATATGATAATAATTTTTGATTTATTTTAAAATTTTAAATAATTTTAAAATAAAAATTATGAGAGAAGAAACTCGTGTTCGTCTTCTATTTACAATTCCTGTTTTCTGTAAATAAAAGTTTCCGACATTTAATCAATAAATTAAAAAAAATTAATAAATAATTTGAATAAATCGTAGGAGGAAAACTTGATATTGAAATTTATGAGTATTAAAGTGCGAAAGATTTTGATCTTTAAATTGCTTATTATTTTTAAAAAAATTGCAGTTTACTTTGATTAATATTAAAGATTTCTTTGGCGGCTGCATTTTGCGCGTAAGGGACGTAATTTATTTATAACATCTTAAATCACAAAATGATGGGATAAATTTGCATATATGCAAATTCACTTGATTTTGTTAGAACTGATATCATCTGGCCAATCAATCTTACACCCGTCTCGAGAAGCTTATCACATTCGGGATCGATTCTTGTCAAACGTGCCTATTAAATCGACATTCGCCAACAACATAGTTATATTATAACAATTAATTTAATCAGTCGAATGATGTCAACCTTCGATTACATCTTCAGAAACAGAAAGAAATAAATCCAGAGGATGTGTGGAAAAATTTATTCCCATTTCCGAAAAATCTAATATTTTAAATTTATAACTAAGGATTAATTATAAGTTCTCTCTCTCTCTCTTTCTCCATCAATTTATCAAAGAATGTGCCGATTTGCATATATATATGCGGGACATCCTATATAGCTGACATCTACTGCAAGCGGTAGATAAATGTAAATGAGGCGACTAAACTTGATGCGGTGTGTCATTGAACTGGTTATTCATACCGAATGCTTTGAATCAGGATTCTCCGAAACAGGATCTTCGATCTCGATCGACGTCTCTTAATCCATATCGAAATAATTTTATGCGCGAGATGCGCATAAAAGTGATGTTGCGCCACCGCTAAAAAACGGTACATGAATTAAAGCATTCCCACGTAACGCGTTCGTAAAACGTTACGTGCAGGAATAACAGAAGAAGAGGAAGAAGAAGGGGTCCTTGAACTCGTGAAAGAAATTCTTTAGTCTTCAGGAGGCACGCGTGAGCGCGATATTCAAGATATAGCGTAGCTTGACGGGCAAGAAATACCTTGCTTATTCAATTTAATGAGCTTAATTAAAGTGTGAAGTAAAATTCTGGTGTAAAGTTTTCATTTAATACACTGAAGAATTATTTCATCTTGCAATCGCTCGGAAAGCTACGCGAGTTGTGCTTGAAAATTGAAAGATAAAAATCATTCACACAACAATAAATGTCTTAAACTTTTTTTCTAATTTGCTGTGTTGGCATTTTCATCGTTAAAATGTTTGTATGCAGTTTTGCAATTCCTCTTATATAGTTATTATGTAATTTAACGCGAATGAAAAATAATGTCCATCTCTGGCGTATAAAAATTCTAACTACAGAGGCGGATAGTGAAAGCAGACATATCGCTTTGTCAACACACGGGGATAGATAAAATCGCTCTTAAATTTTCCCGTCACGAACACGAACGGAAGTACTTTCAACGACAGCGAACAAGGACAACGATGCGTTAAAGCGCAAAGTTGATGCGACGACACGTTCAACTCACAGCTGATTCGGATCAGGAAAATCGCGAGAGCTTCCTGGGGAAAAATCTCCGTAACATTTAAATAATTACTCGATTAAAATTTATTAAATATTATTTTAAATATTAGGTATATATAGATCAATCAAAGTTTTACCGCTAATTTATCAATTAATTTGAAAGGGCTCCCGCGACGCGTGATAAATTAAATGGTCGCCGACAATATAAAGAGATCTAAAAGTACAAGCACGCTGATCGGATTTAGAACGATAAATGTGGCACGAGCCTGCCATACTCGAACTTTGAGCGGAGCGGGCTTTTATACAAAGCCCAAACACGATCGTGCCGTGATGCAAGTATCGGTCCAAGAAAAGCCGCGAAAGGGTCTTTGGCCGAACTTGGTTATCATCGAGGACACCGATACCATCCCACCATCTCGCTCGATTTACTCAATTATATCTCCGCTCAGTCTTTTCTCGTGTCTCTGATTTAGATTTTTTCTTCATTTTTTTATGATGACATACGTAATATTAAAATTCACTATATACTTATTGATGTTTCAATTCATTAATGTATTTTGAATGAATGAAAATATTGAAATGTATAGAAAACCTCTCAGAGATGATATTTTCCTATTTAATTGATAAAAAATTATAAAAATATGTGAAAATTATTACATAATCACATAGAAAAATTCGTATTCTAAACATAAAATATTGTATTAGTTTCTATAGATATTAGAAATGCAGAAAATATTAATAAAACAAATATAGAAAAGTATAATAATTATATCTCTAATAACGAGAGACAGCTTGTATGACTACAACTATATTAACTCTCTGGCCCGTTGAAAGAGGAGACGACTGTGTTATTCCATATCTGGACACTTAATTATAATCGTTTCTGCCTCCGAATCGCGCCACGTTCTCGTTCCAAGTTATTGACACTAATTGGAGAAAATTCGCAGTGTTTACGCTCGAATATGAGCCGTAAGTGATTTACTTATGCTTCCGACGTGATTGCAGCGATAAAGTCACGCGAGCCTCTCTCTCTTTCTCTCTTTATTCGAGTTGGCAACGGAATCCGTTATGCGTCAGAAACGCGAGAGATTACCGTGAGATTTAAGGAAAAAAATAAAGAAAGAAAGAAAACGCAACCGCAGGCAAGATCCGTATCATGCCATGTTCGACGCAGCATGATGCGCGAGGAACAACAAACGGTACATACAAACGTCCGGTACATATTACAACGCGAAGTACCGGATGGTTCATTATATGTAATATGTTAATACAAGTTATACAAGTTGTATCGTTGTTGGAATAATTATATCATCCTGTGAAAATTGAGCGTTGCACGAAACTGTGCAAATATTCCCTTCCGATCAGCTGATTGTGAGATGTCCAAATGTCAAAATCGTCTCAAAGAGATTGTTAATTAAAACGAAACGGTATAAATTGAAAAATTTTATTTTATCGCGTTAAATTATAAATAAAATGTCTCTCTCGGGGAATTTTAAGCTTTCATGTTTTTTTTTCCTTTATGCAGAATCGCTCAAAAGCTGCAGCTGCGACTGACACACGACGAAAAATCGCGGCAAAAAAACCAGTGCAGCACATGCTACGATCGCGAAATTCATGCTCGCGTTTCTTGCGAGAGTGCACGTGCCTTATTACTGCGTGTGTCCCTTTTTGTTATTAAATTACTTTCGACGGGATATCTGTCACGAGAGACGAGAGATGCTCGAGAGTAGCGCTCGAGTGCATGATGAGATACTTATGTTATCGTAATAATCGAACGATAACGGTAACATTAATCTTATACAACTTCAATTTTCTGATAAACGTCCTGTCATTTCTTTCTCATTATATTAATACAACACGCACACAAACATATGTAATTTTATTCTTTCAATAACAGAGCAGAGAATATAGTTGTAATAAAAAATGCTGTTTTGTTATTACAGATCTAATATAATTATGTTTTTTGTATTTTTTTTTAATGTAATTTTTATTAACATTTTTTATATTTCTAATATCTGGAAACTAACATATATTTCATCTGTTTAGAATTGAATTTTTATATGTGCTCTTATATACTTTTCAAATATTTTTATATCTTTTACGAATTAAATAGAAAAATATTTTCATCTCTCAATAGAGATGAAAATACTTTTCTCTATGTATAACAATTCGCCAAGTTTGATATTATTCATTTATTTATATCATTCCGTCCTTTCCGCATAATTTAATGTGTTATCAATACAATACAGACTTTGTTTTAGTCGATGACTGGACGAAGTTTATCAAGCATTTAATTTATCGCGGTTGAGACGAAAGAGACCTAACTTATTATAAATACATATAAATAAAGAATTTAATTGTGTGTGATCCTTATTCCTTCTTTGTTTAAAAAGTCTTTAATCATATATAAAACGAGTAAAGCAAAGCGAAACACTTTTTATTTTATTTTACTTTACTCTATTTTACTTTTATATATTCATGAGAATTTCTCCGTATATAAAAATTATTTTTAAATCGCGAAAATATGAATAAAAAGAATCTTCTGCGGAAGACATTTATTTAAAAATGAAAAGACTGTGCGTATGAATGCACGTAGCTTTTACTCGTAATGTATGCATTTAGCTATCTACAAAAGACAGGATCTGTCAAGAATCTCTATAATAGCTTTCCCATGCATTTCAAACCATTAACAAAATTCCTGGGCATACTTAATTTGCTAATGTACTTAGAATTTAAGAACACTTTTAAGTTTCTTCTCGCTTTAAGCAGCGAAATAAAAATATATTTTATCTGTTTAGTTCGTAGAATCAATCGAGGCTTTGTTTACTTAGAAAAAAAACTTTACATGACCTAATAACTTTTAATAATTTCGGAAATAAAATAAAATTATTATAAATATAATAATATAGATTCCACATTCATCAGTTTCAAACAATTAAATTTTATCCTGTCAAATTAAAAAGGGAGAATTGTATGAAGAAAATAAAATATTTAAGAGATATCTATGTTTAAAATTAAATGACGAGTGAAAAAACTATTTGCTCTCTTTCTCTAATTTCATTTTAATTACCAGTAACTTGTAGCCTGAAGATTATTGGTCTTCTATATACATTTTTATTAAGCAAAAGGATCCTTAAGTGGATAAAAAAAATACTAAAATAAGGGAGAAAAATAAAAATACACGCGACAAAAAATTCTAGAAACGTCAAATTTAGAAACAAAGAAATCCTGCCATCTTCCTGTTTATATTCCCTCGAAATACCGAATGTGTCATACTCTCTCTCTCGGTGGCGCCCTTTTCGTTTTCGACCCGGGTCCGACCCCACCCAACAGGCAAAAGACGAAGAGGAAAAGAAGTGCGGAGCGTATACCACCGACCGATTAACAAGATGACTCATACTCGTTGCACTCGCGAGAATGCGGTGCTTCCGTACGAAATAAGAGGCCACGCACTCCCCCGTCGCCGGTGGTGGTGCCTTCCCTCACGCGAAGGTCGATAAAAATAGTTGGTGTATCTCATCCGAGAAGTGAAGGCCATCATGCGTCGACAGCGAATTTTCACGCCGCGCGACGAAGCGCTGCCTCTCTCTCGAGAAGGGCTTCCCGGTCGGTCTCCATGGGAACTGCCCCGTGGTTTTGACCCCTTCAAGGTTGCACGAGCTCTCGCGAGGTCTTGCCAGACCTTGATCGCAGACACGGTCGTCTGTCTTGCAGGAGTCACAGGATACGACATTTCGTACAAATGAATAAGCCGAGCTGTCATTAAATATCTGTCATTAAGATGTATATAGTCTGTCTGACAATGAGTCAGATTAAGTGACTTTTTTTTAAATAATATATATAGAACGTAACCCAGAAAATGTTTAATGTCTCCGTTATTTAAACGATTAGTCTAGGACTATTAATAATACATCTCGACGTTAAAAAAGTGCGAATAAAAAACTTTCTCTTCATAGCTTTGAAGTTACTTCGAGCAGATGCGCAATTTAAATCTCAATTTATTTTGGGATATTTTTTCTTCTCTCGGGAATTTTTTGCTTAATAAAAAGGAATCATACAAAGCACGAAGAGAAACCAATAATCTTCAAGCTACAAATTACGTGCAATTAACATTAAATTAGAGAGAAAGCAAATACATAATTTCCTTATACTCTTCGTTCAATTTCAAGCAGATTTAAGATATACGTGTAAATGTATAAGTGAAGAGGATCTCGGAGACTTGAACCGAGTCGAGTATGTAACCACTCGAATTTTACATAGCCACGGTGGCTTTTGTCCTCGTCGCACCCTTTGTCGTCAATAAAGAGGGGTGTGTTGGACCTTTCACCTACTATGTAATTTTAGCTCGAGTACTTCTTGTACGTAAAGAGAGCGAAAAATATTGCACGATGCCCTCTAAAAAAGACTGTCCAGAGATACCTAGAAGACCCCCTCTAGGAACCTGACAGATGTTTAAGCAACTTCCTGGATTCAGGACATTATTGTTTTGGGTGTGTTTGCGCAGGATGTCGGCGAAGGACGCACGCAAATATTATCCGAAGCCGGAGTTCGCGACGTCGTCGCCGATAAGCCTAGGATAAGACAGGAAGCTGAGGCTTCTTACCTCTTTCTCTCTCTCTCCACGAAGAAGTCCCGCTTCCCTGGCTTCCTAAGCTGGTCCGGTCGAGCGTATCGATGGCACAGAAGCGCGCGCGTCTCGTCCCGGCTCGACAGGATTCGATCCGATTCGGCCGCGCCTCGGTGCTCTTTCGCCGAATTATAGTACACGTAAAAGAGCCGCGAGAAAAAAAAGGGACGCGACGTAGAGACGGAGGAGTGAGAACGACGGACGGCGATCGGGAGGAAAGAGTCGGCGCACGCGAGAGCGCGAGAAACGGAGAACCGCACGGATCGACGCTCGTCACGCTACTGAAGCGTTCGACTGAGGCCCGCCGCTCCTCCTAGGCCCCGTCAAGGCGACGCGGGAGCGCGAGAGTGGGGGATGATCCCTCTTTCTCTCCTCTCTAGCGATGGCGATAACACCCTCTTGAAGAGAACGATGTAGAGGATTTTTGGAATTTTTCATTTCGATTTTAATATTTTCCTGTGTGCGGCAAAAAAGCGAGAAAAATATTTTAATATTCATTATATTTATAAATAGCGCAAAATATAAGATTTATCAAAATATATTATATGGAGCAGATATATTATAATATATATGATATATTATATATATAATAAAATATATTATAAATAATATATGATATATATTATAAAAAATATAAATCTAATTATAAGTAAAATCTATTATATAAAATCTTTTTATCTCGACAAGTACCTGTCGTTCGAGTAATCTGAGAGATTAACCCTTTCGCGAACAAGTGGCATACTTGTTCGATATTAAGCGCGAGTGAAGCGAAACCGGTCTGGGCCCATCGCTCGCAGCTGACTCGGCACGGGACGAGAGAGAGAGAAAGAGAGAGGATGATAGGATGCACGAGAGTGGTAAACGTGCATCGAACTGTTGACGGTAAGTTATTGTATAAGGGCGGTGAACCTTGTCCGTGTTTTTCGCGTTGCTGGTCGTCGCGATCCAGCGATAATAATTTCGCGCTATTTTCGCGCACGAGTCCGCGTCCGCATCATTCGAGGAATCGATCCGAGAAGCGAGAAGTCGCGCGTCAGCGGGCGCGCGAGATGACACGACACGAGGACCTTTTTTGATCGAGACTCATTGTCACTCGCATATATTACATTATGTCATATAAGAGTCTCTTTTCGGATATCTTTTTATTACAAAAGTTCTATTAATTCGTTTAAAAAAAAACGTGGCGTTTAATAATAATTAAAATATATAAAAATGGTCAAGAGAGAAAGAGATTAATTATTTGATGACATATGATTGCAAGAGCGAGATCATTAAAAAATTAATAAAGAAGTTAAATATATATGTCAAACTGCAAATATTTTATACTTATATTCATTTTTCGTACCTTTAAAGCCATATTTTTCTTGAAAACAAAATTTTGATTTATAATTATAAATATCTATATATGTTATAGTATCATTTGTGATATAATTATTACATATATACATATTATAATAAAATATTATAAAATTATAATAAAATAATTATATTCATTATTGCAATACATCAATACGCATAAGTTTTTTTTATCCAAAAATTTGTAATGAAAATCTTTTCTCTTTGTCGTAATAAATGACCCGCAGCATTTCTACAGATATTATGCTGACTAGATCCATTTAATCTCTTTCTCTCTCTTCGATTTCTATAAAGAAAGCTTCGCACTTATTTAAATGCAGAGTTTCAATCTCGCCTAAAGTCATCATCTTTTCTTCTCTCTATTGCTTCATTCTTCCTCGACAGTGAAAACGCACTCTTGTACAGATTTTTTCTCTATTTCTGACTGGCTATTCTATCTCACCGCTGCAAAAGTTTCTGGCGAAGAGGTAGCAATAAGCTCGTAGAAATCTTACCGAGTTAAATTGCCGGACACTTAATCAATTTCGCGATCTCTTATTTGTAATACGATTTCTCGCCAGGTGGAATCCGACAGATCGTGCGATCACGGTGCCTTTCGCAAATGGGCTCAAACTCGACTGAATTAGATATTCAGAGTGATATCCGATGAATCTATCTATGGTATCGCATCTACAGCTTCCTAAATGGTGATGGGGAGAAAGGGACGAGGAAATCTGAAAGGTAGCAGATCCAATCTGTTCGAGATCTGTAAGCGAGTCTCTCAGTTCCGATTCATGCAAATCTCCCTGCTGACTACCTCTAGATTGATGAGATTAACTAAACCAAGGTTTGACCTGACTCGGTAATACTCGCCTAATAAGCGCGCATGTTTCCAATTAAAGCAGACAGATATATCATACATCACTCGCGATGATAAAAGAAATCTAAATTAACGGTTGTCCTCCCTGCATTTTTTGATATTAATTTACTACGATTCAAAGAAAAATTTAGGAAATACATACTATTCACCGAATTATAAAATTACAACTTTGAATTAATTAATTGATTTTATATAATACTAAATATTATTATAACATGCGCGCTTATGTGTTGTACTAAAAATTGGTTAATTTTATAATAATAAAGATTAAAGAGTATTATTAAATAGTGCTTGCATATAAGTAATATTTAAGACGCACATATTCTAATTTTCTTCTTGTTAATAGATATCGCTCATTAACCCCGCGTCAAATTTGTTGTCAAGTTGTTTTTTAGGATTCAATCAATGTTATATCATCAAGGAATACATCAATGATAACTCGGGATTCCGTTACAAGTTTCGCATGGAGCACAATCGTTCGGCCTGAGCGACCCATTAAAAAAGCCCTAATTAGTCGAATAACTACTACTTAATTCGATTTGGCTCGGGGAGCCAGGGACTTTTTCGAGCGTGTCTAACGAGAACATCTCGTCCGGGATCGTTCGCTTTCCGGAAACATACTGTCTTTTTCAGTGTGAAAACGTCCCTCTTTTCTTCACTTGTATCCGTAAATACGTAAAATTTCGTCATATCTTGTTCCTTTTTTAATTTCTCGGTCATATTTTAGAGTAATTATGCATGTGCGAGAAGACATTGATGTGATGTTTTGTTCGCCAAATTGCTTCAAGTTTCATTATCAAGCTTCGATAAGCTTGATAAGCGAGCCTTAATTATAACTAAAAATTACTAACATGTAAATATTTGTCGCAATCAATTTGATAAATGAAAATCAAGATCACTTTCGCTCGCAATTATTCACAATGCATATCATCATGCAATATAGCTTATTCCATGTCCATTATAACACATACATATGCTTGTTCAATTCACATTCACAATTGCTATCGAAACTATTGAATGCATCTTAGGTAATGTTTTAGCATTATATTCATTGCACAAGTTCAACACACACGATTACCTAGAAATCTTACCTTGCAATGCAATCAATGAACTTGGAGAATTGAGTTCGATTTCCCCAATAACAATACAATACATTGTTAACATAATTTATGCTTGAACTCTGAGCAAAAGAAGAATGCACTATATATGCAATATGGAGTTATTGTTTCGTAATAAAATAAAAAAATGATTACTCTCTTGCAATAACAAGAAGCGTCTTTATACTACATTCAATTTTAGTAACGATGGCAACTGACCTTTTCTTAGAATTATTTAAGTCCTTTTGTCATTATAAATATAAATTTTGATATTTATGTGACGAGATATACTCTCTCAATTCGCACGTTTAATTTGCATTTTCGTAGACATGAAGAAATGATAATTATTGCATTGATTTTTGGGAAACTCTCTTCGCAAACTTTTTTTTCATGCAATGAATAATTTCTTAATTCTGCGACTATACAATAACTTTAATTGAACACGAAGATCCCACACTCTACGCATGTATTTCGATTTTTCCTGCACAGCATTTTTTTCACACTTGAAATCTCGGAAAGTATAATATCAATCTTTTCTCTTTTCCCTTAATGTCTCAATATCTTTGACAGAGTTACCTTTCTCGTCACAATATAAAATATTTATCATTAAAATTTTGAAAAGATACAAATAATTCGAAAAAAATTTTAATTGTCAGATGTATATAATTAATTTGCAATATATGTGAATCAATATAGAAGAATTTAAAAGACACAGATAACATATTAATAATTAATAATCAAATATAACGTATTAATAAAATTAATTAAATATTTCAAAAATCAATATATAAAAGTTACTTTGGAAAATTATTTTAACCATTGTAATAAATCCGAAAAATAATAAATAAATTCATCATATACAGAAAAAATCACAAGATATTTCCACATTGGGAATACATTTATAAAAAAAATGAGATCATCTGTGGATCGCTGTTCCACAGATTTAATTTAAACGACAAAAATTATATTCGCACAAGGCTGATTGATTTTTCACTTTCTGCGAATTCAATATTATACTTCGTATTTCTGTTGCGTCTTGACTCTGTACGCAAACGCATTTTCGCGTCGCTGACGGGCGCAAGGCAGATAGGTTCGCTGACCGGCCGGCGCGAAGGATGGCAGAGGGAACGCGCCACGAGAAAGCCCGCGAAGAGAGTAGACCGTGACCGTGGCCGTGACCGTGACCGAGTTGTTGCAATCGCGATATAGACATCGCCACCAGCAACGACATAAATCGTCGGCGATGTTACCGAAAAAATATATAAATTCGCACACATGTATTTATAAATATATACTTATATTATGGTTGAATTAGGAGAACTAATCACAAAAAATTTATGTACCTAATATAAGTATATATCTTTACATTGATAGATAGATATTTAGAAATGATATAGCTTAAATGTAAAATATTTGCATTCTGAAATATTTTACATTAAAGCTGTTTCACGTTAACTGGCGGTACATTATACATATTTGAATAAAAGTATGTTTAATTTAACGATTTTTTTTGTACTGTCATTAGTAGTTTATATCGGATTTCAAATTGGCATGAACGATTTGAATTTGTCCTCTTTCAAACTCTTGCTTTTGTAAAACCAAAAAAATAAAATCTTTTTATTTTTTTAATCGTTTTTAGAGACATTTATTTACGTTCATGCTATTATGAAAACCAAGTATCGTGTGAAACAAATGCCAGATTGTAAACTTAATTCTAACATATAATTTGATATCAACAATTCCAATTCATTTCAAATGTTCAAAGATATTTATAATGTAATAATAATGATTGATATAAAACGTCATTTCTTTACAAAAATCTATATCAATTTTAAATAAATAGCGCACTTTGTATTAGTTATGTTATCCGATTTTGCCAATATATCTCGACATTCATAAATTTTTCATTAGTTTATCTAAGGATAAAAATAAATGTAATATAAAATAATTTAGTTGGATAAAGAGAGGCAAAGAGAATAGTGACATAGTTTGTATATTTGCTATACAATAATCGCATTCGCCGCATACAATATATATATATTGCGTCACATAATACAAATGAATACGCGTGATATACAAAGTACGATGAAGTACACACAAATTCTAAGTTCAATTAATCCCAGACAACTCTAGAAGACTCTCTTTTTTTCTTTTTTTCCTCCGTCATTTGGAAGATACGAATGAATGTACAAAAAAGAGCGATAAAGGAAAAACTAAAGATCCACTTCTATTCGACGATTTAAAAAAATGCTATTGGAGCTAAAAGGACACAATCGTAACACGGCTATGTCGTGTGTGTAGTGGAAAAATATGTTTTGGATGAAAAATGCACGATGAACGTGATTCTATTTTATCGGCACAAATATGCATGTATCAATATATATTTTGTGTAACTTTCCAATGAAGTAACTATTCTCAATCTATTTGTTTCTTTCATGAAGCTCGTAGTAAAGGTACAAAATGTCTATACTAATATATATTCTTCTCTTTGTCATCGCTCATTATCGTACAAATACGTGGCATTCCTAGCCTACACGATTGATCGATACGATTATCGGAAAAACACCACAGGCTCTAACACAGTATGGTTATACAAATATACAAATTTTGTTTTTACACATTGATTAATTATTGACGATGTGTGCGCATCTCTAAGGATTAGGGCTTTTCAATGATTCTAGTTATTTGCGTGATAAACGCATTTGCTACGTTCCATGAAGGACATGGTTGTCGGAACTTTCAATTTGTATATATTGCAGAATTTATGTTAATATTATTCTCGATAATAATCCTCGAGCATTATATTTGTAAGATACTTGGTTGAGCCAATAAATCAGTGTATATATAGATATATATTCTTGCCAACACAAGGCAATATATAGGAATAATTATATCACAAAATAAAGATATAAATGAAATAGTATCATCTTATCATCAGCATTATAGGGCCACGATCGAAAATTGACTGCGACTATTTATGGCACTACCTATCAAGAGGTTTTTTTTATATTTTTGACCAAGGCAATTTCACATATACACTATATGTAACAAAAAAATATTAAGAAAAAATCTTTGATATAAATTATATAAAGCTATTAAAAGTCGTCAATAAAGAGATAATTTTTTTACATTTCAATAAATATAAATAATAATTATAAGCAAAAATTTGTGTCATCTATTTCGCAAAACGATAAGAGTTTATTTTATTTATGAGATCAGTAACTGATTAAAATTAATTAATTATATTATGTAATTAAATATAATTTACTTTGCAATGCAATATTCAAAATGTATTATGAATATAATATGAATTTTTTTAGAAATATTCTGGCTTAGAAGCATTATAGTTATCTCTTTTTGTAACCTTTCTCTTTCATCAGTTTTTTAGTTAATAGATATTTAACATATAATTTTGTATAACACTATATATAGAATGTTAAATATATGACAAATATATAATAATCGAGCAAAGTTTGAGCACTGTCCGAAAACCATGTTATACAAATATTATCTAAATATTTTGGAGCATTTTCTTTCCTCTTAATTAGTATTATACATATATAGTGGATCAATTGTTGGCTTTAACATTCACTATAAATTTCACTCATGCATCTAATACTCATCATTCCTGGAAACACTGGTTTGTCACGACGTGTGTCACTTAAGTCATTACTACTGGTGTCTGCTTGTCTAGTGACTAAAGATTATGTGTACGTATACTTTGCAATTCTTGTATGAATACTACTTCTATGATTGAATATTCAATCAATTACAAACAAAACTCTTACTTTAAATATTGATTATATCCTTTCTCTCTTCTGTTACTCAAAATATATTATTAATTTTTATGGCAACGCCGAGACCAACTAAAGAATATTATAATCATTCATTCAAGTCAGTGTTTTGGCATTTCATGTTCTTAATTATTACTTGCAAAGTGTGATAAGGCTAGGAATTGCAAATTATCCTCTTCCTGACTTCCTTGTAGCCAAACAGAATAAAATGATTTATTCTTTCCAATCCTTCTTGATTTCAAACGCCCATTCCCACTTGAGATGTTCATGCTTGTCATCGTCTGTGAAGAGAGAACTGACGCTGTAAGATCCTCTTGCTACAACTCCGGATGGCGCATCCTCGGGTGGAGTAGTATAAGATTGAAGCTCCGTTTTAGGAGGATACGAGCCTACCATATGTGTCATCTTGTCAACTGAAACAAACATTGTAGATGTAAAAGCTATTCAATCATGCTTCGTATAAAGATTGATTATAGTATATTCTATTCTATTTACCTGTTACTCCTAATTTGAATTTGAAAAGCATTAACGAGAAATCGAATTCACAATAATTAAAAATTCAAGTGATATTGGACTACACACAAAGTAATAAAAAGTAAAAACATACCAGGCACACCAAGGCGATACGTCTTCTGAACGTATTTCAATCCATGCACAATCTCACGCTGTACAATAAAATCGATCCTGATTTTGTAGCTTACGCCCTCCTTGATCACAAATGTCTGTTTTTTCAATTGCGATAAATCACCAGTCAAGTCTAACTCCATATCCGGTCGATCGACGACGCACAGCGCCAGTTTCTTTACTATTACTTTTCTAGGATCAGTGGGGTCTAAAAACAGCATGCACCAGGATGTTACTATATTGCAAATGTATTAATATTACAAAATAATGAGTTATTTTTCTCTGCATTTTTTACAATGAGATTGAGATATGGTCATCATATTTATGAACAAATAGGGATAAATAAGAAAGTATACATTTTAATGTTTTATACGCACACAACTATTGTGATGTAAATGTAACTAAATTATTTAAAATCATAGGAATCAGATCTTTATGTCGAAATACAGACGCTTTAAGCAATAATTAGAACAAAGAAACTCACCCACTACGATACCACCAGCCTTCGCTTCTCCCAGAAGCGTCTCCTTATACTTGCGTAAACTTTCATCCTCCTTGTCCGCTTCCAGGATCTGTTCAATGCTCTTCTCCGGTGGAGGCTTATAATCTGATTCCAATTCCTCCTCCAACGCATCTACATGATCACCCGTAGGGTCAGACATCGCTATATGTTCAAACCAAGAAAGATATATAAATATATCTTATATAAACAAATATAACTTATATATAAGAGAGAAAAGGAAAGGAAAAAAGAACGCGTTATCAGAATTTCTCTCAGCGTAAAATTCTCGAGAATTCGGCAAAGCGACGCGGTGCAAAAGCGCGCACTATCGTGTATATCGGCCGGAATATTTTTAGAAAGTTCTGAAAGATCGATCAGCCAGTCGCGCGTAATGACAGAAACTAATGAGAGATCCTTTTAATCGGTCTCGTCTTCCTCACCTTCTGCACCTTCTCGCACCTCGGAAATGCAAAAGTACAATTGAATCGATCGAGATCCTGCATGCATGTATCACAATCCGTTTATTTCAATTACATATCTGTCCTGCATTCTTTTTATTTATAAAATTATATAGATACATTAGCGAGTCTCCCCACCCTTTTTTCTCCGAGATGAGAGAAAGCAGACAAATGTAAAGTCTAAAAAAACCAATGAAAGCTTCTTCTCGCTTACTAGGGGGTAATACGTGTATTTTTACTCGCTTTTTTTTCGGTATCTCTTATCTTTTCTCCGAGTATATTAATTATTCCAAGCTCGAAAAGGTGTAACAAAATACGATAAGAACATTTATTTCCGTCCGAAATGTGACTCCGAAATTTTTTTAACGCACTTTTAACCTGTTCTTTTTTTTTGATACAATAACCGAGAAATGCATTTCCGATGACATAAATATTTAAGGAATTGGATCGATTTTCGCCAGCTGTAACTGAATGAACTCGGTGAAAATTTTGCCGGCTCCGATAATGTTTACCTGTTCGTCGATCGCACGTTTTACATTTCAGATCAAAAGCACGGAGCAGATTTGGGTCAAGAATTTCCGAGAAACCAAATTATACGTCGTTGAAGAACAACAAGCGTCGTGCAGACACAGACTGCTTTCGCTTAAACTGCTTCGGTTTCGCTGTAGAAGACGCGGCGAACTTTTGATATAATCGCGTTTTTATGTAACACAAGATATTCGTTGTACTCTCGAAAAAACACTCACCGAGTCGCTCTCGGGGATGCCTTGACAGGAGACGGCTTGTGCGACGACACGGGACAAGATACGGTCCTCGGGTCCGCGAAAAATACGCACCGAATTATCGGCAGATCGCTTAATCTCGTTTGTCTCTTACACCCCTCCGCTTCGTGCTTCGCCGAGCGGAAGGCACAGACAACATGGCGGCTCCTTCAAAAGGGCGGGTACTTCCTGCGACCGCGAATCAGCTCGCCTGAACGGAGGTTAGGCGAGCGCGAAGCGCTCCGAGTTTGACATTTGACACGTGTTTAGCTGTCAACTGAGATATATATGACGAGATTTGATCGCCGTAAATTTGTCCGAAGTATAAAGGGATCTTTATGCGAGAAAACGCGATTCGATGATTCTAGTTTCTCTTTCGAGACTATTCATATCGATTGTCGCATATTTGGCTAGTTTCACGATCATTTGATATTGAGCTACCTTCAGACTTATTCTAATTCTGATTGAAAATAAATTCTAATTCTGAATAATAATATAGTTCTGAAAACGAAAAATGTGATGAGTAAATCATTTCATTCTTTAAGTTACCATATTTTGCATATAAAGATGTTTGTGCGAAAAATTGATTTTTAAATTGCTATATTTTTAATACAAAATTAAATTATTTATAGCAATTATATTTATTAAGAGTTATAAAGTATAATTCAACATGAATTAATGGAAAAGTTTGTCTATTTTATATCTAATCATTGTTTAATCTATATTATATTAGAATAAATATATAGAACTTCTTTCATTTATCTTTAAGATTACAAGATATCTCTTGTACATCTTCAGAAATTAGTTCAACCTTTTGTAATATACCTTGACAATATTCCAAAAGTGCATCTATTCCTGTTTTGTTCCTAAAATTGGGTCGACAATTATGTAATTTTTGATGCAACAATTCAGGATAGATCTTTGCGACATGTTTCAAAGCATCTAAAAATAATGAAACTATATTAATTTATAAACACTATATTAATTATATTTAACTACTAAAATGTATTAAGATTTATATTAAATTAAAAACTAAATTAGATTAAAGAAGAAATACAAGTGTAAAAAGAAAGAAATATAATAGTAAAATTTATTACCCAGCATTATCTCTTGGAAGCGAGACTCTGGATCATCCAAATGAATAATCATTGTTGTATACAAAGCATCAATATGACTCCTGCTATCGATAGTATCATAAGTTTCAGATGCAGTGTTCCATATATCAACGAGCGCTTCCACAGCAGCATAACGAACGTCATCGCAACCATCGTCGAGTCTTTTCAATATCACTGGATATGTGCGATGGATATGTTCCTCGTTCAGACATGATAATCCTTGCCCAACTGTTATCAGTAAACAAATGGCTCGCATGGAGTATAGTCTAGTTTTCTTCGCTTTGTCGTCCACCAGACTGATCAAAACGGGCACGACTTTGTTGAAGATGGACGAAAACTCGTCTATTGTAATACAAATGCTGGATTGTCCATTTTCAGATGAGCCGGAATTAATTATCTTGTTCTGCAGGATGGCACAGAGGCAGCAAATCGCGGCTGTCCGAATAGCTTCAGCTGCTCTACCAGCGGTCCAGATGAGCCCAGGCACAATCAATTCCTCGATAATTGTATTCACGAATTTATGCGGATCCTCGATATGTTGATATAAATTTTCATTGTTACCGAAGTACTCCGAAAGCAGAATAAAGTGTCGCAGCTTCAACTCGGGATCGGCGTCCTTGCTCATGGTTTTTTTGAGAATAGGTAATACGAGGTCCATATTATGCGCCATGGCGATTTCAGCTCTACTTAAACAAGCGCAAAATATTTGTGACTCCGCACTGTAAATCGACCACGAGGCGCAATCGTCGTGAACTGACATTAACAGTGGTTTTATTTGATTGAAAAAAAGATCTTCGTTATCCTTCAGCGAGTTTATGTCGACGAGCACCTCCAAGAGTCTGTTGGCTTCCTCGCGAATGAAAAATTCCACGCTCATCGCGTACACGGTGAATATTACGGTGAATAATTCTTGAGTAATTGTCACGCAATCCTGCAATTAAGATATATCGTTACATCTAAAAAAATATACAAGAAGAATTAAACTAAATTTGAAATAAATAATTAACAAGGAAATAAAAAAGTAAATATATTTAGAATATCTTTACCTCTTTACAAACTATGAGAAGGAAATCGCAGCAAGATAGTATTTGACATTGATAATTGCTCTTTTTGCTTTGGCAAACATATGGTCGTTGCAAGAAATGCGCGATTTTGTCCAGCTGTAATGAAAGTGTTCTCCGTTCGCTACCGCTGATAATCGCCGCGAAGACACGTAGATGTCCAACTGTGAGACACTCTTCCAGAGTGGGAAGCACCAAGTGACAATAAATTTTAGGTTCCACAAAGTAGCCCAGATATCGCGCAGCTGTTTCCACACAGCCGATGACTCTTTTATCCTCATCGTTGCAGGCCCTGTAAACAAGTAACGAGTTATAAATCTTATACTGCTGTACAATCTTCTTAAAAAACGATCAATTTTATTTTTCTAAATAAAAATCATAGGATACAAATAGTCTGATTTTAAAGTGACAATTTGCTCCTAAATTTTGCATCTAATTTTCAAATAAGAAATGTTGCAAGTGTTTACCGATACATAGGTGGCAAGAGCTTTTCAATATATTGCGTAACATCCTCTTCAACATTTAATATCAATACACAGAGTAATTGTGCAGAGCGAACACGTATATCTGGCAACCAATCTCCAAGCTCGGCACTGATGCCATTAACAAGCCTACATAAATTCTGCTGTACAATTACACGACATCCTAAATTCGGTCTAGAAACTTAAGATCACAATCTTATGTATTGCAATCTTTCCAATCTATAATCTATCTATATATTCTCTCTTCTTAAGTAACTTACTCTCTGGTGGATAATGTTCTGGATCTTCCGTAAGAAAATCCATCTTATCTTTCAATTTTTTGTCGTTTTCGTTTTCTTCCATATACTTTCTTCCAGCAGCGTCCCACAGATTTGCTGCTTTTATACGAATCTTCTCAAGTTCATCATGCAATCCTGTCAGGATCAAAGGAAGAAGCCTATGCCACCAACCATATCTATCAGGCAGTTGTGTCAACCAGTAGCCAGCTACCTCAATTACAGCTATATAAATTTACAATAGAATTATTAAAAACTTGTGCAAGAGTTGAATAAAAATAAAAAAAAGAAAATTATGTAAAAAAAAATCTATTAATACCTTCTCTAACGATTCCACTTTGATCGAAGAGTCTCTGCGCCAGAGGAGTCGCCACATCTTCTATCGACTTGCTATTTCCATGTTGAATTACATCACCTATTGTTCTAACAGCGGCGAGCCGAACTCTGTAATGCTGGTGCGTAAAATTGCTCAAGATAGGTTTGATCAGGTGCTCTGATTGCGAATAGAAATGCCTGGATAAAGTCTTCGCATAATCGGATATGCATCTGCAGCTCTCCTTCTTTACATTCGGATAGTTATCCATAACGGTGCGGACCAATATTGCTGTCACATCCTGGATGTAGGGCGCCAACACATCTTTGTACTTCACAATTATGGTACGCAGAAGAGACACGGACTTCAAGCGAACTTCCTCCGATGGCTCGAGCTGTTCCTGCGCACCTAATCGTCTAGACATTATCGGTATAACGTAGATTATGTATTTGTCGTTGGGTGGCAGAGTCTCGAGGAAGATTTTTAATATTCCTACAGCCAGATCCCGACATATCTCGGTATTGTCGTTCAAGATTCTGACCAGAAATCTATCCACACTTTCCCATATTTTGATCAGATCGTCGAGCCTACTTGACATCTCTTCCTGAGATATATTTTTCATTATTTCTTCTAACGCTCGTCTACGACGATTTTTTTCATCTGCTTGCAACGAAACGGTAATCTTGTTTAATTCAAGATCCAATGACATGTTTTATTCGGGATGGATTTTTTTCTCTGAAATCAAAACGACAGAAGATGATACGAAAGCACAGAACTTTGTACGAAATTACAGAGAATATAGGAAAGAATTAAATACTGTGTGTTTCCATGACAACATTCCCGCTTATGACAGATATATAGATCCTTTTTGACCATGCAATTTTACCACTATAAATTTACTAATTTACATATTTGTATTTTGTAAATACCTATTTAATATATATTTTCAATTTAATATATACTAAAATATCTATAAAAAAATTTTTGTATCTTGAAATATATTTATTATGTCTTGATCTAAAATACAAGGACTTTATATATAATCATACAACACAGTAAAGCTAAAACTAGATCACTGGTAAGCGCAGAATACACATCTATATATATGTGATTTTACAAGATCCTAAAATGTGTTACAGTATGTACTAATATACTGTAACGACTATATTTCACATTTGACTATCCTCATGATTGATTTTTTTGTACAACCTATGACTATATATTATATAGGGAAAAAATAACTACAAAAGAAATATGATTAAAGAATTCGGCCGATTATTATCATTGGTAAACGCAAGAGACTAGTTTTATACGTTCACTGTTCGTTTTTTCAAGTTGGGAAAATATAAAAATAGCGTAGAAAATTAAGAGACGGATATGTATTCTGGACATGGTCCCCGGCATCGACTTTTATGTGACTTTCAACTGTCTTTTTTTTCATTCATAATTAAAATGTAACTTTTGATGCATAATTGCTCAGTATTTCTAATCTTCCAAAGTTACATTTTTAAATAAATAAGACATCGATTCTTTATTATGTATACGTCGGATCGCCTCCGCTAAAAGAACACTAATGTCGACAGTCTTGATTTTTGGACATTGCATTTTCTGCACGTCGTGTGGAATTGTATTGGTTACAACCACCTGGAAAAATTTAACCGCATTTATTTCCGATTTTTCAGATGTTAAAAAATATAATGCCTCTAATTTTAACAGAGTTGGGTAAGTTAATTATTTTTTTAAAACCAAGTTAAAGTTAATGGCTTATAAAATTATTTTAGTTACGTTAAAAATTGCACGAACAAAAAACTAACTCAGTCAAAAGTTGAGTTAAGATTAAATTAAATTAAATCAAAAGTTAATTTTTAAAAATATTATTTATAATAAATGAAAATGTCATAATTTTAAAACTTTTAAATTTCATATTTTATTTGTTAATTTTTTAAATTTATATAAAATAAAATTTTGTTTTTTTATATAAAAATGTATTTTTTCTTTGTTATTAGAATTAAGGAAAAAATTTATTTATTTTATTAATTCTTGTTAGAATGCTATACATTATACATCATAGAACGATTATTTTTCATTAAAATTTAATTATTATTAAAAATTTAATTGTCTAAAGCATGGATGCCCAACTAGTTTATTCGAGGGCCAGATTAATAGAAGTTAACCCAACAGTACAAAAAAGAAGAAAATCGAATTTTTTGTTTATACTCTCTGTTTCACTTTGAGGCGATAGAAACTTTAGCTTGCGAGACAGGTTTTGGACGGGCTTGATTTAGCAGTATTTATAAAAAATATTTTATGCACTACCACGAGGTATTCTATTTAATTAATATTTCTAAATTTTAATATTATAGAATATGCTCGCGAGCCGGATCGATAGGCTGTGCCGGACGTTGAGCATCCGTAATTAAAGTTTAAGATTTTATAGAAAAAAAAAAATAACACTCAAAAGTAAAAAAAATTTTTAACTTAGGAAAAAAGAAGTTTAAGTTTAAAAATAACTACTTTAAGTTAAAAATTAATTTATTCTAAATTATTTAAGCTAAGTTAAAAGTTTTTAACTTTTTATTTAATTTTTAATTAATTAGTACTACTACCCAACCTTGAATTTTAATATCGTTACCTCATCGATCAGAGACTCTTGGATGAGCTTAGGCGCGTCCGAGCTAAGCAAACCATGTGTAGCTAAGACATATATTTTATAAGCCCCTCTCTCCTTAAGTACTTCAGCAGCCGCTACGTAAGATTGAACATCATCTATCATATCATCCTAAAAATTATTTTTTCAAATATAAATTATATGCGATCATATAGATATGATATAAATGAATACAATCTTACTTACCACCATAATAGCAATACGTCCTCCGACATCTCCGACAACACTTATAGGTGGTTTTTCTTTCGCGGGATGCAAAGGCACACCTACGCCAACTTCCATAGTGCGCGCAGCCAACGCTAATCCAGGTGGCGAATAACGACCATCATTCATATCGGATTCAGCCTCTCTCTGTTCTCCGTGAATCACCGCAATTCCCAAACGCAGTCTTTCAGCGTAGCTAGTCGCTTTCTTCGCACTACCTGGATTTCTTGCAACGATCACAGAATTATGATAGTCAGGAATCTGAGAAAAAAAGTAACATTTTATAAATAAAAAAAAGCATTACATAAAATATTTGACATATTATTTTCAAAATTGTGAAAAAAGAAAAATGTTATATAGAAGATATTTAAATAAAATAGTTATATATATTAAAGCAATTTAAAATATACTTAATAAAGTAATAAAGATGAGGATTTATATAATATTTGTATTATAGTAAAAAATGTTACATACGGATTCTTGAATGTATTGTAGTAGAAATGGGCTAGCTCTCAGATTATCCACGGGAACATCAAAAAATCCTTGAATTTCCTTTTGATGTAGATCCATGGTAATAATGTGAGTTAGGCCACTTGTACACAGCATTTTTGCTAAAAGCTTGGATACTATACAGCCACGCTTACGCATTTTGCACTGCTTGGAATAAGGTAGATATGGAATTACTCCAACAATATTTTTGGCCGATGATGTTTTGCAGGCATAGGCCATGATGAGAAGCTCCATTATGTTATTGTTTACATCTTTTGTACCAGTTTGGATCAAATACAAGTCTTTGCCACGTACAGAATCTCCTATCTCTACCATTGTCTCACGATTCGTTTTGTGATACACAGCACATCCACCAGGTTTTATACCTAGACGACTGTGAGAATAAAAAGTATGTTAAATTACATATATAATATTCTTCAAAAATATCTTTTGCATATCTTTCTTTTTTTATAAAATAAATTTAAATGTTATTAAACATTAATTTCACAATCATAATAATTATTAAACATTCTAAAATAAGTTGGTAATACGTATTAAGCTTATCTAAAATTTATATTTTGCAACTTTAAATATTTATTTATAAAATAATAAAGTAATTTTGATTTAAAGAATCAAACAAATAATATATAATTATATATAATAATATATAAACTTGTATCTATTTTAAATTAATTATCTCTCAAAATATATTAGAACATTATTATTTTTCTTTTCTTTTAATTGCACATATTTTTATGTATAATGTATGTTTTTTTTTCTCTTCTTTCAATTTCAATATATAAATCTAATAATATAAAAAGAGATATAAAAAGTAGCTTGAATTAATAGTACAATTGTTTTTGCACAGCATAATCCCAATAATACATGAAAATAATATCAAATATTTATATTACGTAATCTACTATAATATCACTCACTTTGCAATCAAATTGGCGAGTTCTGGATGAGAATTTCCTGCAATTATTACTATATCTGATGCAACTGGCTTCTCCATTATTTTTTGAGGATGTTCAGCAGCTACGTAATACACCTCTGAGGCCTCCGGAGAATTAATAATGGCAAGAGCTCTCTATAAAGAAATTAATTTTATCTTTTTAATCAGAATATATTAAAATAAACAAAATTTATAATATTCAAAAAGAAAAAATACAAGATCACATAACTGTAGAAAAATTATGAATAAAATGTAAATAAAATCATAATTTAAATTTAAAAAAAAGTAGTCAATAACACATTATAAGAAAAAAATAAAGAACCTTCGCGTATATACTTGCATGAATTTGTAGAAAAAATTAAAATTGTATGAAAAAAAAAATTGTGAAACACGGCCACGTACGTGCAAAAGTGAGTGTTTTCGCTATCTAAACAAACAATCGATCAAACTCCGTCTTTACTTACGACGAAATAAATTCTACTGCGTCAATTAGTATGAACGTAAATTCGATTATAGCATTATTACATCTATACCTTTATCAATTCAGTCGCTGCTCAATCGCAGGAGATAATCGCTACTAGTTTTACAAAAGCTGACCCAAAAAACATGCAATGTATTTTCCAATTATCCACCTCTTGATAACTGTTGATAGCTTAGCGTCGTAATGTAAACTCCTGTTACGTGCATCTGCGCGGTTTATGCTTTTCATCTGAAGTTGGCCACTTTTGAATTATAAACAGATATGTTCGCGTATCACGACTATCGATAGAAATTTTTTTTTATAATTACTTTACACATTTTTTTACAGATCGATAATCTGACATTCATCTTCTTCGAATCTCTTTCATCGATCGCTTAATTTATTACACTTACGATTATTATAAATTATTATGGCTGCAATCCACTTGAGGCTACAAATGCTCCGCAGCGTTGTCCTTTTCTTTTCTTACAATAAATAAGGGAAGGAGGAGAGGAGGAATTCGAAGCATTTGTCCAGTGAATCGCAGCCATAGTTTCGATAGAGCAACTTTTGATCGACCAATCAGAACGACGGAACATTTGCTGCTTTCGTTCTGATTGGTCAATCGAAAGCAATGCTTAGGGCGATATTCATAGAGGTTGACTTAAGATCCTGTTCAACCAATCAAATGGCTCCGACTGTGTTTAAAAAACATTAAATCAAATCGCATCTAGTTTCGCATCTAGATATTCGTGCATCGTGACTTTTTGATTAAAAAAAAGGAGGTTTTGCAGAAGTTCGTCGTCAGTCATCGGCGACTTTCAAGACATCGGAACCAAGTAATGTTTTTTTTAGTGAAGAAAAAATATAATACATAGAGGCAGTGAAATATCGATGATATAAAATAAAAATATCTTTGTACATAATGCAAAAAATGTATCAACGTTGAAAATTTATACGTTAATATAATATGACGTTATGTCATACTTGTCAAATTGTTTGATATCATATGATGTCAGTGACAATATATATATGTAAAGGAAAATAATTTACAAATTGCAAAATGGTTCATCTCTTTTGAAAATGACTGACTTTCATAAACAATCGTAAAATTTTGGATTTGTACTAATTTCTAAAAACAATTTAATATTAACTGTCAAAGATATTTTTAAAGATTTTGTTCTTTAACAAAACTTTACTTAATGTTCATTCAACTAATTTGTTATAAAAGTAACTTAGTTTTACTTACACGCAAAAACAAATAGAGAACATGCACGCAACACGGACTGACACTTCTGAAAGGCGATTCGAGATACAATGTAAGTTGGAGTCGGAGATTGCTGCTCTGGAAACCTTGAAGGAGGCGGAAGAACGCAGCCGAAGATTGACAAGTGGAGTTGTGGGAATACTCTCTTCCTTGGAAGAACGTTTAGCTACACTGCGTCGTACCATACTTCCTGTTTATAATGAGACTGGGAATCTTCAAGCTCAGCAACATAGTACGTTTCATTATTCTTTTTTAAGACTAGAGATGTCTTATATTATTTCTATCAACTTTCTGTTAAAAATTCTTGAATCTGATATTCTTTAAATCTAATATTACAGATATAGAAAAGACTTTAAGTGTACTGGATCATGCTATTGGATACTATGGTGTATGTCAAGAGGTAGAAGCTGTAGTACGCGCAGAACCAAGTGGGCCCAGTGGTTTGGATGGTTTTCTCGAGGCTATGAATCGTCTATATAATGCTCAACGATACTTCCAGAAAAATAATCCCAGCTCCGTCGAATTACAAAACGTTACAGGCCTCTTCTCAATCGGCCTAGAGTCCCTTTATGCTGAATTTCACGATATTCTTAATCGTCAAAGTAGGCCAATTCTTCCCATTGTACTATTGGATCTGATCGGTTCCGACGAGGACACCAGTGGCGAGGATGCACCACAGTCTCTGTGTCAGTTACCTGAAAGCGTTATGAGTGATTTATTTAAGATTGCCGAATGGCTCGAGGAAAGAGGTCACCGCAGACATACCAAGATATATGCTTCCGTACGTTCCGTAATTGTCTTGAGATCCTTGTTACTGCTTAAGGAGCATCAAAGGAGCGCCAGTGGCGGGAGCACCCACGCCGGGAGTCCGATGCCTGTAAATAGAACACGCGTAAAATTAGATATAATTTTTCAAAACTATATATATTTATCTTAACATAATTTCCTAGAGAGCGAAATTCGCTAATCGACATTCTCTGGACGGTCAGGAGAACGCGGGACGCAGAGCGTCGCGACGGCTGCAGCATGCCCTAGACAAGGCCAACAAGATGTTGCTGAAAGCTTCACAGACGACGAGGCTGAACCTGGCCTTGAACTCTGTATCCAGAAAACCGACGCAGCTTTCGCCGTACTCGATGGAGGACGCGGCGCCCGACGAACAGGAGATGGAGAATTATCTCTTGTTAGCGGCCGGTCTGCACAAGCTCATACAGGCCGAGCGCACCCTGGTCGCCAGGATCTTACCGCCCTCCTTGCAGGCCCAAGTGCTCGAGGCTACCGTCCGCGACGCGATGGACCTGGTGGCACACGACGGTGACAGCATTGCCACGCGCGCCAAACGGTGCATCACCAGACGCGACTTCTCCGCCGTTCTTGTGGTCTTCCCGATCTTAAAGCATCTCGGCGAATTGAAGCCTGATCTCGAAAGAACGGTCGAGGGTTGCGATTACGCGCTCCGCTCAAAGTTCGCGTCTGTACTTGACACGTTACACACAACTGTACGTTTTATATTGCGCTCTTTTCTACTTTCTTTCATTTAAATTTATCCTCTTCCATTATTATGAGATCTCAGTTTGTTAATCTTGAATTAACAAGGCTATACAATAGAAAAAATTTCATTTATATATAATATAAAATCTATAATCAAAGAAATTTTTCTAAATTAATATAATTAAGAATTATAAAGTTTTTCATTAAATCGTATAAAAAATTACAATTTTTCGGCATAATATTTAATCACTTTTTGGAGAAGTGGATTAATAGCTTTATCAATATTCATCCAATACTCTAAAAAATGAAAACATGAATAACTAGTATTATATAGTTCATCTGGTATTGCCTGGTTAAGATATAAATTTTTACAATTTTTTTAACACATAGATATGCTTATACATTATATTTCTGAAATTATGTAATTTTGTTAAAAAATCATTCCAATAGCGCGTAAATCGAATTATATATTTCTAAAAAATATGATTAATATATAATTAGCAATGTACATTTATAATGTACAATATAACAGAAGTATCGTAGGGATAGAGACTGATATCTTTTCAATTTTATTTTCGCTCGATTATTCAAATCGATATTACAGAAAAAAATAAACAATATAATGAAATAAACTCTTTAATTTTGCAGGGTGCTAAAGCTTTAGAAGAGTTTGCGGAGAGCGTGAGAAATGAATCCGGCGCGGGTTTGCCAAAAGACGGTACTGTGGCAGAAGGAACCAGTAATGTTTTAATCTTTTTGGAACAATTAGCCGAATACGCGGACATGGCTGGTGCTGTTCTGCGACGCAACCTTTTCATCGATCAAACTGCGTTGCACTCAAAAGATCCGGAAAATGTACATAGAATGGTTCTCGGTGTATATATCAGTAAGTTCGTACGATCCTTCCGTATCATTATTTATTCTATAGATCTGTTTTTTTCAGCTGAACTGGCTGCACTAGCTCAGAATTTATCTTTTTTTGTTGCATTACATTTAAAGGAAAGAGATAAATTCTGAATTAGTGAGCAGCCAGTTCAGCTGAAAAGAACAGACCTTATACAAAACTTAATTTGAAGCGGCTTTATAAAAGAGCATTGTTGATTAATTTTGATGAAAATTGTTTCGTTCTTTTTACAGAGAAGGTGCTCGCTCAGTTGAATCTAGCATTAGTAAATAAAAGCGACGCGTCTTATTCAGATCCCGCTTTACGAGCTTTATTCCGGCTGAATAATCACAATTACGTGGTTAACGCTCTCGGCCGAAGTTCCCTTATGGAACTACTGTTACTGGCCGAGCCAAGTGCGGAACAAACGTATCACGATTTACTTTTCAAAGACAAGAACAATTACGTCAGTACGACATTTGCCAAAGCGCGATCGTATATCGCAGACGAGCCAGGTTCGTGCTTTTACGTTTAAAATTTAAAAACAAAAATTTCAACGAGAGAAGTTATATAAAAACAAGATTCTAAATATTTTTTTAGCGACATTACATATAGAAAGAAATAGCAAACATACAAACGTTGAGCTCATGTTCATATGTCGTGTATTATTAGTATTTATCTACTTTCTGAAACAATGATCGAAGTGTTTAACAATTAGCGGATCTAGACTATCGTTAATCACATTAATTCTCGTGTGTTGCGTTTTTTCCTTTGCAGATCTTGCCGCCAAAATGTTGAAGGAAAAATTCTTGGGTTTCACGAGAGAGCTTGAGGAAGTAGCCAAGTGTCAGCGTTCTTACTCGGTACCTGACAGATGTTTGCGCGAGGAGTTAAGGAAGGAACTGCACGAGGCGATCGTTCCAATATATACCGCGTTCCATAACAAGTATCGTGGTACGTCATTCTCGAAGAATCCGGCCAAGTATATAAAGTACACGCCTGATCAGATATCGGCGTTGATTAACACGTTTTTCGACAGCGCCGCGTAATAATAATAGTATTACAAGTATATATTGTACCGAAGATTATATTTCTCGAGAAAAGAAATTAATAAAATATTTAATAAACACCCATTTTTAATATAAAGCATATTTCATTACAGTAGTTTTATGATTCTTTTCTGTGGACCAAATCTCTCTCTCTCTCTTTTTTTCTTTCTCAAACAGATTGCACAGAGATTAATAAATGAGTCTGCGATGAATGAGAGTAGTTAGGTCTTGGTCCAGCTCCCCTCTTTTCCCCCCGCGCCGCCTTTTTTATATATATTTATAATATATATATAAAAAACAAGTAACGTTCGATTTAGATTCGATCAGCGCGATTTTTATATATATTTATATATATATTTATATGTATATGACTCGTATTATCACACATTTATACGCATATACATTATGTATAAAATCGTATATATTATGCGTGGTAATAAGAGTGGGAATACATTTGAAGTTTAGCATTTATATACAGTTGTTACACTATAGCATATTCTCTCTTGTTACATATACACTCGCATTTTTTTTTTTTTTATATTCTTTCTCTCCTCCACACTGATAACATTCTCTCACACATGCACAAACATTCACACAATCCTCTGCTTCAGTAGTCGTATTTTGTTTTCTAAATTGAGATGCGCGGCAAAACTCGTTTTAATTTTAATTCCGTTCGATAACATGACAGTTCCTGTCAGAAAAAAACGCATACTATCGCATATCACGCGTAATTAATCATCACAGGTCATGTCAATGTAAGAAATATTCGCGAACGAAGCAGAGAAATCTGTAAACTTGATAATATTTTTATACTTATATCACATACATCTAAAGAACTCTTGTACAATAGTTAGCTATCTCTTAATTATGGTATGTAACGTTTACGGTAATTGTTATATTTATGTAACCAATTTAGTGGAAGAAGGAAGCCATGTTATGCAGCTGCTGCGCTACTGATTTTTCTTAGAAAATGTGTAGCTATCAGGTTTTTTTTTAAATTATCTATCGGTTAATTATCGCTTTTTTAATCATCATGAAACTCACATCAACTCGAACATTATTAAATAATTACGTACGAACAGAATTTAAATATGGGACACGTACACTTAACATTGAATGACATTTGATTAATGTCTCCAATTATATTTTATATACAAATTTTTAAATAAATTTGAGATTTTAAACGAACAAAATTACCGGTGGATGTGAGATTTTCAAAAGCTAACTTTCTTTGCAAAAGCAATCTTGTCAAAGCTTTGAAGCTTTTAACATATTGTTAGTGAATATTTGAATAAAAAGAAAAATCACTATGGTTGCTCTAAGTACTTGGATGTGTATGTGTGAGTGTGTGTGTATGTTTGGAATTACTGTTATTCACATTTATAATGAACATCTAGATGAATATCGTCCAAACAGATTTGCCATGTACTCTATGCATATATCTAAAAAATATTTTCTCTTTTTCTCCAAATTTATATCATGATGCGCATATTGTAATCTTTCGCGATAAGGAAAAACTTACCGTTTTCTTTTTTTTATGTGTTAATTATATATGTCCTACCTAAAATGTACAATGGCAAATAGCATAAAATGGTTTTCCTCTTTGATTAAACTGATCAGTATACAGTCAATGTTTGGACGCTTATACAATTATATGGTAATATTTGCTTCTGTTACCATTCATACATAATTATTAATTATAATATTAATAACATACTCTAGTATACTGTACAGCAGTTAATTCAGTTATTTTGGCTTCTTTTACACTCCTTTCGCTTAGAACATCCAGTCGATTTGCATTTATAGCCCTATTATCAGACTGTCTAGACTGGAAGCTTTATTCGTGCAAGACAGCACAAAAATTCCTCGAATAATTTCTTGTAGGATGTTGGAGGCCACATATAAGACTGAATTTATAATATTCCGAATTTATGATTTTCTGCGTGAAACCCTCTTTTGTCTTGCTCGCTGGAAATTTTGTACCGAACTAATATTTGTGCGCTTATGCTGGCAGATGTTTGTTTACAGCCTGTTGATCCTGGCATAGGCTGGTACAACTGGGGTTCCAAATGTCGGTAACTTGTCCAATTGATTCGATTCGAGCTTGGTACACTGGAGATGAGACGATGAGAGACACTTTAACACATTCCAGCAACCAATGTGCAAAGAGGGGTACATTTAATATTATAGAAGGAAACATCTGCGTTTTGGCTTCACTTGTAGAACTGGGCACAATACGGCGCGTATCGCTTCGTCAAACACAGTCTTCAAGCCTTTCTGTGTGAGAGCAGAGCATTCCAAATATTTGACAGCACCAATCTCTTTCGCCATGGCCAAACCCTATAAATAAAACAATGTTATGAACAAATGTTATGAACTAACAATGTTATGAACAAATTATTACATTATATATTGATGGAAACTTTTAACTATATTGATTCTCTAATAATTATTGCAATTTATCACACAATTTCTTTTGCTGTGTTAATAAAAATATAAAAGATATTTCTTTATATTATTATTGTTATTAATAAAAATATAGAATTCTAATCTAAATACACAATCTATTATCGCTGTTAAATCTTTATATCATTACAAAAATGATATGTGGACAAACCTGAGGGTATGTGATAGGAGCTAGTTTCTTATCTTTCAGACGCTCAATAGTCTCTTTGTCTTCGCGCAGATCCAGTTTAGTGCCGACCAAAATAATCGGAGTCGCAGGACAATGGTGACGCACTTCGGGATACCATTTAGCGCGTACGTTTTCGAAGCTCGCCGGGTTCACCAATGAAAAGCAGATCAGAAAGACATCAGTCTGCGGATAAGACAGTGGCCGCAGTCTATCATAATCCTCCTGTCCTGCCGTATCCCACAGACCCAAATTGATCGGCTTCCCATCTACCATTACATTTGCAGAATAATTGTCGAACACCGTTGGAATGTACTCCCCAGGAAACGCATTGGTGGTGTAGCTTATCAGCAAGCATGTTTTACCAACGGCACTAGAAAAAACACAAATATAAGTATATATCAGCAATCCAGTCCAGATATCCTTCGCATTAAATTATTAAAACTAGATTTGATTTTACACGACAAACAAAAACCGCATAGACGCACTCATTCAATGAATCATACGCGAGAGGCATCAAATTTCTCGCGAAATCGTGATGCTGACATCATTAGCGAGCATTGTTTTATTTTTACATCCTTCGTTAAGGGCTCGCCAATTAACTTCCGACTAGGAGAGACTGACGGAGTCGAGCCGACTAATTGTAACATTTTGCGAGGCACTTTTTACGGAGGAAAAAAAAAAAACCCAGAAAATAATGACGTCCTCGTGAAAACACGCGCGTGTACACGTCAACGTCGTTTCACGCTCCCGCACGGGCGTGGTGGGCTCGCTCGTACAAGTCGTGTCAGACTCCGGACGACCTCGAGCGGGAGCGCCTCGGGCTTCCCAGGAGGTAACCCGATTCGCTTTTGCGACGAACGTCCCTGAGCGAGCCCCGGATCTAAAAATTTCTCCCAAGCTCACGAATATATTTCGGTTATCTCGGGACGACGTTTAATTTCCTACTCTTCTCTTTTTCTACGTACCCGTCGCCGACGACCACGCACTTGATGGCCTGCATCCTGGATACCTGGAGTCGTCCGTAATGCACACTCGGGAGAGCACGTAAAATCGCGCGAGCGACGACGATACGCGACGATGCAGCCGATTTCAGCGGGAGAGAAAGAGAAGCCCGAGTGTCAAAGAGAGGGAGCGAAGAGATAGTAGGGAGGGAAAGAGGAACGATATAGGCGGGAGAGGAAGAGACAAACGGTGGGTACGTACAAACGCGACACACAGGAAGAGGGCAGCGTTGACGGACGAGCTGAGGGAGGGGGGGAAGAGAGGGTGCAGGAAGAGAAGAAGAGACGGCTCGCGTGACGGAGACGATCGAGAGGTTAGAGAGAGAGAGAGAGCGATCGGGATGGACTCCTGCGAGCGATTGGTGGGCCGGCTGCTGTCACGATCGCAGCGGGAGGCAAAGCACACATGTACACACACACGCGCGCGCGCGCGCAACACACACACACGCACACACGTATACGGAATAGTATCGCGAGTTTCTTCGAAATTCCCTTTATGGATCCTGTCGTCTCTTCGTGCGACGATGATGTAGCGAGGACAGACAACTGCGAAGCTGCATGCGAGTGTACCAACACTTCGAGATATCGAGATATATCTCGCCGTTTCGATATATCGACACGCCTGTCAAATATGGGACATACGTGTGTATTTTCGGTATCAAGATCTGACGTTTAACTTGTCAAAATTTTTTGTGGGTTATGTTTGATTAATAATTAGGAGATGTTTGTTTATGCGAAGAAGATAGATATTGTATCTTCGTGAATGTGTGTCTTACAAATTACGATGCCACGGAAATTACGTATTATGTTCGCGACTGCGACAACTCTAGGTTTGTGTATCATAATATTTCAGGTATATAAAAAAATAAATAATCACAATTAATCGCCATGCTAAAAGCTAAAATTAATTTTTGTACATTTTCAGTTACGTTTAATGCTTTACGATCGCAGATTGTCTTTATCAGGTAATTTGTATTATTGTCATATCGTTTTTTTTTTTTTTTTTTTTTACAACAAAGTGACGTATTTTTACGATTGTTACATCCAGATGACGAAATACCTGTTGTATTATGGTGGACTCCCTTTGGTAATAATAATCAAGTGAAAACTTGCGGAGATGCTAAATGTTACTTTACATATGACAGAGTATTTGAAAACAACAGACGCTTAAAAGTATAATTTTTACATTTCTTTAAATTTCAAGAACAGTCTCTTCTCAAGTAAAACTCTGAGATATTATACACAATTTTGTCGTTTTTTTTTATAGAGTATTTTATTTTATGGAAGCGATTTCCGCGTTCATGATTTGCCTAATTGGAGGAGCAACGCTGTATCTTGGGGTTTACTTCATGAAGAATCTCCTAGAAATAATCCTATACTCGTTCACGAGAAGACACTTAATCTCTTCAACTATTCTTCGACTTTTAGCAGATTTAGTGATGTGTCGCTCACACTTTTTGATTTACTTAGTTTAGAAGAACTAACAGGTAAATAAAAGTAGATTTAAAGATAAATTAAAAAAATAAAATTAACAAGTAAATTCGAGACAATTTTTGCGAATTATAAGAGTTACATGTGTATACATATAAAACAAAAATCTAACAAGATATAATTTTGTAGAAAAATCGTATTACGTGCCTACCAAAGAGAAGTCTGAATTAATGCGTACAAAAAATTATGCGCCAGTATTGTACATTCAATCTGACTGTGATACTGCTAGCGACAGGGATCGCTATGTCTTAGAATTAATGAAATACATTCGTATTGACTCCTATGGTACATGTGTCAATAATGCTCGCCTTGAAGACAGGTATATACATTATTTTGCAATTTTTGTATCACCAGTCGTGAAATTAATAATTATAAATCAATGAAAATATATCTCTATTCAGGTTCAAGGACAAATATCTTAATATTTTAAATAATCGTGAATTCTTGTCCTTTGTGGCCAAATACAAGTTTACTATAGCTTTCGAAAATGCAATTTGTAATGATTATATCACAGAAAAATTGTGGAGGCCGCTTATTGTTGGCTCTGTACCCATCTATTATGGATCACCGTCCTTTAAGGTATCCTTATTTTAAAAGATATAACTTTTAAATATTCGTTCAAGTTTTCTCATTTTACAATTAAATACTCAATCTACTCTTGGATATTTGATTTTGTAGGATTGGCTCCCAAATAATAAATCCGCCATCTCAATATTAGATTTTACTGATCCAACAGCACTTGCTGATTTTTTGCACAAACTTGTGAGAAATGATTCTGCGTACGAAGAGTATTTATCTCACAAATTAAATGAGCGTGAGTATCGCGTCACGAATAATGCATTACTACGTGCACTTGAAAGAAGATCGACGGCAATTCCTCATGAATTTGGAAATTATGTGGAAGAATTTGAATGTTTTGTTTGCAAAGAAATACAGAACAATCGCGAATTAAAAATACGTACGGTAACGAGAAGACAATACGATTGTCCTCTACCGAGAGATCCTATAACAGGCGAAATCAGCAAACGCAATTGGTGGATACAGCAATGGAATATCGAGAAATGCGGAGCTAAATTGTTAGCTCATTATATAACTAATAATATCAGCATTAATATAAAGTATTTTGATGAACAAAAGATGAATATGTATGATAATAACGAATGTTGAACACACATAACATAAGGAATATAATTTTACGAACAATTTTGATAACATAAATACTCGATTATTTTACGAACTATATTAGGATGAATATTTATAAATTTGAATGAATGTATGTTTAAAAGTATTTCTTTTTTAAATATATTATTATAGAAATTGTTTTATACATTTGTTCTATATAAAATTCTATATAATATAATAAAAATTGTTAAATGCATTTTTTACAAAATGTATATTATGTAGCTCACATAAAAAAAGATTGTATTCTCGTGTATATGTACAATATTTTCAAGCTAAAAACGATATGTGCAGTATTATCTTGTGAAAAATGCCAAAAAGCTCTGCCATAATTTAGCATATTAGTGTTCTAATTCCGTCTCATTCTTTATGCCATATAAGAAATAAAATATAATTTGAAAAGAAATGTTAAGATTTTTTTATATATTTAAATAGTCTTTCTTAATTTGTTGACTTTATTTGCAAAACTGGAGCAGGTACTTTCATTAACTCACACAAATGATTTCTGATTGGACGTAAATCTGCAACTGGTTGTTCCCAATCTGTCGCGTTCAACGTTGCGAGTATATTTGTCAAATCTTCTTCTGCTATATCTATTTCCTCTCCATAAAGAGTTAATGCTTCATAAGTACGTATAGCTGTTGTCTTTCTCAAGCTTGTGTATTTGTGACACAAAAATATACTTAATTGACAAAATGCTCTTTCCGCAACAGGACCTCGTACCTAGATACGATATTAAATTAGTTTTTATTGGATTTTGACAAATTATTATGAATTATATATATTAAATGTTAATATATATTAATTTTCTAATCATTAATTAATGAAATATTTAATCAATTCTTTTACAAACCTGTAGTAACTGACAGAAAACATTTATACTACTAATAAGCAGTTTCATATTGCCAGAATATTTTATTTCGTTCTTCAATAATACTAATATACGTTCTGAGATTGTATTATTTGCATCATCCAAGATAGATTGAATGCAACCCGAGCTCAATAAACGATCCAAGAATGCAAACATCGATATTATCATCCTTTCGTTTTTATGACTTTCCTCAAATATGTTTAATATCTTCTCGCATAGATCTTTTAAACCAGTCTCATCAATCTCTTGTAGATAAGTAAACAAAGAAACGCTTGAGTATTTTACCTGAGAGAAAAAGCTTAGTTAGAAACGAAATTAACACAATTATTAAAATTAAATCACATTAAAATTTTGACCAGTAATATTTCAAGTAATTAAGCTTATATAGATGCTCTATACTTTATATAGACAGACTAATTTAGATTATTATTTTGTATTAAATTTACCAATGATTCGCTTATACCGCCGACACTAAATATAACTCCCCGCAGCAGATTTATTTTATACGGCGGAAAGCTTAACATCTTAATAAATCGTGGAAATGTCGCAGATTCCATTCTCCATTCGATGGTTTCCTTACATTCGTTATAGGGAAATATAGCTTTTAACTCGTCGTGATACGGAATATTCGGAAGAGGTGGATCACTATAAAAAGACATAACAGTGATTTTGTCAACTAAAATATTTTACACATTGTAATTAGCTTTTTACCTGTGTATAAGCGCGCTAAATACAGTACCAGCTTGAGCTCGAATTCCATCTATCCTTTCAACAGCCTGTTGTGCGACACCACCAATAATACTAGCCATCAAATTCTCATTCAAGATAGACGATAGTTTTGCTTGCGATACTAAGTTTGTTAGTACCTGCAACAACATAAATATTTAGTAATTAATTTTCGATATGCATTACATTGACGATCTTAAATTATCTTTCCTAATATTCTACGTACATGTAATCCAATCATAGCTGCTTCTCGTACCCAAGCACCTATATCCCCACGACTATCTATTGTATATTCCTTAAGGGCCAACAGATAACAATCATACAGATCTGGTACAAACAATCGCCACTTGTCTGAAAAATTTGTAAATTTAAAAAAATTTTTTATCATCTTTTTCTATAATTTATATTCTAAATGCATTAATTTTTTTAAAGAACTAGTTTTTTGTGTAATATAGTGTCATAATGACAAATAGTAATATCTTGTAAACGAATATATTTACCTGCTTCATCAATTCCTAATGTCTGTAATATCATTGTTAGAGAATGCAAAGCTTCTTTCCTGCTCTCTGCCCATTTCAGCGTACTTTCAGATATGTGAATGCATGTGATTAATGCCTCTATTATGTCTTTCACTCTTTCACGAATTACAAATAGTGGAAAATGGCCTTTAAAGAGTGAAATAAATGAGAATTATATATCTGGTAAAATTGATGGAATTAACATTTTGTCGTTTATATTTTTGATTTACCTATCGCCTGTGCAAATCCTATTCTAATAGACTGATTACTCGATCGCAGAGATTCTAAGTAACGATTAATCACAGCACTTCGAACATCATAATCGATATCTATATATATATTCTACAAAAAATTTGTGTGTGCTTCAGCTGCTTTTAATTTAACAGCCGATACTTCGTGACTCAAGCATTCTTCCAATAGTTTCTGCCAATCATCTGCATTATCAATGATGTCAATATTAGTATATTAAATATTAAAATTCAACTTTATAAGTGAATCTTGTTTCATAATTAATAATACATACCCACAACATCTGTGAAATGAATTGGAAAGTGAACAATGGAGCATTTTTTAATTAGCACAGTACAAGCTTGTTTCATCAATTCTCCGCCAAGCCCTTTAAATTGTCCTCTACTTCTGAAAGTTCTTGCTACATCATATATATCAGCTACAGCTGTGGCTCCTGAATAAGATTCATCTCTTTTTAATTACAGATATTTAAAGACAGGAAACTCATTTATCTATATGTAGATTCTGCAAATTCTTACCAATAATATTTTCAATTTTATCATTGAAATGATATAAGTATAAAGCTTCAAGAATTTCTGCAGTGGCTAATATTGCACCATGCCTAACATTTAAATCGATAGAATTTAACATATCCAACAAAGTCGGTAGTACTGTGTTTATCATGTAATGTGGATCAGCTGCTGTCAGGTTGAAAAGCGACTGCAACAAATTACTAGTAACGTATACAGAACTAAACGTTAGTAATATTCAGTAAAGCATATATTTAAATTAGTACTACAAATATATAAGTTTTCAGACTCACTCTTGCTGAAAGTTCTCTAATTGCAGTATCCCAATGCGTAACTTTTTTCGCAACTAGATGATCTATCAAAGGCTTCGTATATTCTTCGTACTGCGCGATTTGGACACTAACAGAGACATTACAATATTAAAAAATAATATTAAGATAAGTCAAGAGTATCGAATTATCTGGTACATGTCAGAATGTTTGATTAATTCTGTACCTGATCTTGAGATACGCATGACTCCGTACACCAACTTCAAAATAATCGGCGATAGTCAATATATCTATACCGTGTGGAAAGTTGCCCTGCCTGCCAACATTTTCTTGAAATGCGGCGGATGCTGCCCTTCTACAATTTATCTATCACAATACAACATTGCATAGTACATAAATTATAAACGTAACGCAAATGAAGATATGTATGATTTTTACCTCTCTATCAAAGCATGTCACCACTAATAACATTGCTGCGATTTCTTTAACATAAGGCTCGAAAATGTGCGGATCATAGGCTCTCGGGAAAGACCAGCATATGTAACAAGCAGCGTCTCTAATCAAATATCCGATGGATCCATAAGCTCTAGGTTCATCAAAGACTAAGGCTTGCAAAACCACAGGAATAACGTCGCTCAAACGATGAGGTAGCAATAGGCCACGTCTTCCTGAAATATAAACACAAATAATGTGATAAGAGAATAAAATTTATTAATATATTATCTAAACAAAATATTTCTTTACCAAGTTCTGCGAGTGCTAAACAACCACCGTGCCATGCGGAATCTGATTCACGTCCGGAAAACAGGTTCAACACAAATCCCAATACATCATCAGCTAAGTCTACTGGCAATCTTGCTGTTATCCTGCCAATTCCTTTTGCCGCAGACCATCTATATCATTATATCTAATTTAATACTCTATTTCCAATGAATTCTAATGACAATTGTATATATATATATATATATATATATATATATATATATATATATATATGCATATATATACCTTATAGTAATTGCTTTATCTCGAAGACTTTGTATAAGTTGCTCTATTATGTCTTCAATGACTGGGGAATTTCTTGATCTTCATTATCATTTGAAATAGTTTTGTTAATATCAATGATACTATCAATATTATCAATATTATTTATTTGAACATTAGGCATAATGCTTATTGGCCGACTCATTTTTTGATAGCGCCAGGATGCTACTTTTGTTTTCAATAATACCAAACCTGTTTCAAATATTGTTAATCAATTTTTATAAAATAGGAAATAAATATGTATCATGTAAATAAAATTTAAGCTTTTTTCATACCTATACGCTGAACAACTTTTGTTCCAAACTTTCTAATAAGATCTGCTGGATTGTCACTTAACCGAAGTTTCAACATATTATCAAGAAGCATTTGACTGTATGGCTTGACATCTTCCCTGGCACTATGTTTTAATATAGAAGCTATTACAGCTAGAGGCCCATGTCTCAAAGGATCATTTTCTATACACTAAAAGAGCAATAACAAAAAAATTTAATGTTGCTTTTCTTATTTACAATAATTTTATAATTACAAATATAAATATATCTTTTATATATGTGAATATAATTAAATTTGTGATTTAATCTTTCATACTGGCAAAAAATCTTTGATACTATTAAAAAAATAATACCTTTAAACACCACATCATCATCTCTTCCAAGTATAATTTCTTGACATCTGATCTTGTCAAAAATTTGCTATTAAAAACACAGCTGCTACAGCACATGCATCTTTCGATAAACAATACAGTTTACATAATCTTAAAATTCTGAAACATATAATAGAATAAAATTGATACGTCTCTATTTCAATAAATTTTACTTTACATATTTTAGAAGTATGACAATATCATTACCTGACAATAATAGTTTGCTCTGGATCTATATTCTCAGAGGTCTCTAAGCGACAAAGGGGAAATGGTATCTTGGAAATGATAGATAACCACACGAGCAGAACATATCTGGTTTCCCATGTCTCTACATCATTTGGATCTTGTTTTTCAAGCATCCTTAATACAGGTAACAAATCCACTACCTCGTGCGGAAGGTAAGTCACAATTTTTTTATACGTTTTCACAGACATGATGATGAATAAGTATTTAAACGTATTATGCTTGATGCTCTCCGCACAATCATTGTCTTTGATAATTGACAGTAGGGAACTGAGAATTCTCTCGAGGTAAGGATCCAACAGCTGATGCTGATCTTGGTACTGGGACAGAATGAAATTGAAGCGATCTCTATTTCGCTCGACGAGACTCGGTGGTAAATCCGACTTCCTCAATTCCGTCATCAGCGCGATCACCTCGTCTATCTCCCTGAAAGCGCTAAAACCGCATCCAACTTTCTCTGGATCCGAGCAATCGTTTAACACCATCTTGCGCAAAAATTATTTTCCGGATCCGCTATTCACACCTTCATACATAAACACAAATTTATAAATTGTAAGAAAAATTGTGTTCTCGAATTGTTCGCAGCAGTCGTAAATATCATAACCAAATATGCAAATTTTGACAACTACGCATGTCCTCGTGTTGAACAAACGAATATTTAGAAGCGAAACTCTTGTCTTTTTCGCATTGACGCCAGCCACTACGTGGCGCTAATAGTTCAATTCTATTTAAATCACGCGCGCATTTAAATTTCGATAAAGGCGAATTGAAAATAGATAAAACTCGCGGAAAGAGATGCGTGTGACCGATACTGATCATTTATTTCGCGAAAATGCATTATATGCACATGTATGTATAAACAGATGATGTATTTTTCGGAAAGAAATGTCATATAGTAATAGAATCGTCACACATACACACGTACAATTAAAATATAACAAAATGTCTCATTATTGTACGCGGAACACTATACTGCGTCTCTTGATTGAGTCGTAATATTGCTGTGATCAAAGTATTCCACATATTATGCTTCATAATTGCGTTTTGCATGCTTCAATGCGTTTAATGTCATCGCATAACATTGCTTTAATTAAAGAATTTTTCGTATAAATATGTAATTATCGACGAAAAAGAGAGAGTGCGTTTTAACGCGTGTGACTTTGACCTTTAGGCGGCGCTGGAATGCGGCGTATCACGTGTCACGTGACGGACGCGGAGTGGGGGGAAGCACGTCACGTGACACGGAGTGGGGGAACAACTGCGCATGCCAGTCTGCGCAGTACGGCGAAGCGAGACAGATCTCTCTCTCTCTCTCTCTCTCTCTCTGAAAATGTTTTCGAAAATCGTTTTCTTATAAAGAATTGTGTCTCACAATGTGTCATCTACATGTGTGTAAAAAATTTTAATAATAATATATACATATTTATGAATTAAAGAAAAATCATGCGCGACTGATTGCGCAGTAATTTTGGTTATCTGTCATTCAATTCTACTCCAATGAGAGGTCTTCACAGTTTCTTCTATTGATTTTGCTTAACATATCATTATATCATCTATGGCCAAAGAAGAAGAAGAATTCAATGTTTACTCGTGACGTAAAGTTTGTGCTTGAATAATTTTTTTTCCAAAAATTAGATAAACTGAAGTAATAATATCAAGTATTTGATTAAAATAAATAAAATTTGAATAAAATTTAAGGAAAATTGAGGAAATTCACATTGAATTAATTTGATTAAATTATACTACATAAAAACACAAGTGATATGTGTTAATAACAATTTTTTCTTAGAAGAGAAAAATTAAATTGCTGGAATAAAAATATATCTATTTGCATAATTATTCTACTTGAATATTTATCCATATAATTGTCATAGCAAGATGGACATTCTAAAAGCAGTGATAATGCAAAAACGTAAGGAATTGGAAGACAGTAAAGTCCTGGTATGTAATTTGTTACATTTTGTGCAATTTTATGCAATTATGTGATCGTGTGTCAATATTTATAACAAGGCATTTCTTCATTTCTTGCAGGAGAATAATAAAAATATTTCAAAAGGAGCCAATTAATATCGAAGCAACAGGAAGTACATGAAATTGACAAAGGGAATAATGAAGCTGCTCCGTCAAATAACAATCAACAGTCAGAAGAATCTATAACAGACAGTAGCTCTGAACATTTGCTATCTAGACAAGAAGTAATTAGACGATTACGTGAACGAGGAGAGCCTATATTATTATTTAGTGAATCTGAGATAGAAGCATTCAAAAGATTGAGGAAATGTGAAATTCTGGAGCCAGAAGTGAATAAGGTAAAGTACATTTGTTTTTTTTAATATACATATTTTTATTAACTAAAGTCTTATCAAAGAATAGATTTTCATTGTGATAATTCATTAACAGGGCTTCAGAAATGATTTTCAAGAGGCAATGGAACAAGTAGACCAAGCGTATCTCAATGAGATCTTGACATCTTCCAAATCCCAAAATCTTGATGGAAAAGGAGATGTGAATGTGCCTGACGAGGGTGTTACTTATGAAGATATACAAAAAATGTCAACTAAACTAAATAAGGGAGACAAGGAATTTGACATGAGTGTTATTACTTTATTTGTTCAATATCTAGTTCAAATGTGGGGCAATCAGTTAAACAGCAGATCAGCAGCTGAAAAAATGGGCACAAAGGGAAAAATGAATAGTGCGACATATGCTCAAACAAGGGAATATTTGAAGCCACTTTTAAGAAAGTTAAAAAATAAATCTCTTCCAGAGGATATAACTGACAGTTTAACAGAAATTGTTAAACACTTACTACAACGTAATTATATATTGGTATGTTTGTCATCTGTATATTGTTACATAACGCATCTGTTATTTATACAAATATAATAAGCAAATAATTTTCTTATGTAATTATTTTATAATATATAAGTATCAATTATTTTTATTTCAGGCTAGTGATGCCTATTTGCAAATGGCTATAGGAAATTCTCCATGGCCTATTGGTGTAACTATGGTTGGTATCCATGCACGTACTGGTAGAGAAAAGATTTTTTCAAAGAATGTTGCTCATGTCATGAATGATGAGACTCAAAGGAAGTACATTCAAGCACTCAAGAGATTGATGACTAAATGTCAAGAATATTATCCTACAGATCCTTCACGTTGTGTAGAATATGCAAAAAATTAAGTTTTTATATTTATATAATAAAGCAAGGTAATATAAGTTTGTATGTGTAGATAACTATTATTTATTTCTTTTCTACTGTTATAAGTATCTAGCTTAATATAGATTACTATATAAATATCTTTTAAGATAAATTTACTACTAGCTTGTAACTTTTAAGTAATTAATAGTACATGTTGTGTGTATATATATATATATATATCTTTTTTAATAAATTGATGATTAATCTTCTTGAAAATATATATAAAATTAATATTTAAAAACAAAACTTTAAAAATTGTGACATACATAACATTATACTATAGTTCACTTTGAAAAAGCTGTGTTAGATAAAATATTTTCTTCAAATATTTAAGTATAAAAAAGTGACTTGATTAAAAGATATGAAATAATATTATATAACTAGCTTTTCGGAAATTTATACGCTCTAAAAAATATTCTAAAATATTAATTATTAAAGGTACTATTTTTTAAGACTTGATAGAGAAGTTAATTCATTTGATCTATTTACAGCAGCTTCAACAGCATTCATCATAGATCCCCTACAATTAATTAAATCAAAATTATTTCAAAGTTACATGATTGAATAAATGAAATTATATATAAAGTACCTGACACCTCCTGCTTCCATAGCATGAACACCAGCGATGGAAGTACCTGCAGGAGAACAGACTTCGTCTTTCAACTGACCAGGATGTCGCCCAGTCTCGATTACCATTTTTCCAGCACCTACTAGCACTTGAGCTGCGAATTTAGTCGCTAGTGGCCTTGGCACACCCATCCTCACACCTCCATCTGCCAATGCTTCTATGATGAGATATGCCTGATAAGTATAAATTAAAAGCTGTACACAAATGTTTCCATAAGTCTCTTCAGTTGCAGTTCTAATATTACAATAACTTACAAATGCTGGACCGCAACCTGATAGACCACCAATGGCATTTATAAGACTTTCTGGAACACTTTGGCTCATACCAATATAGGAAAATAATGTATCTACTAGTTCCATATCTTTCGGTTCGGCGTTATTGCTGCAATAAACTAAAAATTACGTTTGTATTAACACAAATTAATGTATATATATTGCACCTTTTTTTGACATACCTGTAACTCCCTCTCCAACCATCATAGGTGTATTTGGCATAGATCTAATTATTCTTGGTGAAAGTGTAACAGCTGAGAGTTTCTAAAAAAAATTGTTTACTAATTGTTGTGTAGATTGAAATCATATTATACAATATTATACTTATATAAAATGTTGCTTACAGTATGTAAGGTTTCAAGAGACACTCCAGCAAGCACTGAAATAAATAGCTTGTTCTTATGAGTCACTTTTCTTCCTATAGTGGTAACTGCATCATCTAACATTAGTGGCTTCACTGTCAAAAATATGATATCGCAATTGATTACAACATCATCATTGTCCAATGTTGGGTGGGTACCTAAATCCTTCCAAAACCCATGCATTCTGTCTGTACGGCCAGAAACCCAAACATTATCTGGATTCAATATACCTATATATATAGAAGCATAATATATATATAGCAGAAGAATAATATATATATAGAAGCATATATATGTATCATTATTTTTATAAATTTGTCATCATAAGTTTTTATTTATTTTTACAAAGATTTAGAAGGTAGTGGAATTACCTTTGTGAATTAAACCAGCACCTATAGCACTAGCCATATTTCCACCTCCAATAAATCCAACTTTAATAGATTTTAAATATTGTTCCATCGTAATTAATTATACAAGTCACTTGTATATATTAAATAACTTTATGCTGAAACAATTAACGATTCTAATAAATGTCATGTGACTTGCGCACATATATAAAATTAATTTCACAAAAGTTGTCTTATCAGTATTAAGTAATTATTTATATCCATATAATAGTTTAGGGACATTCATTTTGTTGTAAAGTGACTTTTGTGCGATACTTTCAGACAACATGAATAATGCTTTTAATGATTAAAAATCAATGTAATAATAAGTCTAATTGTAAGAAAATAGATGTAACATAAAATTATATTTTTCAACTAATTTTGAAATATAAAAACGACATATTAAGGATTTTATGTTTTAATATAAATTTCGCTTTTTGAGTATTTATAAAGATTTATAAAACAGCTAAAAAAAAAAAAAAAAAAAAAAAGGAAAATTGTGACAGATTTTGAAGTGCATACTTTGCATATGTATTCACGTTAAACAAACGTTGCTGTCTACTTCTTAATTTCACTTGTTTTATATGGAAAGCACGTTCGAACATACACTGAGAAGACGTGCATGCAAAACAGAATATGACACAAGATTATTCCTTCTTCTTCTTCGTGTTTTAGTGGCCTTAGCAGACCAATTCTGGTCTTTTCTTACCGATAAGGACTTGTGAATCTTTTTAAGCGATTGGACTAACAAAAATTGGAAGACCGTGAGAATCTTTCACCTTTCACCTGACTTTTCAAGGTCAAGAACTTGAACTACAAGATTATTCCGAATAAGGATGAAAGGGCAATTTCACGTGCCGCTAAAACAAGCGTTTGAAGCGACAGATTTGTCGCTCGTAATCCAGTATCAACAATTTTTTAATCAATTACAAAGCATTTACTGCTTAAACGCTCAACTTTCAATTCTGTCACGCTGCTATCTTTTTTTACGTACAAATAAAAGTTGTTACGTGATCATTTTCAAACAATCGGTTTCAGCGGCTTATGAAAAGGCACCTTGATACATATGTGGAATATGTAGGATGTCTCATCAATAACTTACATACAATAAAATCCTTTCTTTATCCTCTATTATTCTCTATCTATAAGAAATAAGAGTGATAAAAAACTTTTTAAGAGGATTGTACTGAAAAAGACAAAGATACTCGATATTGCTATCTCTCTCTCTCTCGTTTATATATATATATATATATATATATATGTGTATATGTATGTATGTATATGTACAGTTCAGTATGCAATGGTGCGTACGTGTATTTATATATAGTACGTAGAATTATAGCTATATTATGTGTGTCAACATATATGTACGATGCGATAAATGACAGGAGTTTGTCGAAACGCAATTAATTTTCCCTTTAACGATGGGTAACTGCATCAGGAGCGTATTAAGGAAGCTGAAAAGGAACCGCGGCACGGAAAAGTATATTATTTATGACACATGCGTATTGTGCAGCAGACGCTGATATTTTCTTATTTATATTCTTTTTTTCCTAATTTCAGGACGATTATCCTGCTTATTGTTGGGTTAGATAATGCTGGAAAGTCCTTTGTACTGAATCACATTAGTGGAGGTAATTTTTTGAAAATAAAATTAAAAAAATAGGAGCAAATTTATTACTATATACAGTCATCTTTGTATGTATGTATATTTTTCTCAGATCCAGATAGGAATGTACTGCCTACAATGGGATTCCGGACAGTGTCTTTAAAACATAACTCATATTCAGTGAAGATATATGACCTCGGTGGCAGTTCTCAGATTAGAGCATTGTGGCCTAAATATTACAATGATGTAAGCAACATGCGCACATTTTCTAAACACATGACATTGAAATCATATATGAGTATCGTAATGAAATTATTAGTAATTGATCAATTACTATATCTAGTCCATGGTAAAAGAAATTTTAATACACTATTCATATCTGTGTACTCTTATTTGACATCTTTTAGATACATGGTCTTATATATGTGGTGGATGCTAGTGATATTTCCCGTCTTGCAGAAAATAAAGTCGTGTTTAACGAATTAATAACACACGAGCATATTTCAACGAAACCATTATTATTGTAAGGGATCTGAATTTATGTCCGTACACTTTCACCTTTATGCATATTTGTTTCACACATTTATTTTTGATATGTACCACCTATAGTTTAGGAAAAAGCAGCTTAGGTCATATGTGTGCTTTTATATGAATAATATTGGTAAAGATGTGTGATGATATTGTTGATTCATGTAATTTTATCCAAATTTTTATAATGTATGTGTAGACTTGCAAACAAACAGGATCTGAATGGAGCTATCGATGAGTTAGATCTGGTTGAAAATTTGAATGTGGAACAGGCAGCCAATGCTATGAAATGTCCAACAAGAGTAGAAACGTGTTCCTGTGTTTATGATAAGGAACAATCAAAGAGTAATACTATGGGCATAAGAAATGGATATAAGTAAGTTTGTCATCGCTGTAAACAAAATTTAAACATACATACAAAATAAAAGTTTAATAACATGTACTTCTCTATATTGATACTCAGAATTTATTTTATCTAGATGGCTGTTGGATACCATAATAAAGAATTATACTGCTCTGAATAACAGAATCAAACAGCCACAAAGTTGTCAACGTGTTCGGAAATCCCAGTCTGTTGCATCAAATACACCATCAAAAATTTCTATACACTCAAATCCATTTAAACCCATTAGAGATCTCTTGGCATCAAAGGTACAAATTTTCTATTAATTATTCATTATCTAATTTTATCTATATTCTTCATCTTATATATCAATGTATTCCAATATATAAACTTTTTCTTTATTTATTATTAATGCTCCATTTTTCTAAAATTTCAGGATGAATGTCTGATAAGTGAATCGTGCAATGGTATGTACTATATTAACAAAATAAGAAAGATATATGTACATATATAACACTCATCAACACAATCAATTTTGAGACTTATGTCAAATGATATTCTAGGTACAAAGAGTAATGAAAGGAGAAGCATTCTAAAAGCTTTTATACGAAGAAATAAGACTGCCCCTCTTCCAGATGAACAATCGACTATTGAATGTGAAAATCTCTCGCGAAATTTTACACCTAGTGTGGAAACTCTCGCTGGAGAGAAAAGCACACAAACTATGACTACAATATTAGATCCCTTAAATTTAAATACTGATTATAATAGGCAAAGTTATACTAGTCAATCAAATCTAGTCCGTCCATATACAGCACCAGAGAGATCGCAACGATTATCAAATAAAATAATTAATATTCCTGGACAAGTGCCTCAATGACAGCATCTGTAGATTTTATATTAAGTTCAAAAGGGACCAGATACACATGTACATTCATACATTACATCATAATATAAAATTATATCCATAAAAATGTAAGAATTATTGTAAAAGCATATATAGCTTTTAGATAAATATTTTCAACATTGCTATTTTATAGCATCGATTAATTATATAATATCTTTTGTATAAAACACTTTATACTGTTAATTTATTATTTTTGAATGTGGAGAATATAAAAGTTGTGCAACATTAATGTGTAATAATAATTAATAACATACATATGTATTAAAATATAATTTTTTATGAGCTTATATGTGTAAAATATAATAATATATAATGTATATATTATACAACATATAAAAGATATCAATAAAATATAATTTTTATCTAAAAAAAGGCATTAAATTACATTTCATGGGGTGTGTATGTTGTATGTGTGAAGTGTTCAACAAAAGAACAATCGTTTAACAATGATATAAAGTTCAATTTAGTTATAATTTTGTATGATTGATGAATTCTAATAAGAATATTACCTTCTGTGATTAAACAAGCAAAGAAATAATTTCACTTTAGTAAATATAATTGTGGTATTACGCCAAATAAAAAAGAGAAAATCATAAAAAGAGAATCTTTGTTGAATGATTTTATATATTATAATTACAATTGTAATTAATTTTGTGTTTTATCTGTTTATTCTAGAAATTTGTATACATGTTTGTGTAGAGAAAGATATTACAAATATATATATATATATGTATATATATATACGATACAAAGCACACATTACAAAATCTGCTAAAGATAATAAAGATGCTGAAAATTGCTTTAATACTCCGGTAACATTGTTTCGAAAATTGCAATCTCAAAATGAGTTCATGTGGCATTCATATAGCAATGGGTGTATTCTTAGCACACATTTATCACAATATACAATGTGTGAGACATTGCACAATTTCATTTTGCCCAACATCTTGTACATCTTATATTTTTGAGCAATTACTTTATAACTTTATTTAAATAAGATGTTTATATTGCAACATGCTTTTTAACACGTGCTAAATTGTAAACATCTTATTGTATAATAAGGAACAATGAGAATGCGATTCTTAAAAATTATATATGTAAAATTTATATATATATTATATATAAAAAATTATATGTAATATATATATATATATTGTACATATATATATATATATATATATATATATATATATATATATAAAATGTCTAAATATATGTTATGCATATTATACTCACGCATACATATTTTAGTTTTAAATATAGCTCAATCATAGTTATCAAACAATTGCGAGTGTATAAGGCATACAAATTCGATTATTCTTACTATGAAAGACTTTGTATCACGTTTCGCAAATTTTGTTACCGTTTCTCCTGCGAATGCAGCAATTTTTGCTATAATAATTGATCCTTTTTTTAAGTTCTTATCTATTATATTCATTAAACTAGCGACACAACACTGTATATACCTGCTAGCAATTTCGATGTTTGCAAGCAAGATAATACATGTTAATTAGTCTAATCACAATGCAACTTATCTTAACATTTTTGTAACATTTGAATATTCGTTGTAATTAGTAGTAAATTACAACTGATTTATCTCAGGCAAATATAGTTGTGCATTGTGAAGTTGAATATTGAACATTGTTTTGTCAGTGTCAAGCTATTACTTATTGCAGAGATTATTTTACAAAGCTTAATAAAAAATATATATATGTATATATAAAAAAATAAAATTGTTATACCATATGTATATGTAATATAATTCATGATCGTATATTATATAATTACAAAATATTCTATTTATATTTATATACATATAACATCAATGCTACTGTGCAATAGAATGTATGAAATATCTACTATAAATTTTATAAATATATTTCTAAAAATTACTGACGAAAAATATGATTAAGAATAGTTGTGTACATTATATAGATTATAATGTAATTGATAAATCTTTTATTTGTACTTATTATATATCTTAATTATATGTAATGATACTGTTAGAAGTAAAAGAATTTAAAGTTTTTTCTGATGTGTATATATATATATATATATATATATATATATATATATATATATATATATGTATACACTGAGACGACTGATTTATACAACTTTGTTATTTAGAAATGTAAATCTTATGTGTTAGCATACAAATGCATAGAATTTGTTGATGCAGTCATATTGTCAGGCATATTTGACTCGAAGTCTATGGCAACATACTGGTATATGAATATAAACAAAGTTAATAAATGTAAAGAGTACCATTATATGTATATATGTATATATATATATATAAAATATTCATATATAAAGGTTAAAATATACTCTTATATTTTATATCTATATATATATATATGTATATGTGTGTGCAATTTATAATATATATGTTTAATTATATATATACTACTGTTTATAATAAATGCAATACAGACTTTTTAAAAACCAGTTATTTTTATCACAATATAGCATGTTTTTCTCAATACAAAAATGTAAAAAAGTTTTATCATGGATGTGGCAGTATTGTATTTATCTGTTAAAAAAAGAAGGAACATAATACAACTAAAAAAACACAAAGTAATACAAAAATGTAATTAAAAAAAATTTGTATAAAAAATTTATCACTGGCACAAATATAAAGTACATATACAAGCACATAAATTTTTTATACCCCTTTAACTGACTATACAACTCCATTCATTGGAGATGTAAATTTTACCAAGCGTGTCAGCATAGAAGTGATACACGGAATTTGTTTTTGCTGATGCATGGTTATATTATCAGGCGTGTTTGATTCAAAATCTATGGCAACACGTTGACATACAAATGTCAACAAAGTTAATAAATCATAACGAGTACCATTTTCACGTAATTCCAAGCACAAGGCTTGCATGAACCATGATCCGCGGCTAGTGTTTCTCCAGGAATAGTAACCTGTTAATTTTGAAAATCACTTTTGAATCATGAAGTATGTCAGATTGGCAATTAATGATTATAAATTAAAGGTTTCAAACTTGATATATTTAGTCTATATGATAGAAATATAGTTAGACTATATGATATAGAGAGGAAGTTAATGAATAAATGTATGAATAGTTTTTTATAATAATCTATCTATAGTAATCTACAGATAACAATATCAAATTTATCAGATAATGTATAATACCTGGTATTGTTGAATAAGCAATCAGAAAGTCAGCTTGAGAAGGAATACGATATGTTGCAGTTGGTAATCCATCTGTTTCTGTTCGTTCCTTAAGAGTAATGCCTGGATCTAATTTGTCACCCTGGCATGCTTGAATGAAGAATAGTTTAGGTTTTCCGGCGAGAGTCGGGCATTTATCGGCAGTGAAGTTGTACCAGAGAGAATCTGCTTTATATGCAGTATCTTGAGCATAGAGCAAACCAAGTTCGCCGTGGCTTAAGACGGCTATTACCAAGCAATCATGTTCAGAATGATCCATGTCTGCAACTGTAAAAACAATAATTTATGATTATTTTATAAAATATATTTTAATAGAATATCTTTTTTATATTGTGTTTCTATGAAATATATATTTTCTGAATTTTCAATAAATATACTCTTTAAAAAACATAAGAATTTTTAAAATAAAATAGTATAAACACATATAAATAAATATGACTTACCCTTTTGTAACTGTTTCACTATGTCTCCATGAGTAGAGTTATGGAGATCATGTACTTCAAATCCAAGATTTTTTAATGTATTAATAAGGTTATCGCAGTCTACATTTGTACCAGAGCGAGCTTTGAGATGTGAGATATTGAAAAATTCATGATTAAAGATTAAAGCAATACCACGTTTAGAATGATTCATCTTATAATGTGTAGCATAACGTTCAGTTGGTGATGTTAATAGTGATGCTGCACCAGAAGATATAGTATTCCTGCAAAAATAATTATGATGTACTGTCAAATATTTTCGATTAGAGACTTATTTTGGATTAGAGATACAAACTATATATTTTATGTGCAATTATATTCTACATCTCCATAATGATTCAAGCCTAAATTTTATAGTATATTGCATTTTATTGATAAATATATAAAATTATTATAATGTTATCTGACCAATTTCAATGAAATTTTATGTATATTTTGTGATTTTTATATATATTCTTAAATTCGTTATTTTAATAAGACAAAAATTTCTATACTCTCAAAATAAATTTGTGATATTATTAACATTTTTTAACATCTCTAATAAATTTTATAAATTATTTTACTTAAAAATTGAATACACTAATATATTTGTATAATTCCATGTTTATATTACATGCTAAGTAATCTTGAACAACTACTGTAGATTTCTAATAATTTTCTAAGTCTTTACAAGTTTTTATAAAAATTTTTCATACAATTTATGCTATTGATGTATTTTAAAGCATTGAATAATATAATTAAAATCATGCTTTAAAATATTTCAAAGCACATAGTGCTAAATGGAATGCATTCTTAGTTTATTCAATTGCATCATGATAACAGTGACCATATTTTCTAAGAGAAAAGAGGACAAACTTGAAAATTTTACAGCTTTCAACATGTTTCCAAATCAGTTTACAACCAAAGTGGAGATCAATGAGCAAAAAAATTGTGACTATAAAAGTTTATGCATTCTGGTAGTTTAAAACTGATTCGACTATGTTGAAACAAAAGTTCTTAGTTTCTTAAATATGTTTGAGATAAGAAGTTCCATTATTTTCAAACAAATTTTAATGTGAATACTCCAACATTAGACATTAAAACGCTAAATAAAAAATAAGGGTCAACATTGTCATATAATAGACAACATTTTAAAAATAAAGGACAAAATTAAGTTTAAAAAAATGAATAAAAGACAGCTTCTTGAAATAAAGAACTGTTCTGTAACTAAAATAGAGAATAAATGGTCATCGTAGTTATGACTCCAAGAATATCTCCGACATATTGATAATTGTTTTATATCAGTTATATTAGCTGAATTATACCGTATCCTCTCAATGATCGTAGTAATAATTTCTACCTTAACAATATACATTTTTCATTGCTGCAATATCGATACTGATCATTTTATTACTGTAAATGTTCATGGAAAAACATTGCACGAAATTATAGTGACAATATGCGAGCTAATTATATCTTATAATTTACATTATAATGAAAAAATATATATAATATATCGCGTGAGCGTTCACAAGTTCTCAAACCTGCTGATTAATGTTCCGAAAGCGTCGCCGACGTCGCCGTCGTTTTCCACGCCATTATTGACATTGTCAATAATGTCAGGCTCAGCGGAACACATGGCGTTGCGTCCTTCGTGCAAATTTACTCACAGAGAAAGGACAGCTTTTTTTTCTGCGCGGTATTTTTGCAGTCGTTGCGTTCAAGTGACGCGTCGTCAAATGTACTCGAGGATGAAGTTTTGTGGAGACGAGATAAGCACGTACGTAGAAGAAAACGCGCGATAATGTTTGTTGATAACTGTTGATGCGTCACAGTCTGTTTAGTCTGTTCCAAGCCAGATGCAAGACGCCGTTCTTCGCAGTGCTGTCATTCGCGACAGTGTCGCCACTTTAACGGACAAGAATACCTCTTTGGAAAGAAAAAACGGAGCTGGACGATTCTTTTCCTTCTCCCTCTTTGTTATGAGATGACAGCTGATGACAGATGTTTTTTTTTCATATATACGCGTTAAATACGAATTTGAATCTGACTTTAATAAAGCATCAAATTCGTGAAAAAAAAACTTTCAGGTCCTTTGTTTACACGTTCCTGGCCAGAAATTAATTGTGCTCCAAGTTAATGTTTTTGACTGTGATGCTAGAACAGCATCAACCAATCAGTGAATCCTTGTGATAGAGAATTCATCCTTTTCTAAAAAAGTTGATCCCTTAATTTTCTTGAAGGCTTGCTTCAATATAATTCGGAATTTGACCTGTCAATCTAATCTGTCAATATCAATTTAAGAGGATCCCTCAGCAAACAACAAACTCCGATAAAAATAATAGCGTCCTCATTTGGAATTAAAAATATCGATAATTATCGACTGATTTTCGAATAATAATAATAACAATAATAATAATTATAATAATAATTTCTCGAAATAATATAAATATAAATATTAATTTCAAAATATCTAATCGATATATTATCATAATTTTAATCGATATATAGAGGAAATATCGATCATTTGGTATCGATTAGTATCGAGTAAGAACAAATATGGCTACTCTAACCTCTAAATTTGAGAAAAAGTAATATTAGGCTGAAGGCACTAAGTTCTCCAACCGGGGAACGACACAACCAAAAAAAAAAAGAAAAAGTAATCAATGAAGTTTTTAAAATATATATAAAAAGAATTTTTATGTTCTTCTCTTCTTATTTTTAAATCAATCTGATTACTGTCTACATTAAAGACGAAATCAAGATTAAATTGGAGAACATGTCTATGCTTGCGGAGCGTCGACGAAAGCAAAAATGGAGTTTAAATCCACGAGGAAAGTGGTGGACTGAAGGTATGAATGTTTTGAAATATATATAAAATTTTTCAGAACAAGAAAATATTTTTCTATTTATTTATAAACTATATTTTTTGCACGTTTGAATATTACATATGCTATATATCTTTTATTTACTTTAATAAACTTTGAATTGCATCTTCTCTATTAACACATGTTATTATTGGAACAGATTCGAATAAGTTTGGTCAGAAGATGTTAGAGAAAATGGGCTGGACAAAAGGAAAAGGACTTGGTATTAATGAACAAGGCATGACGGAATATCACAATGTGCCATACAAGAATGATACAGCAGGTAATTAAAATGTACAGTTTTTATATATAAAAGCTATTTCATAGATATTATTCTTAATTAGAATTTTATTCTTTTCCTAGGTATAGGATTTGACAAAAATGCCGAGATATGGGTAGAACATCAAGGCAAATTTAATGATTTTCTGCAACAACTTTATGGGAATGTAGATCAAAACACTATTCAGAAAATAGAAAAAGAAGTTAATAGTTTAAGTGGACAGTCATTGGAATTGAAGTCTAAGCAGAGTCGTGCTCGTGTGCAGTAAGCATTTAGATCAATAATTAAGTTAATTTTTTTACAAATATAATTAGATATCTTTAAATCTAAATTTATAAATAAAATTCGAATTTGTGTTATGTAAAGATATTTCAATAATCTTATGATAATTTTATATTTATAAAAATATTATGTTTACAGCTATAAGAAATTTACACATGGCAAAGACTTAAATAAATATAAAGCGAAAGATTTGGCAAATATATTTGGCCAAAAAGAATTAACAAATGAAGTTCAAATAAAGACGGAAGAAAATGACTATATTTATGAAGAAAAAAGTATTAGTAATGAAGTTTTCACAATTAACAGTGGTAGCATGACTGATTACTTCAAACATAAATCAAATAATAAAAACTTTTCAAGAAATATGATTGATGACCCAGCGATCAACTCTGAAAGTGAGAACAAGCAATATGTTGGTTTTGGATATGTACCAAAAACAGAGAATATAATGTCTAATGGAGTATCAAAAGATGTTGGCGAAAAGAGTAGTTATGCTTGTGACAATCCTTGTTTGGGATTGAATAGTTTTTTGGAATTTATGTCATCTAACACTGATAGTACTTGCAAAAAGTCTGTAAAGAGGAAGAAAAGATATGAAAGTGATAATTCACATATCACTGAATTGGATAAACACAATGTCCGAAAGAAATTAAAAACTGAGATTATTAATGAAATTTGTAAAGATGGTTTTACAAATCCAGCTCTTAATTTAGACATAAAGCTTGAAGAGGATTATAATGGCAAAGAATTTGAGGTATCCAGAGCACAGTTTGGTCTAGAGAATTGTGGCTTAGATTTGACAGATGAAAGAAGCGACAAGAAAGGTGTAACATTTGATGATCATATCACATTGTATGAGTATGATTTAGATTCTATCAAAAAGAAGAAAGGAAAAGCCACGTTAGATAAATTTGAAGTTGAAAATAAGAAACATAAAAAGAAACGGAAACAGGAGGGCATTATAAATCCTGTGTCAAATGGGTTTGTTAATGAAGCATTAGATATAGAAACAGTAGCTGAAGAAATTAATGATAATAAATTGAATGAACATAAAAGCAAAAAAACGAAGAAGAGAAAGATATGTAAAATATCTAGTTTAGAAACAATACAAGAATCACCAGAACAAGAAAAAGAAATAACTGAGATTAATATAGAATCAGAAAATATGTTGGATATTAGTGTTGTTAAGAATAAAGAAATAGATATTGTTGATAAAAAGTTAAAGAAGAAGAGAAAGGAGAAGAAAACCAAAGTTGAAAACATTACTGTAGTTCATATTGCAAGTGAGGAATTAAATATTGAAAGTGAAGAGATAATTACAAATAAAAAAATGAAAAAACATAAGGACAGTAAAGAAGAAGAAATTGAAATTTCTAAGAAACATAAAAAAGAAAAGAAAAAGATAAAGAAAATTACAAAATTAAAAAGTGTGCTAGTCAGGCTGAAATAAGCAGTGATTATCAAAATATCAAAATTTTAGATAAGACAAATGCTAAGCAGCAGCAAAATTATTTAATCATGAATGAAAACAAGGATGCAACGGAAATAGAAACATTGTCAGTTGATAGAAAAGAAAAAGAAGAAAAAGTACTCTTAAATAAACAAAAGAAAAAGAAAAAGAGCATTCACCAAGATTTTAGGAACGAATGTGATATAAAAAGGAAATTCCTGAAAATTTTGTCAAAGAGGAAGATTCAAATACCAAAAAATTAGAAAAGAAAGAAAAAAAATGCAAAAAATCAAAAGAAAAAAATGTAATTGATACTGAAGATTCTATTAATTCTAATCTAGGAATTGTGGATGAAAATACTATCGAGCAGGGAAAAATAGAAAATATAGAGTCTACTTATATATCTATAAAGAAAAGTAGAATAATCGATTCTGTTGACAATATAATTCATAGTCCATGGAGTGCAAAAACAAGGATGTCTAAAAAAATGTTGATAAATCTTTTCCAAAATAATCAACTTTTAGATTTTCCTGGCTCTAACATTCATAATATACAGGGATATGGTGTAGATATTACACCAGATGCTAACTAGAATTTATATAATTTTATAATGAAGCACTTTCAATAATAAATGTTAAGTTGCTTGCCGACAATAATTATGAATCTTAATATGTGCGTATATATTTACATATTTATTTAAACAAGTGTGTCTTTTGATAATACATTTTTAATATTATATAATATCTATTTCTCTGTATCAATTCATATAATAGAAGATTATTTCTATTATATATAGCAATTAAATATATAATTTAGTGTATTAGAAAAACAATATATATTTAAAAAATATACACGATTGATACTAAAAAGCACTGAACTTTATTGATTAATTATGAGAACATAGTATTATATAATCCTATTATTAATATTATATTAATTTTTAATTTGCGATTGTAATCTTTGCATAATGTATCATTGTACAAACAATTGATAAAAATTACTTTCATGTTAAAATATCATCATTTATATCATCATTTATATTATCATATATATGACTAATATCTTCTAATTTTAGAATTTTGTTACGAAGTTGAAAAACAGCTTTCAAATCTAAGTCGTTTAATTCTATTAAATTGTGTGGTATATAATCTTCTTCTGCTGAAAGTATACTATATTGAAGACCTTCTAATAGATTTCGTATTTTATTTAAGAGCTTTGGTTCACATTTAAACTATAACAGAAAATATATTGATGTGAGTATATAAAAATTATAATTTTTATTTTAAAGAATATTTTTTACATCACTTGTTGAAGTATTTAAATACTTGATACACAATTACTCAGATTAATTATTTTAAAAAATACCTTATTATTTAATTATTGTGAACATACTTTTTTTTATTTATACACTATGACCCATATTTTCGAACTTTTATCTCTATTTCTGTTATTCTGTTACAGAAGCTACTGATAAAAATGATTTGAGATATGGTTTGAGATACCTATAAAATTATATATGTATACATATATATATAAACATACCTGAAAATATTTTGTATTATTTTCCTCAAATTCCTCTACATCATCTGCACCAACATTAATAGCATCTTCCATGGCCTGCTCTAAATCACCTTTTTTTTCAACTATGATGTTACCAACATGAGTAAACATGTTTCTGACAGAATGATTTGTGAGTTTTCCACTATGCATGTTATTAAAACAATAATAAATATAAAAGATGTTTGAGAATGTTATGTTAATTTAGCATTAAAATTCATATTAATTCTTATATTATAAAATAAATTATTACTATATGTTAAATATACAGAACAAAAAAAGATATACATGAATATATGTTTTGAGGTATCTCTTTTGAATTTATAAATTATATATTAAAAAAAAATAAATATATATATATATATATATACATATACATACCTAGTTTTTTTAGTTTTGCATTAAGTTGCATTTGAAATGCTCTTACATTATCTGTTGTATAACGTGCAAGTAGAATATAACCATTTGGGCCACGAATTTCTACTACACCTGATTGAGTCTTGTTTTTGCGTGCTTCCATTTTTTCAAGAAAACTATTTATTGATGCAACAGGCATATTCACCTTTTTAGCTTGTTCAATGAGTTGTGCTAATCTTAAATTGTGACTAGGTTTTGTATTATTACCACCCTCTAAAACATATAATTTTTTTTAAATGACTTATAATAATATTAAAATATTATATAGTACATGAAATATACTAATTAATATTTAAGCATATTATATAACATATACAATAAAAATATATATCAATGAAATGATATATATGACTAATATATTTAAATATAATCTCATTAATCATAAATAAAAATCTATATTTAATGTTTTATATTATGTATAAAATTTTATCTAGCAAGCATATATATATATATATATATATATACAATTATAATAAAAATACCCGTTATAGCAACCCGCATTTGTAGTTTTAAGTGATGAAACCGTATCATCCTTTCATGATCTTTTTCTTCTTTTATATGTTTTATATTTGCCCATTTGCTATGACCAGCGAATCTTTTATTACTTTTCGATAAACAATAAATATATCTATTAAAAAGTAATCTATTTAATATTTCTGTCATTTTTGAAAAAGGTTATGTTGCACGTTGCAGTTGTAGGTTAGATTTTATCTAGAAATCATAAATCTCGGGTCGAATATATCTAGATAGGAAACACACGTTCTAATTGGACACAAGGAAACAGTGACTAAGAATTTTCACTAAGCTTGATTGACCAATCAAAGAATTTCATGTACAATCAAAAGAGAGTTCAATCTCTAGATATTCGTATATTATGGTTGATATTTATAATCTCATTTTTCGATTCTATCAATAAAATTACTCCTGCGATTAGCTCATAATAGATTAAAGAAGAAGAAGTAAAATTACTGACGTAATAATTCATACACTGATCTGTTGTTTTATATATATATATATATATATATATCAATAAATTCATATATTAAATTCGTAAATTGTATATTAATGAACACGACATATTTATGAATATTATTATGATTGTATTTCATATATATATATATATATATACACATATTTGTTATAATTTTTGCTCAAATTGATTATTTTTACTTTATGTTTGTTTTACGAATCATGCAGTAATTTTATTTATTTGTTTCATATTTCTCTATTAATTTTTTTTTTTACGCAATTTCTGTACATAAGAAAATATGATATCTAATTAATTGTACATATATTCGCGAAAAATCATAAAATATGCATCATACTTTTGATGTATGTTTCGTATGTAAAATATGTATGCAAAAGAGTTTTATCAAAAAGTTTTAATAATATGAATAAGCAATTATGTCTTTTATATACAGTTTATGTAAATAGATTTCTAATATAAAACTACCATTAATAAAAATGCATATAATGCAAAAATTTATATGTAACTATATATATAAACAATAATAAGAGTGCCACATGTTTTTATATTAGATTACCATAAAAAAAAATTACAAGGATATAAAAAAATTACTGGTATAACATGCAATAATTTCTTCAATAATATATATTATTATTGAAGAACTATATTTATATTATACCAATAGTTTTTTCGTACTCTTGTAGTTTAAATTTTTTCCATATGCGGGAATTAATATAAAATACTAAAATTGATTCATTTCTAAAAAAAAAATATGCTGCAAAAAAGAGAGAACATAGCGTAAAAATATATTGATATATGCAAAAATAAAAATGCTTTAATATCTTTACAATGAGTGCAATGTAGTGCAATATGCATTATAACTATATATATATATATATATATATATATATATATATATATATATATAGAATATAGATGTTATTGAACGCGTACTTGCGCATGCACACATGTTATTTTGTGGCACTTATCACGTGAACATGCTTATACATGCATATACATATATACACATATTATATTTAAATTAATACGTGACAAAGTAATCGCGCGAAAATCTCTCATCGTAAAACTTTGATTTTTCAATGTAAAATACATTTTAAAAGAAAAAAATAGTAATTAAGCTGTGTATCATGATAGTTAAACACATTTCTTATAAAAGTTTATTTAATATGATAAGCATTAAATTAAGTTTATATTTTTTTGAAGACTCTCACACAATACGTGACACATAGATTATATCTATATAATTGCGTCTATATATGTTTTAAGTTTTATGAGCATTTTATTTATAGTCCTTAAAATACTTTTTTAAAATGTATGCTGTTCGAATAAGTAATGAATAATTGTCATAATTGTAGTTTTTTCAATATAAACAAATAATTCACAAAAAAAAAATTATAATATATGTAATATATATATAAATATCAATCATAAATATCGATAATATCGTTAATATCGTTAATATGTCGATCATGATAATCTTTTATAAAAAAACTATTAGGATGAAAAAATGTAGTCACCAAGTATTATGATAAAACTTGTAATAGTAATTCACTGCAAAGTTAAATTATTGGATTAAAACTTTATCGTGCTTGGTAATAAGTTAGACCTACGGAAATTTGGTCTAAGATGCTTATTCTATGTATATTGCTCGTAAACTTTCGCAAAAATGGCTTTGAGAAGATTTTGAAATAAAATCGTAATTGTTGTACTAAATATTTTATCGAAGTATTAGAGTTTCTTATTAACGATTTATTTTATTAACAATTTTTTTAGAAAGATTTAAGAAATTAATTTTGAAATGCGATGAGAAAAATGTTTTGAGAAAAAAATTTCTCTCAATAATAGTAATAATAATAATAATAATAACAATGCATATTTAATTAAGTTCGCCTGTCTTTGCAGAGAAAGAGACTACGTTTCTTAATACATATCATTTTTTAAAATATTAATTTCTTTTGAGTTTTGTTTTTCAAAATGACGATACAAATAAATCGAGAATATTTTTATATAAAAATAACTCGATAATATTATAATACCAAAATAGAGCTAAAATTTCTGCGAATTTTCTTTTTCGTAATTTTTTTTTGTTTCAACAATCTTGAGGAAAAGGTTCGATTACTCTGATCTGTCAGCGCAAGGTGTTACATTAAAAAAGATTTCCTATCAGTAGAATCTACGGAGAATAGAGTAGTGTCAACATGTGTTTGTGATGGCATGATCGAGAACTCAGTTTATACGCGACATTCTATCGCGGATGACGGTTCGTTGATTTAACATTTCCTTCCTCTCGTGGTGGACATCCAACTACTCTGGCGTATCGGTTTGACGGCGCCAAGTGACAGGTCAAAATAGCGTGTTAGTGGGTCACCTTGTATAATTTGTAACGATAGATGTTTCTATAGGAATTACAAACATTCGCGTACTTTTCGAGCAGTCGATAGGTGTTTGGTGTCAGAAGTCATCACGAAGTGATAGACTGTAAACAATACGTTTTTCAGCCTGAATTCGTAATTTCGATTATAGCAAATTAAAAGATTAAAAGTGAAATTGATTGTTGCAATTACAGGCTCTTCGATAATTGAAGATTCTACGAAGAGTTATTAAGTGTGCAAAAATAAAAGACAAAAACAATTACAGCGATGTGTGCCGACTTGACAGTTGTGTGTTGTGTGATGTTTGAGCGATAAGATTAAATCGTCAAGTGGCAAATAAATGTGCGCGTCGTCCCTCTATAGATTCTTTCAGTTATTACAATTATAATCTAATTAAAATTATAACTTTTATTAAATTATAATTATAATTTTTCGCCAATCGATACAATTGTATTCTTAATACAAACGAAAGCATCTTTACGAGGAATGTTTGTTTCGGTCGGGTAGCAAGAAACGAACACAGACTCATACTTTTATTATAGCATCTCACTCAATTTGCAATTCGAGAAATAGCTCTTCAAAGATCAATAAGAACATTGTGTTCATTCGGAAATTCAAACATTTAGAAAATAAGATTAATTCAATCGCATACTATCTCAGAATTCGATTAGAGAGGAGGGAGAGACATAATTATCGTCGTGATCCCTTCCATCTTTCTCAAAGATTGCGGCAGAAGAAAATTTCGAGCACCTCCGTGACAAGTGGGTGACCCATTAACAATCCGTCATCGGAAGGTTTATTGACTCGACGCGGGTTTATCAAGATCGCGAGTCGGTGTTGCTTCTTTATTTGCGCGCGACACACCGCGATATCAGAGAATGTGCATACGCGAAAGGAAGTATCGTCGCTCCGTCGCCAGGATGAATCGAACGGAGGTGTGAACAATCGATCGGTTCGGATCCTTCGTCATGGGGACGTCGAGCGAGGACGAAAACGGGACGCTCGATTTCTGGCGGGACTGGGACCTGAGCAACCTGACGGAGCTCGAGTACCTGAATAAGGTGCTGGGACCCAGGTACTTGCCTCTGAGCTTGGTGATACCGCTCACGATCGCCTATTTGCTCATCTTCGTCTCTGGTGTCTTCGGTAACGTCGCTACGTGCACGGTCATCATCCGAAACTCATCTATGCAGACCGCCACCAATTACTATCTTTTCAGTCTGGCCATATCCGACCTCACTCTACTTATTCTGGGTAAGCGAGTAAAAGACGAATATCGCGCTCATCGTATTGTATATTCGAATCATTTTACTTTCCATATCACCTTTTTGCATTAGAACATTATCTCTTTTAATTTAATCTCTTTTAATCGATTAATTTTTTTTTCATCATAGACACGCATAATTACTTTATTTCATACGTTCATTAATCTAACAAAAAAAAAAAAAAAAAAAAGTCGCATCAAAATTACAGCGATAAATTGGTCAGAAAATTTAACAAACACTGTAATTTAAATTTAATTAGTATTTAATTGTAAATAAAAATTTTTGTACAAATATTATAAATGTTTTAAATATTAAATTTTTAAATAATAGATTGCAAAATAAAACCCAATAATAAGTAAAAATCAGATTTATATTTTCTCATTTTTTTACGTAGAAAGGATATTTTTTTAAATAAAAGAAAAATAAATTTAAAACATTAGATATTATAGATCCGACGTTTTTATTAATAATTAAATGTAGAGCTTTTATTTTATAAAATAGCAGTAGTAAAATAATGTTGAAAGACATCTGCAATTATTTTAATAAAGAGATATTCTTTTATAATCCGAAATAAAATAAAATACAAAATATTCGCTGTTTTATTTATCTCTATTATTATTTAAATAAAATATATATTTTAGATGCACATTGACCAAGCGTAATATTTTTACCAGGCTCGCTAAATCTCTCTATTTTTTTATTCTGAAAGCAGATAATATAAATGCAGGATTTAACGAAACAGTCTAAAGCTATTTCACTTTTGATTCACGTGCCACTTTGTTCACGTTCTATATGCATTCTTTATTTCACGCAAATTCTCGTATGTGTGTAATATGAAATATAAATTGTATATCGGACGGCACATAAAATGCATACAAAAGATTTCTCTTTATCCGCGATCGATGGAAGGAGAGAGAGGGCGAATTTTAATCGCTACAAAGCTGCGTCGATGACCGAATCGCCTCTGGCTGGTAAATCAACGACTCGTTAACTACATCGATGGCGATTTCGTTCGTGATAATATGATTTTGATAAATCATATGATTTTGATTGCTAAAGCGATTGATAACGATAACGAAAAACTGTCCTTGTTTGAATAACGCGGAATAATGGGTACATGTACACTGTAAAAAAATATATAATATATTACACAAAAGTATGTAAAATTACATAAATAATAAGTGTAAAACTACACGATAAATAATAAAAATGTTTACCTTTTCATTATTTATCGTGTATAATTTCACATTTATTATTTATGTAATTTTATATATTTTTAATGTAATTTTACAAAATTTTTTTACAGTGCAGCGTAGAATTGCAGAGAAGAATTGTGTTGTGAAATATATATAAAATCGGGCCATTATTGATGCGGGGTCGAGAAGAGGGTGCGAAAAGGGCTTAATAATGAGGTAGAGAATTCAGTTGAAGAAGCAAATTCGTTCAGAATTAAAGCCGATGGAGCGACAATATGAAACCAATCCCTTTAGTATAGCGACAAATAACACATAGAATCTCTCTGGCATATCTCGTATGTTCCTTCGTGCTCTTTTTTGATATTGCTTTTTACGGAAAATTCGACAAGAGATATCGACGACACTGATATAACAACCATTGCAACTAAAAAAGTGTATTTTTTAAGAGTATTATTTTGTCGAGCTCTATATGTATCGAGAAAATATATAACAATAAAATATCTATCGCTGAAAACATTTTTATTCGCGTGTATTTTCATCGATTATATTCGTTTACCAATATATTTTGTATTGTTTTATAGCTTTTAATCGTGCTATGTTTATTTGCAATTTGTGTTGAAAACACGTAAATGTCGAAAAATACAGACGTGTAAATATTTTAAAGCGTACGTTACATAGAGATTTTTCTTTTCTCCCTTTCTCACTCTCTCTCTTTTTTTCTGGGATATAAATAAAATTATTAATTATTTTATATTATCTGTTGTATGTGTATTATCACTATCACGATTGCTTGACATGAGATATTCGCTTGTCTTCTAGCATTGACGCACGTAGATAAAAGCTTGAAATTAATCTTTTATGTGTACAATCGCGATTGTTATCTGTACAGTAGACTTGTTTGCTAATGTAACAACGACGTATTTACGTCATGAGAAATTCGCGAGAAGCCTTAGACATGATAACGATAGTCTTCATGGAAGATCAAATATATGTATACTCCTCTCTTCGCTGTTTCAAGTATCAGAAGGTATAATAGAAATGTGAAAAATGTTAGTGCTCCTGTTATATATACGTAATAATTCAACAGCATTTAAATAGAATTTAGTACATTGAATAAGGATTTAAAATAAAGACAAAATCAATTGTATAAGTAATATATATATATATATAAATAAATATCTGTGCAATTTAATCCCGATAAATAAACTCGAACTAATTTACAGTTTGCTTAAATTTAAATTATTCTTTGTAGAAGAAATAATATAAAGTTTAAATTTGATAATGTAATATTTTATAAATCATATAATTGTTAAATAAAATGTTAGCTAATGTATTAAATGATATAAAAATTAAACTTTTAACTCGAAATTGAAATAGAAATGATCAAGATACGTTCTACTTACAAATGATTTAATTATGAATTAGTTGTCGGTCGATGGAAAAACAAAGAGAAACATTGGAACAATTTGTCCGTAGAATTGGCGGTAAAATAGCGATTTTGCAATGCAATAAAAGGTTTCGCGGTTTGTGTCGAGTAAATGTCGTTTACATTTATAACCGACGTTGCTTTACAAAATGTTAGACACAATAGAGATCGCAGGGTTTCCAGAACGAGAAAGTTTTATCGTTAACGATACACGTTCACGTTCAACTTCTGATGGTGAGAATCGAACCCTGATCCTGAGAGGTTTCGATATTCATTGTGGAGCTTTATGAAAGGACAACTGTGTGTGCTGGACGACTACCGGATAGCTTTTATGCTTTGGAAGATGATTGGAAGACATAAAACCCACATATCATGACAAGGAAAATCCAGAAAAGGGAAAAAAGAGAAACCTTTCTGGCATTATTAATAGTATCATATATATATATATATATATATATATATATATATATATATATATTATATATATATATATTTATATATATATATATTTATATATATATATTTATATATATATATTCGGCTTTCAAGCACTTCTCCTTTTGAGATTATTCTCTTTAAAGATGTAAGAATTCAACACAATATTTTTTTTCTCTCTTTCTCTCTGATATTTTATCTCTTTAGTTTCACATTTAAAAGGTTCTTGTTAGAAGAAAGATTTTAATAACGTGCTAGAGGGAAAAATCGTCGGATTAAGAGAATTAATGTAAAAGATATATATGTAAATGATTGTAATAAAAGATGAATTTATGAAAGTTTTTATTGGTTTTGTCTTTAAGTATTTCTGCCTCGATTTCAACTATTTACACATATATAAATATGTAACTTGTAAGCTAAAATAATTATAATTAAAAATTTTAATAGATTTTAATTGAAATTTAAATTGTAAAACAATTAAAATTGGAGTAAAAAAGAAACGGTAAAAGGAAAGAACAAAAAAGTAGAAAAAGAAATATTCTATTAACAAACAGAGATATTAAATTGTGCTTATCGGTCGTCAAAAATGCAGAGCACGGTTTCGTATACATTTTATACGATTTATTAATTAATTAAATTACAAACATTTAATGTGACGAATATTCAGTCGTTCGTTTTCACAGTGAACGTAATTCGTGAAAGTTACTTTAATTTGCATAATATATATATAAAGCATAAAAAGGTACAAACTCGTTAATATTGTTATACGCGCGATGCCTTCACGTTAATTACCTCCCAACCGGGCTTAAGTTAGTAAAGCTGCTTTTCGGAAAATTAATTTACATTCTCGCGAGCCTACGTAAAACATTTATTCAGAATTCAGAGGAATACGAGACTCAGATGATGATTTAATTATAATTGAGAACGTAGAGAAATGAGAGCAAAAATTCTAATATCGTGTTCTGAAATTTTGCGAAAAGATCTAGAAAAGCTTCGTCGAATTAAATCGACTAGATTGAAACTACAAGGCATTCCGCATGTTATACAAAAATTTCTTTAATCAAATACATGTGAAAATTGAATTTAAAGCGTTTAACTGTATGTTTTTAATTATCTGGATTAATTAACGATAACAGGGTTGCCACAAAAAATAAATTTTAAAATTCCCTGACTTTTTGTTTTCCAGACGACAATGCGGAAATTTCCTATGACCACATATATGTGAAACCTTAAATTTAGAAGTAGGAATTAGGAAAGAAAAGCTTATATTATTAGAAACAATACAAAACACAAATTTGGAAGTTTAATAATATAACGTAATCCTGAATTTAAACCAACAGAAAAAAAATACAGAGAAAAATAAGAAATAAGAGAAAAGTCAAAAACATATTGAATAAAAACATTTAATAAAAGATATATTTTAATGTTTAATTTACGTTAAAAAAATAAAATTTAAGTTTTTATAAATAACCTCTAAAAATATTAAAATTGAAATCAACTTAACATTGATAAATATATCTAAAGATTTCTACATTAAATTTCAAAAAAGGAACAATTTTTAAAAGTTTAAAATTCCAGATTCATTTACATATTTCCCTGATTTTTCCAGGGTTTCCCTAATTTAAAATTCCATGATTTTTCCCGGGTTTCCAGATCTGTGGCAACCCTGGACAAAATTACACTTTCATCCTGCGGATTCAATCACGAATACATTTTCCTTCATCGCAAAAATATAGAATAAAACTAATATAAAATAATAAAAATATAATATTCTCGAAAGATTCTTCCTTCCATCTCTTAATCCATTAATTAATCATTGCAGGTCTTCCCAATGAGCTGAGCGTATTTTGGCAGCAATATCCATGGGCTCTCGGCGTAGGACTTTGCAAAATTCGGGCGTACGTGTCGGAGATGTAAGAAATATATCCTTGGTCCTGTATAACTCTCGTAAAGCTCTATGACACGTTCTCTGTCATCGACTCTTTTCGTAGGTCATCCTACGTGTCAGTTCTTACAATCGTAGCGTTCTCAATGGAGAGATATTTGGCCATCTGTCATCCTTTGTACGTGTATTCGATGAGCGGTCTCAAAAGATCGACGCTTTTCATCCTTGCGGCCTGGTCGATTGCGATCATCTCGGCTCTACCGTTTGCAATTTATACCAAGGTCAATTTCGTCGAATATCCGCCAGGTTAAGCCGACAAATTTTTTTTCCTTGCGAGATTTTCGACGCATCACGCCGAGGAAATCAATTCAATGGATAACTTATATAATAGATTTGTTTTTTTCTAATTACGTACAAACACGTGTCATCCCCTATTTTATTCTGAATGACAATTATTTATTCAGATATTTTTGAAAATTTCGTTGTCGAATTTCTAGAATTTTTTTCCTTGTATACGCAAATTTGCAATTTGAATAATATAGATTCTATCTCGAGAGTTTAAGTTAATGTTTGGATATATTTACATTCTGCATTTTTTATAACAATTTTTATAAACTTATTCTATAAATTGCTATATTCATATTTTACACTGAAAAAATGACTAAATTAATACATATTTAGTTCAATACTGCCAAATGAATCATTTATTTGAAACAAATAAATATTTATTCGTTTTGAAAAGGATTTTCTTATATGAAATAAATATTATTAGTTTCAAATAAATGATTCATTTGGCAGTATTGAAATAAATACTTATTCAAGTTAAATAAATTTGTTTCAGTGTATAAATTGCTATATCATTAAATATTTTTCAGAATCTGGGAATTACTCAGCTGATTCGGCGATTTGCGCGATGCTTCTCCCCGATATGCCAAAATTTCCCCTTTACGAACTCAGTTGTATCGTATTCTTTTTGATACCGATGCTCGTAATTCTTGTGGTTTATACGAGGATGGGATTGAAAATAAAGAATAGTATGGAGAAAATACTTGGTCCAATACAGGGCTCTGTTCACGGCGATTCTCAACAAACTCAATCTAGAAAATCCGTCATCAGGATGTTAAGTACGACATCATCATTTTTCACTTCTCTTCTAATTGAATTATTAATAATTTAAAAATATGAAATAAATAAATAAACATAATATTAGAAATATAGACTAAAAAATAAAATTAGTTATTTTCTTACATTCATATAAAAATATTCTAGTGCTTTTCTTTAGACACTTTTTAATATAAATAATCTTTATACGAATTTTTATAAGAATTTTTATACAACTAGAAATTTTTATAAGAATTTTTATACAACTAGGCTTCAAATTGTTTATATGATTTCTTTTAGGCGTGGTCGTTATCATGTTCTTCCTCTGCTGGGCTCCATTTCATGCCCAACGTCTGCTTTACATCTACGCACAAGACTCGGATTATTATCCGGATTTAAATGAATGGTTGTATATTCTCAGCGGTTGTCTGTATTATTTCAGCACCACCGTAAATCCTATTCTTTATAATTTGATGAGCATGAGATATCGTCAAGCGTTCAAACAAACGATATGCTGTCGAACAAAGGGTCCGACAAATAAAATTTTCATGGATAAAGGATCTCATCTCAGACGTGACTCTGCGAATAAAGTTCACGATCGAAGCGTTATATGTTCTATTAGGTACGAATCTGAGGTTTGAAATTCTTAATGATAGCAATGTTTTTAATAAAGATATAAATATTTTTTTATAAGAGTATTTTCTATGCTAGTGATATAATAAATATTTTAAGAATTGTCGAAAATTTTGTTAGAATTTTTGATTTGTGTGTCAATGTTTTATTGAACACTTCGTGTATATTACATTGTGATAATTTTTTATATTTTTTTTTCAGGCATAGCATTGCTCAAGTCAAAGAGATATTCTGTTTTACATCGAGCAGACAAGAAAATGCCAAGAATAGAAATAGCGAAAACGTAAGCAATTTTCCTCAAAATGCTTGCTTACTACAAAAGGAAGATTCATCCTCGGTGTTTCTCTTTGAACGAGGACATTTACTCGTTCGCCAACAACTTAGTAATGAAAGCACAACGTCCACGAGAAGATCGGAAGATATGATTTCCGTAGCTAAAACCAGTCTGTGATCTATTTTTATTCGCTGCATTAAAACAGATGTAGCGCATAACTTGTAAATAATTAGTTTGAACTATTGATTATAAGTGTTACAAGAATTTTACAACATCATTTAACATTGTAAATAACTATCAATTATAATATAATTATACACCAAAATAATAATGCATCAAAATTTTATATTATTTATTCTAGAATAAACTTTTACACATCATGATTAATATTTATTTATTTTACGTATTCAAACTTTTACACAATTTTGAATAATGTTTATGTGTTGTGTGTGTAAATATTTAAAATATTTTAACACGCGACATAATAATCGTATCACAATTTTAAAACTGATATGATATTTTTTCATATAAAAATTTTAACACGTTTTATATCAAGACAATATGCTTTAATATAAAGATTAATGATTTACTTTACATTTATAATGGTTCAAATAAAACTTTAATAAGAAATCACTATCAAGTTTTAATTTATCAGCAGTGTATATTATACATTTATTTTTATTTAAAATTTTTTATACATAATATACGGTTTTCTTGCATATATATGTAAAATGTATTGTTCTTTAAAGAAAAAAAGAGAGAGCAAAATTTTAAATTGTGCAATTAATTATGTTTCTGTAAAAATAATCTATATACAAATTTTTCTTTTTTTTATTTTAATATTCAATATTTTTATATTATGTAAAGTGATTAATATAAATTTATTTTGTTTTAAATGAGATATATATTATATATAATACACAATGAACATTTATCTCCTCTTCTTTTCTCGATGACAATAAGAATCGAGAAAATATTCAATGCGCGTAGCTTTATGGCTTTGAAATCATATAAATAAATCGTAAATAATGTGTGTCGTGCATTATGAGATAGTCGTTATACAAAGCAACTTAAAATATGAAAAGCAATATAAGCATGATCCTTCTTTTCATGACGGTATATTCAAAGGATAATTCGGATCTCAAAGATAATTCAAGCAGAAATTCCTTAAAAGCTTCTGCTCCGAGCTAAATTTTTAGTCACTTGACGCTCCGACAAAACTTGGATTCTAGTTTAATCTACTAACAATTTTATCCCTTTCTAAAAAAGCATATTAACTTAGTGAATTTAATTTGTAAGGTCTCTTTTCCGTGATACTGATTGACTGTGTCATTGATAACGCAAAACGCGCGCCTGTGTTGTTCTAGTAGTACTTATAAAGTATACAGCAGTATTACAGTAAAGCAATTCAAATAGTGAGATACTTTAAAATAATATTAATATGGGTTCATAGGGTGTCCGGTAACTAACGAACCAACGATTACAAATGGATTCTTTGGTCAATTTGGGAACGATTTTTCATCAGCGAAAATGTCGAAAAAGGTCATCATTTTTTACAACTTTCCAATATTTGTCATTATGTATATTTATAACTAAGCCTCAAATAAAAATTTTATTATAGTGAACTCTACCTGAAATTAACTGAAGAATGTAATTATGTTAGACTTTTAACTCCAAAACATTTAGTTTTCAAAAAACCCATTTTTTTAAATCGCTTATAACTCGAAAATTATTGACTTCTCAACATTTTTGCCAAGAAAAAATCGTCTCCAAATTGGCCAGAGAATCCGCCCTTAATCATTGGTCCGTTAGTTACCGGACACCCTGTATATTAAAAATTATCATATGTGCATTTTTGTTGTAAAAGACACCTAAGTCGCCTAAGAGTTGATGTAACAAAAATGTTTTCTAGATATTTGTACTTTATTTAATAACAATATGATAATTTAAAATAGAGAGAGTTAATTTCATTTTTTTTTAATAGTTCCGTCGTATTCTACCAATAAAGAAAATGAATTATAATAATTTAAAAATGTGCGCATTGATCGAGATCACAGAAATCTTCTTCATTAAGAAAATTAAGATGAAAACTATTTGTGCATAATTTTTTAAAGATTTTTCTTTAATAAAAAAAAGATTTATCTTCGCCAAAAATTAATACCGCACGTGTAAGTCAGTCATTTTCCCAATCATTGAAATTACGCACATATCATCTATTCCTGCGTTATCGCCAATTTTCTATCTAGGCTAATTTCTAGTTTGAAATTAGAGAGGGGATTGGATCGATTGATTTCTTGCACTTGAAAGCTCTCGATGAACACATTTTGCTGGAATATTATGCCGGTTATTTTGCACTATTAATCATGTATGCAACATAGATTTTAGAGAAACCATTGCATAGTTTCGCATTTTAATGTAAAATTATAAAATCCTAAATGGAAACATGAAGTTTATATTTGTCATTTATGTATTGCAGATTTTATGAAAAGCATTGTTTAATAGAATTAAAGTAAATTTTTAACATTAAATGTTTCAATAATTCAAAGTTAAATTATGAATTAAAATTTTACTCGAATATAGTTTATTCAAAATTAATTAAAAATACATTTTTTTTATCCATTAACAGCTTAATAATTTTAAATAGTTAATTCATTTTTTATTACTTATATATTAATTCAAAACCAAGCAATGCTTTGATATTTTTGTAAAAAGAATTTTGATGATCAATAATTCTTGAATAATCAAGAAATTCGCAAAATGCATTTTATCTAGGACTAAAAACATCTCGTAGGTATATATTTTTTCGAATTTAAAAAAAATATTGAAATCATTAATAACGAAATTTGAAAATATGAACAAACAATAACTTCCTGATCAGGAATAATTTCCTGGTTATCCCATCCTGAATTTTCCTTTAGAACAATTTTTTTCGCATAATGTACTTTTGTCAGTATTTCCGCAAATAGAAGAGAAAAGATAAGAATCGTTTTATTCAATTCCGCAAAGAATCTCTGTCGACATTTTTAGTTAGTACTGACATTAAAAGCTTTTTTAAAGCTCGAAAGTAACTCGTAGAATAAAGTATTTTTTGTTCATATTTTCAAGTTTTGAAAAATATTTATATCATTATTTGGCAATCATTATTGTAAAGATATTACAGCTTCGAAGTTTTTGATAACACAAAACATTTTGTATGACGAGAATCTTAGTAATGATAATTAAATATGAATTATAAATAATTAAATAATAAATTATGTAAGCATAAGGAAGAGAGAAACATTAAATTAAAATAATTAAAGTTTAAAAGAAATTAATTTTAAAATCACGAAAGTTTCAAAAGAAAACAAAGGAGATGCATTTTATGCATACATATATTTCATTTTATCCCACATAATATACTAACTATATTGTAATATTTTCATGCATTTAAAATTAAAAATTGAGAAAAATTCTTATTTTTTATGTACATATATTCTTATTTCTCTCTGAAAGTTCCTTCTTATTTGTTTCGAGAAAATTATTGTACAGACTTTATCAAGAAGTACTGTAAAAAAAACTGTATCGAAGAAGTTAAAAAATTCAGTTTCTTATTTCAAGTACTTAATAATTTCCCGAAAATGTAAAGTTGTTAAATTTAATTTTAGCGAATCATAAAAGGTCGCAATAGAAATGTCAAGTCATGCATGCAATCGCTATCGATTTCTATATCGTTGTTGAGTAACATAATCCATCTTTCTATCAGCTGCAGAATTTGTGCCATTGCACCGAGATGATAGCTTTTATCCTCTGTGGTGACATTTGCAGCATCCACTATATCTGACATAAATAAACGTTTTATGCACATGAGAGTTCTCGCAGTACATGTCAGATTTTGGCGAAGTTTTAGAAATGACATAATAGTGAATATTAGAGATTAAAGAGAACACTTATAATATTTGAAAAATATTCGATGAAAATTTATTCTTTACCTAAACTTCAACTAAAAATTCAATAGAAGTTATTGTATGTGTATGTTCGTGAAACTTTTTTCTCGAATTTTCTCTACGTACCTGTGTTTTGCTAGAATTTAAATTGAATTTACTACTCGTTGAGAATTAACTTAAATAGTTCGAAACTTGGAAAATATTAGAATTAAAAAAATATTAAAAAGTATCAAAATATAAAGTAACATTTTTTAATATAAAACATTTGTATATTTATTCTAATCATTCTTTTAAAAAAATATTTTATTCTGAACATTATCAGATGTTTACATAAATGTTGCACAAGAGTTTGTCAAATTGAATTATGTAAATCTCGACTATAGAGTTATATGAAAAATGGTTCCCTCAGTGTAAACTTCATAGAGATTCTATTTACTTATGACAGTCTAATTTGGCAAATTTTCTCATGTACACCTTTCGGTCTCAAAAATCTTGAAGATAAGAGCAAAATTTTATTCGCCAAAATTAGTGAATCTTAGCATTCTCTCTTTACATAAAGAAGAATTAGCATATGTTCTCTTTAGTATGAAAGAATTAATTAACTTATAAAATGTAATTATGCAATTATACGCTTGAAATTATTTGCTATAATTCCTATTTCTATTCGGTTTGCTCAGAATACCAATTGTAACTCGAGAGACTATAGCATTTCAATGAGATTTCTTGGTTCCTTAAGGTAATGAACATGCGGAGAAGAGACGTTCTTCACTTCAACAGTTCTCCAAGAGCAATTATGGAAACTAGAAACTCTACGGCAACTACGCAGCAAAACAACAAGAGATCTAAGAAAGAGCGATAAGCATAGACAGAAATTTATTTTCACCGAAAATACAGAGAAATGTTAAGTATTTTCTAAATATAATTTAAATACTTCTTAGAATTTACTTAATATTTTAATTAAAAATTAGATATCTAGAGATTTCTGGAACTGGTGTTAAAATTATGTTAAAAAGCTATAAATAATGTTTTGAGTTTGTACGAAGTTTGCGAGCATTGTGAAATTTTTATTTCGAAGAATATTATAATATAAATCACTTATAATCACCCAAAGTGAGAGTAATAATTTACGAGAAGATTTTACAGCAAGTTAAGATACGAAATTGCCAAATTAAAAATAATAAACAGCTTTAAGTCGTGCAAGAAATCTAAGATAATCTACGCTACAAAAGAATAATTATATTTTTCTTAATGTTGAAAGATATAAAATTGGACGGATAAATACGGAGATAAAACCATTAGAGAGAAAACATTTTCTTAAACTGTTTCGAATAATACTTTAAATCTTATGAAATGTTATTGCGTCTATGAAATTAATTTTTGTCCTTATTTTTTCGAGAAAATTTTTATGATCTATTTTTTCGCACTAATTTATAGATTATAAAGAGTTAATTTTTTGATGA